GGACTAAGACCGGAGATCATATACTGGCTGTATGTGACGATCGTTCTCCCCATTCGTACATATGGTTGCCTTGTTTGGTGGCAGGGGGTCAACAAAAAGATACTGCTGACAAAATTCAATTTAGTAAAGCGATCGGCTTAAACCTTCCATCAAAATCTTAGCTTTCATACTTAACCTCAAATTGAAACAATGTTTCAAAAGACTCCAAGAAAACAAATCTCCACCTTTAGATGGACGGACTTGATTTGGTTTTCTTGTTCTTTTTTATACTTTTTGACTTATGCAGAGCCCTTCATTTAATCAATAAATGGAAGGGGGACCTTTTTGAACCGAAGAGTTGCGTTGCCCTCCATAGCCACCTTTTCACCCCTTTCATTTTATTTATTGATTACCAATCTGTGTGTGTGTGCAGCGTGAGTTCAAAACTCACTTTGGTTCCAATAAATATAATTATTCGATGCGAGAACAACAAACAAAAAAACAACAACAATAACCACAGAAAACCACTTTTAAATTTTTTTCTTAACAAAAATTAAAAGAAAGGCAGTCTGACTGGCGGGCAGCCAAAGAATGTTTAAATCTTGAAATAAAGTAATGGCTTCTTTTTGGGGATATGTAATGGCTATGAGTGTGTGTGTCTGTGTGTATGCGTGCATATGTAATTTATTACACACATCATTTGGTTAATCGATCCCCCCACCCCTCCCTCTTCACTTTTACATGCCCAGTGTAGATGAGGGTTTTCGGGAGAAATCGTGTTTTCTTGTAGGCCACTAAATAATAGGGCTATAATCAATGTTTTATTGTTTCAGTTTTGGGGTTTTTGGATTTTTTATTTTTTTGGTGTGTTTGGGATTGACTAATTGACCATTTATTGTATACGAGTGGAAGGGGTGGGGGTATTGGCTTACAAGAGTCAATTAAAAACCAGTAAGGAAAGTAGTAAAGTCGGACTGGTCGGAATATATGATACCCTTCACCACTTTGGGTATATTCTACATATGTAGCCTTACAGTTTGCATGTCAATGTTCCCTCGAAGGAACATACGCATACCTTGAATACACGCTATTCGGTACTATTCGCACTGTTAAAAATTTTATCTCAATCAGACACCCGTTCGAAATAAATATGGATGCTAGTAGCTACATCTGCACCAATTTCAACAAAACGCAAAAACGTCATTTAAGTCTCAATCGAAATCTGAACCGATTTCCCGAAACGTACCACATAGCATCAGTACGATGTGCCAAATTTCGTACAAATTTAAAGATATATAGGGGCTATGGTACACAATTTACCTTAAATCGAACGAAAATGTATATGGGAGCTATATCTAAATCTGACCCGATTTTCGCGAAACTTGGCACACATCATTCTAGACCTTATTCAGTACGCTATGCCAAATTTCGTGCAAATCGAATGATATATAGGGTCTTTGGTGCACCATTTACCTTAAATCGGACGAAAATATATATGGGAGCTATGTCTAAATCTGAACCGATCTTCACCAAAATTAGCACACATCATTCTAGACTTAATTCAGTACGCTTTGTCAAAATTTGTGCAAATCGGATGATTCTCAGGGACTTTGGTGCACCATTTACCTGAAATCGGACGAAAATATATATGGGAGCTATAACCAAATATGAACCTATTTTCACGAAACTTAGCACACATCATTCTAAACTTAATTCAGTACGCTATGCCAAATTTCGTGCAAATCGAAAGATATTTTGGGACTTTAGTGCACCATTTACCTTAAATCGGATGAAAATATATATGGGAGCTATGTCTAAATCTGAACCGATCTTCACCAAAATTAGCACACATCATTCTAGACTTAATTCAGTACGCTTTGTCAAAATTTGTGCAAATAGGATGATTCTCAGGGACTTTGGTGCACCATTTACCTGAAATCGGACGAAAATATATATGGGAGCTATATCTAAATATCATCCGATTTTCACGAAACTTAACACACATCATTCTACACCTATTTCAGTACGCTATGCCAAATTTCGTGCAAATCGAAAAATATTTAGGGACTTTAGTGCACCATTTACCTTAAATCGGATGAAAATATATATGAGAGCTATACCTAAATCTAAACCGATTTCCACGAAACTTAACACACATCATTCTAGACTTAATTCAGTACGCTGCGCCAAATTTCGTGCAAATTTAGGGACTTTGGTGCACCATTAACCCTAAATCGGACGAAAATATATATGGGAGCTATATCTAAATATCATCCGATTTTCACGAAACTTAACACACATCATTCTACACCTATTTCAGTAGGCTATGCCAAATTTCGTGCAAATCGAATGATATATAGGGACTTTGGCACACCATTTACCTTAAATCGGACGAAATTGTATATGGGAGCTATATCTAAATATCATCCGATTTTCACGAAACTTAACACACATCATTCTACACCTATTTCAGTAGGCTATGCCAAATTTCGTACAAATCGAAAGATATATAGGAACTTTGGTGCACCATTTACCTAAAATCGGACGAAAATATATATGGGAGCTATATCTAAATCTGAAGCGATTTTCACGAAACTTAGCACACATCATTCTGGACCTAATTTAGTACCCTATGCCAAATTTCGTGCAAATCGAAAGATATATAGGGACTTTGTTGCACCATTTACATAAAATCGGACGAATATATATATGGGAGCTATATCAAAATCTGAACCGATTTTCCTGAAACTTAGTACACATCATTCTAGACCGTATTCAGTACGCTATGCCAAATTTCGTGCAAATCGAAAGATATATAGGGACTTTGGTGCACCATTTACCATAAATCGGACGAAAATATATATGGGAGCTATATCCAAATCTGAACCGATTTTCACGAAACGTACCACACATCATTCTAGACCTAAATCATTACTCTATGTCAAAATTCGTGGAAATCGAAAGCTATATAGGGACCATTTAGCTTAAACCAAACGAAAATATCTATGGGAGCTATATCCAAATCTGAACCGATTTTCACGAAACTTAACACACATCATTCTACACCTAATTCAGTACGCTATGCCAAATTTCGTGCAAATCGAAAGCTATATAGGGACCATTTACCTTAAACCAAACGAAAATATCTATGGGAGCTATATCCAAATCTGAACCGATTTTCACGAAACTTAACACACATCATTCTATACCTAATTCAATACGCTGTGCCAAATTTCGTGCAAATCGAAAGATATTTAGGGACTTTAGTGCACCATTTACCTTAAATCGGATGAAAATATATATGAGAGCTATATCTATATCTAAACCGATTTTCACGAAATTTAACACACATCTTTCTAGACTTAATTTTGTAGGCTATACCAAATTTCATGCAAATCGAAAGATATTTAGGGACTTTGGTGCACCATTAACCCTAAATCGGACGAAAATATATATGGGAGCTATATCTAAATATCATCCGATTTTCACGAAACTTAACACACATCATTCTACACCTATTTCAGTATGCTATGCCAAATTTCGTGCAAATCGAATGATATATAGGGACTTTGGCACACCATTTACCTTAAATCGGACGAAATTGTATATGGGAGCTATATCTAAATCTGAACCGATTTCCACGAAACTTAGCACACATCATTCTAGACCACATTCAGTACACTATGCTCAATTTCCTGCAAATCGAAAGTTATATAGGGACATTGGTACACCATTCGGAAGAAAATATATATGGGAGCTATATCTAAATCTGAACCAATTTTCACGAAACTTGGCACACATTATTCCAGACTTAATTCAGTACGCTATGCCAAATTTCGTGCAAATCGAAGGGTATATAGTGACTTTGGTGCACCATTCGGACGAAAATATATATGGGAGCTATATGTAAATCTGATGCGATTTTCACGAAACTTAGCATACATCATTCTGGACCTAATTTAGTACCCTATGCCAAATTTTGTGCAAATCGAAATATAGATAGGGAATTTTGTGAACTATTTACATTAAATCGGACGATAATGTATATGGGAGCTATATCGAAATCTGAAGCGATTTCCACGAAATTTAACACACATCATTCTAGACCTAATTCAGTACCCTATGCCAAATTTCGTGCAAATCGAAAGATATTTAGGGCCTTTGATTCACCATTTACCTTAAATCGAACTAAAGTACATATGGGAGATATATTCAAATCTGAACCGATTTTCACCAAACTTAACACACATCATGTTAGACTTAATTTAGTAGGCTATTCCAAATTTCGTGCAAATCGAATGATATATAGGGACTTTGCTACACCATTTTCATAAAATCGGATGAAAATATATATGGGAGCTACATCTAAATCTGATCCGATTTTCTTCAATTTCAAAAGGGTTCATTATTGGGTCAAATAGGTGACATGTGCCAAATTTCATCCAAATCGGATCATAAATGCAACCTTTAATATGTTTACAATTTAACATGTACAGATGGACAGACGGACGGACATGCATAAATCGACTCAGAAAGTGATTCTATACATATCCTCAAAAGGAACCATGTGTCTATCTCGATTCCTTTTGCCTGTTACAAACATATGCACAAAGACACAATACCCTATACCACTGAGTTCTGAAGGTTATAATGAATGGCGGTTTTTAGAAACTGTTGCCTAGTTTTAGGTGTTTCCGTAAATTGACTAAATACTGGGAATATTATTGTAAATATCAGGTACAGAACAATGATACCTATATGGGAACAGTTGACTTCGAAACCACTCATAAATGGTTGAGATCCTCGCTTAAACCTAGGAATACAATGGGAATACCTTTTAAAAAATTGTCAATTGAAAGAAAACGGCTTCAGATGTCGGCGATTTTTTCAGAATTTCGTTTGGTTTTATTTGACGACACAGCCTTTTTTGGAAATTGGTTGATATCTCCTCCCCTTAAAGACAAATGAAAAGAAATTATTTTTTGTATTTAACAAATTAAAATTTTTTATTTCTCTAATTTTCAAAACAAATAAACCTCTTCTATGGAATACCATTTCGATGAACTCTTCTCCTTCAGATTTGTTTTACGTTCGACAATATTATATAGTAAGGCGGCAACATTTTGTAGCTCCACAATTTCTTGTTTATAACTATCGAATAGTTCATGCCATTTAAAGAGTAACTCAATGAGGGCCACTTCTTTGGATAGGGCCAATTTTTGAAAGTGGGAGTTGAGGAATACACCAAACCATCTTAGCAATTGTAATTCATAATCAGTACTTGTCTCATAGAGAGTGGGACGATCTTCTAGATATTCTTGTTGCTCGGAGGTTAACATATCGTAGAGATGTTCCAAGAGTAGTACCACCTCTTTATATTCCATATCTTGACGTATGCATTTGGCAATTGTCTCCGGGTCAAAGGAACAGGCCAACAGGGTGTTGAGAATGTTTTCTAGATCTGAGGGATTGTGGGGGGTTGCTGAGGTGGGTTTTTTGGAAAGGATACCCAAATGGAGTTCTTCATCTTCAGCATTCTCTTCTTGGCTGTCATTTTCATTATCTTCCTCCATGGGTTCTTCTAGGGTGCCATTTGTTTTGCTGGACTTTTCCTTGGTGTATTTCTTTAAAATATAATTCAAAGTTTTGGATAAAATCTTCTCGGATATGTTGGTGTAACGCCTCAGGCACACTCCAATATCCTCCACCAAATTGGCCTTCATGAGGACGGTTAAAAGTTTCTCGGTGATTTCATGTTCACTGGCACCCACACGCTCCAGCTGCTGGGCAATCAATTGCAACTCCTGGCATGAGAAACCCTCATCATTGTGATTTGACATGAGATTTATGTGAGGCACATCCAAACGATGATCCGGAATAACATCAACATGTAAATGTAATTGTCGCAAGGCATTTAGTTCTTTATCGAATTCTTGGGCACCCATAAAGGGTACGGTTAGACCATCAGCTTCCACGATTTTTAAATCTTTCTCCTCCTTTTCCTTCTCATTGTGCGATTGGACATCTTTACTATATTGTAGGCATTCTTCCATGACATCCTCCTCATTGATGTGATCAATTTCAATGGCCGTTTGATAATCATTAGAGACTTGGGTACCCAGTAATTCCGATAATACCTCTTTGAGTACTTGATATTTGACAACGGATAGATTTTGACCCATGGCCAAAATGATATGATCACTAACCGACCACAGTTGGGAATAATTGAAATAGACTTTGAAAAATTGTTTCGTCTTGATGACCTTAAATTGGGTATTGTAGAGGAGTAGGGAGCCGCCCTCTTGGCCATGATTGGCACCATAAATGGCAACAAAATGTTTGGAGATGCCCATCACAGAGAGAGGGCAATCCACTTTTAGCTGAGTCAACAATGAAACAAAACTGCCGGGGGAACGTTCAGGGCAGACCTCATCGCCTAGATTTAAAATAAACATACGTTTATCGGACCCTGGAAAAGAACGGAAAAAGATTCCAATGAAATTATTTCCATATTTTATATCTAATTTTAAATACTCACATATTGTCAATAGCATTGGCACCCCCTCACCCTCAATGACGGCCGCTCCAGCCACGGTTACACTTAAATTTTCCCTCGCAAGTTTAAAACGTTTTGGTGGCTCCATAACTACACCCTCCGCCGACAAAGGCAGACGTACCAAATGATAATCCCCATTAATGGAATTCCGTTCAAAATAGGTTAAGATCCGACAACCATTAGCCGAATTATAAACACTGGCTTTTGTAAAGGTTAACTTTTTCGATAATTCCAATTGTTGATTGGTCGAAATATTAACCTCTTCTTTGCGGGATTCAATTGCCTTGGCCAATGGTTCGCATGTGCCATCAACATACAAAACCAATGTGTCATCACCATAACTGATCAATTGGGAAATATATTTGTGGAACTGAAAAAAAGAAAGGAAAATATTAAATCCTGTTTTCGGAACAGTTCGGTTGATGGTTTGGGAGATATGGGCCCAATCCACCTTGTATTTTAGGTCGCATTTATAATCCGAATTGTATGAAATTTGGCACAGCTCATTTATTTGGCTCAAGGATGAACACGATTGAAATTGGGAAAAATCGGTTCAGATTTAGATATAGCTAATATATATATTTTTGGTCCGATTTTTTGTAAATGGTGCACCAAAGTCCCTATATATCCTTCGATTTACACGAAATTTGGCATGGCGTACTCAGATTTAGATATACTTCATATATATATATATATATATATACGATGTTTGCTAAATTTCATGGCGAAAATGAGTATAGAATGATGTGTTAGATATAGCTTCCATATATATTTTCACCCGAAATTTGATATAAAGTACTGAATAAGGTCTAAAATGATGTGTGCCAAGTTTCGTGAAAATCGCTTCAGATCTAGAGATAGCTCCCATATACATTTTCCTCCGATTTCAGGTAAATGGGGCACCAAAGTCCCTATGCAACTTTCGATTTGCACGAAATTTGGCAAAATCTACCTTCAATTTCTTGCACTTGTTCAATTCCGTTGTCTTTTCATCCCAACACCTCAGGTACTTATTGCCAAACACACCAACATATTTTTCCGATTTCTTATCATAGATCACTTTGGAGGATAACTTTTCCAGCACCGACCAACTGCGTATTTGTTTTTGTGTAGAAATCTAAAAAAAAAAAGAAATCAAAAAACATTTTCATTCACAATCCATTATCTTTAAAGCAGGAGGCACTGCCTCCCCTCCCATTACCTTAATGACAATAATAATGTTTTTACCCAATGTTGTAATAATATTGCCCTCATCTTTATCCGGTGATATTCCCAAGAAACCTTTGGGCTCCGGTATGGGACATAAATTGAAATAGGTAATAAATTTTGTCATGTTTCTTGTCCAAAAATTCAATAGAATATATCCAAAATTCCAATAAACTACCTCTGTTGCACGTGTTGCCCGCTGCTTTGTTTACAACTGTGTTTAAGGGTTCACTACATACGAAAAGTGCCATTGGCGATAGGTCGCACTAAATGCGTTTTGGGTGTTGGCAATATGTAGATGGTTGGCAACATTGCACGAAGAATACAAGTAGAAACTCTGCAATTTGACAGTTAATCCTTATTTACATGTAAAATTCAGGATTTAGGACTGCTGCGAAATTTATTTCATAAAACCGGCACAGTTTTGCGTCATTTAACATACAAAAAACGGTGGCTCTAGCGTAATTTATTTTAAACAACGCACGAAAATAACATATTAGGATAGAATTAAGGTCTTGAATAGCCCCACCGTTGGTCGAAATATGAAAAAGGGCACGTCTGGCAAGAAATCATCATCTTCTGGAATAGCGAATGCTAGGCATGCCACAAGCAGCTCTGAACGCAATGCTGAACTTAAGGCCTCTACGTTGACGAGGAGGAGGCGGCACAGACGGCACAGGAGGCGGCACAGACTATTGGGTGGTCCACCGAGCATCTCCTGTGTCACTATAGAAACCTAAAGTGGTTAGGCTTCCAAAGGCGGCATTTTTTGTTTTCTCTGAAATTTGGGTGGTAGCAAATCGCCAAATTTCCAAAATACAAAAGAAAGAAAAAAAAACGTCAAAAGTGTTAGCATTTTAAAGATTTTTTTAATATTTTATTTATTTTTTATATATCTTATTATATAAATTGCAAAAATTAAAAATTAAACCTGCACAAATTAAACTACAGCGAATAGGTTCAAAAGGAAATGTCAACAAAATTAGAAACCTAAAGTAGTTAGAAAAGTGCAACCTTATAGTACGTTTACATTGTACTGGATTTCGTTAAGCCAGTGGGTTTCAATTGTCAATTCCATTGTATACATGCCAAATAAATCCTCATAGAGTAGGTTAACCCGGTAAAAAGTTCACTGTACTGTAAAATTATTGTTTTTTGCTCTTTTTATATAATTTAACAATATAAATTTTAATATTTCATTAATAAAAAAATTAATAATTATCCTAAAACAGCGATTTTTAATATTTTTATCCAGAATTAATCACAATTTAAAACAAAACATTGACATCCAATGGCATCTAGATTACCACAATTCGCTGCAGTGAATATGTCTCCTATTGGACCAATTTATAGCCTAAACTGATGCAATTGCAAATAAATCTACAATTAAATGACGAGTGTAAACTAATTAAACAAATAAATAATTATAATTTGTTAAATGATATCAAAAATATTGATTTTTAGTGTTTAAATTCAAAATTAATCAAAACAAAAACAATTGTTTACAGTGACAGCAAATGACAACTAGTTCACCATAGTTCATTGCAGTGAATATTCCTCTTTTTGAACCAATTTATAGCCCAATTGACAAATAGCTCTTCTCTGTGCTTAAAAATTAATGAAATTGCAAATAAATCTACAATTAACTGACGAGTGAAGTCAAATTAAACAAATAAATAATTATATTTTGTAAAATGCTATCAAAACTAGCGATTTTCAATGTTTAAATTCAATATTAATCAAAACAAAAAGCAATTGTTTACAGTGACAGCGAATGGCATCTAGTTCACTACATTTCATTCCAGTGAATATTCCTCTTATTGAACCAAGTTATAGCCCGAGCTGACAATTACTTCTTCTCTGTGCTTGAGGACTGGTACAATAGTAGATAAATCTACTAATAAACGACAAGTGAAGGCAAATTAAACAAATCTATAACTATATTTCGTTAAATCTTATCTTAAATTCAAAATTAATCAAAACAAAAAATTGTTTACAGTGACAGCAAATGACAACTAGTTCACCACAGTTCATTGCAGTGAATATACCCGTTATTGAACCACTTTATATTATAGTCCAATTGACAGTTAATTAGACAACGTTCTTCTTCATTGTGCATGATGACTGATGCAATTGCAAATTTATTAAACAAATAATTAAAACAACGGAGTGAAAACAAATTAAAAAAAAATCAAAGAAAAATAATTAAATTATATTGCCGTGTTTGTTTTTTTTTTGTGCAAATGTTCCAAGAATTATATATGAAACATAATAAAAAGTAATACAAATGAAAATGGAAGAATGAATTGAAAAGAAAACATTAAACATTGCAAATTTTCGTTTTTTAAACAAAATGGCTTAGTAAATAATTTTTGCAAAATAAGGTGTGTGTTTTTGTAAACTTTTATTAAATTGTGAAAATATTTTGAAAAATTACATGGACATTTTATTTGAAAAACAGAAGAAAAATTATGGTGAAAATACATTTTTGTAGTGTATAAAGTTTGTGACGTCACATCGTATGATCGCAATACGGCATTTTGATTGGTTGTCCCAATGTATTCCCCCTCTTCGTTTTTCCCCATACCTCCCATCCGTCTTCCCATTACCTACCGCCGCCGTTATAAACACCCATCATCGTCGTGTTAAAGCAAGCAGCTGTTTATGTTTTTATTTTCTTCTAGCGCGTGTGTGTTTTTGTTTTCCTTATTGTTGTCGTGGTGTTGTTGCTTTCTGTCGCGCTAAATAGGTGAAATCCCATTTTTAGTGGGCAATGCGTAATAAGAAAAGTAATACAACAAAAAAAATTATATAGCAAATCTAATTGGAATTTTTCAAAAAATATTTTATTCATGATAATTCTTGATAATTGCCTTAAAAGAAATTGTAAAGTGTGGGATGTGTGTGTGTCTCAAGTGTGCAATTTACTGTTTTTTTTTTGATTAGGGAGAGATAGAGAGAGTGGCAAATTGAGATTGTATGGAGAATTGTCACCGCCACCGTGCTTAAACATGTGTAGATTAGTTGTAATGTGAAATTGTTTTTTATTTACGACATTTGCTATTTACTAGTCATTAATTATTTTTGCAAAATATTTATATGTCTTTATTTTTTTTTTGTATTTCTATTTCTTTGTTAATAGGAAAATCACAACTGATAAGATATTTCATTGTGGATGAAAAATAACTTTGTGTCGTATCATCTTCGTAATCGTGGAAGAGGAAAATCTTAATAATTTTAAAATGGATATGGATCCATCTTTAGATATGGATCTAATGTCCAGTGGCATGGTTGAGTCGTTGGATCTATTTAAAGATGAGGATGCCTTAACCATAATTAAGGAAATGATGTCACCGGGTAAGTAAATAAACTATAAAAAAAAATAAAATTAATTTGTAATCTATATTTTGTATAATTAGATGTGGCGGAATGTAATCATGAACAAACGTGTTATAATCTACACTGCTTAGAATTAGGATTTTTTGCAAAAAAAATATTATCCAATTATGATGAAATTTGGTACAACCCATTTAATAGGCCCAATGATGAACGTAATTGAATATGACAAAAATCGTTTCAAATTTAGATATAGCTCCCATATATAATTACGTCGGATTTCATGTAAAATGTGCATCGGACCCCGCAAAGTTTGTTCAATTGACAGCAAATTTTGCACGGTGGTTCGAAATGGTTACAAAATGACTAGTGCCAAGTTTGCTTTAAATCGCTTCCGATTTAGATATAGCTCCCATTAATAAATTCGTCGGATTTCATGTTAATGGCGCATTAAAGTTCCAACATCTGTTCAATTGACACTAAATTTTGTATGGCGTAGCGAAACGAATCCACAATGACTTGTGTCAAGTTTGCTTTAAATCGCTTCAGATTTAGATATAGCTCCCATATATAATTTCGTCAGATTTCATGTAAAATGTCCAACAAACCCCCCAAAGTTCGTCCAATTGACACCAAATTTTGCAAGGCGAATCAAAATAAGTCCAGAATGACTAGAGTCAAGTTTGATTTAGATCGCTTTAGATTTACACATAGATGACCTGGAGGATCCTCTACAATGGAGTAGATGACCTGAAGTATCCTCTACAATAGAATAGTTGACCTGAAGAGTCCTCTACGTAGAGTCGATGACATGAAGGATCCGCTACAACAGAGTAGTTGACCTGCAGGGTTCTCTACAGTAGAGTAGATAACCTGATGGTTCCTCTACAATAGAGTAGAACATGAAGTGTCCTCCACAGTAGAGTAGATGACCTCCAGAGTCCTCTATAATAGAGTAGATGACCTCAAGAGTCCTTTATTTGTATTTTAGAGAGCCCTTCAGGTCATCTACTCTACTGTAGAGGACCCTTCAGGGGGCCCTTCAGGTCATCTACTCTATTGTAGGGGGCCCTTCAGGTCATCTACTCTGTTGTAGAGTATTTTTTAGGTCATCCCGTCATTTCATATACTTTATTGCAGAGGATTTCAGAAGTCATCTACTCTGTTGTGGAGGGCCCTTCATGTCATCTACTCTATTGTAGGTCATTTACTTAATTGTAAACGTCTTTTGTAGAGGACCCTTCAGGTCATATACTCTATTGCAGAGGACCCTTCAGGCCACCTACTCTGTCATAGAGGACCCTTCAAGTTATCTACTCTATTGTAAAGTACCCTTGAGGACATCTGTAGTATTTTAGAGGACCCTTCAGGTCATCTACTGTACATTAGTGGACCCTTCAGGCCATTTACTCTATTGTATAGGTCTTTTGAGGTCATCTACTCTATTGTAGAGGACTCTTCTGGTCATCTAGTCTATTGTAGAGGACCCTACCTATTGTTGATCAGGGCCTTTTTAACAGTTTTTTTAAATTCTTTTTAATTTCGTCTTCTCTTTCTCCCCCTTTTTTCTAGACATGTTGAAAAACTTTCTCGATGACATCGATCAAGTTCAGCTGCCCAATGAATTGCTTGCTAATATGGATTGCCCCATGATGGATAGTCCAAATATTAAGTCCGAACTACTTACCATGGATACCAGCAATCAACAACAACAACAATATCGGCCGCAGCAGCAACAACATGCTCAACAACATATTAAACAAGAAAATCTATCACCCTTGCAGATGTCACCGCAGCATAATCATGATATGGGTGCATCACCTGTTTATAAACCACTGCTATCCTCTGATCCTCTTATGGCTTCAAATTTTAGTCCCCTACCACCAATGTCCAGCCCATCCATGTTACCATCACCTGGCGGTTTATTACAGCCACAAAGATCCAATACTCCCCAGGGGGTGACTTCGACAACACCCATGTCGAATAGGCATCATCAAATCAGTCAGCAGCAGCATTCTCCCAATCTTTTACAACAAATGCAAATGGATACTACAACAACAACATCGGCAAATATGGTCAATAATGGAAATATAATATTACAACAACAACAACAAATTAATAATCCAAATACAAACACATCGGCAACATTGCAATTGGCAACTGTTGCTGCCAGCGGTGGTCATCATCATCTGGATCTGAATAATCAGACCATGAATGGTCTGCCGCCCTCAATTATTTATGCCACATCGGCGGCGGGTACAGCTACCGGAACAGTTGTTAATGGCAACAATACATTTATATTGCAGTCAGCTGTACCTCCACCTACAACAACAAACAATAACAATAATCTGACACATGAGAAAAAAGTACAAATCCCTCTGGGTAGCAATAGCAATACAGGTGCCGTTCTTAAAGGCTCCATAGCATCGCAACAACAACAGCAACAATTTTTGAAAAAAATCCAAACCCTACCACAAATTTTAACTGTGCAAAGTATTGGAACTGTTGCAGCCGCAGCCAATGGCAATGCCAATGATAAATCACAGGCCGCCAACGGAATTCCAACCACAACCTTAAAGGTAAGAACTGAAGTCATAGCACTTTAACAAAAGACTAAAGACCGATTTCGGATGTCTTGGAAGGAAGTCAAATCAGATTTCGTAAAGTAATATCTAAAAGATCCCAAATTCATTGCTGGTATTAAAAAAACTGGATGTCACATGGACTCAGTCATCAAGCTTTGAGGTCATCTATACAGGACCTTCAAGTCATCTATAGAGGACCTTGAGGTCATCTACGGTATTGTAGAGAACGCTTCAGTTCATATACTCTATTGTAGAGGACCCTTCAGGTCATCTAGTCTATTATAGAGGACTTTTAAGGTCATCAATTCTATTGTAGAGGATTCTTCAGGTTATATACTCTATTGTAGAGAAACCTTCAGGTCATCTATTCTATTGTAGAGGATTGTTCAGGTCATCTACTATATTGCAGAGGACACTTCAGGTCATCTATTCTATTGTTATGGACCTTTGAGCCCATCTGTAGTATTTTAGAGAACTCTTCAGGTCATCAACTCTATTATAGAGAACGCTTCAGCTCATCTTCTCTATTTTAGAGGACCCTTCAGGCCATCAACTCTATATTAGAGGAATCTTCAGGGCATCAAATCTATTGTAGAGGACTCTTGAGGTCATCTAATGTGTTGTAGAGTATTTTTGAGGTCATCCACTCTACTTGTAGTGGACCCTTCAGTTCATATTCCCTATTGCAGAGGATTTCTGAGGTCATCTAACCTGTTGTAGAGGACCCTTCAGGTCATCAACACTATTGCAGAGAACCCTCTGGACATCTACTCTATTGTAGAGAACACTTGAGGTCAACTACTCTATTGTAAAGGACCCTTGCGGCCATCTGTAGTATATTAGAGGATTCTTCAGGTCATCTACTCTTCCGACTTTGGACTTCAAATCGGCTTCAATTTAAAAAATTGATTTTTTAATTTTGTTTTTTTTTATCCTTTTCAGTATACCACAACTCAATCTGCAAATAATCCCTCACAACAACATCACCATCAACAACAACTGCAGCCGCAGCAGCAGCAACAACAACAGACAACAATTCAAACCCAAGCCCATCCGCAAGCACCACAAGTGATTATACAAACCAATCCGGTGATGTATACCACAGCCAATGGTACGGCAATATTGGCATCGCATATACCAGTCGTATTGGAACCCGTAACCGCATCTGTTGCCACTACCAACTCCTCACCATCTTCATCGCCCGGTTTGACAGCAGGCAACCACCATCAACCTCAACAGTCGGGACAATCACCGCCGCAAGATAAATTACCCATAAATCGTAGTCCCCAATCGCAATCCCAACCGCCCCAGCCCAAGGTAAAGGAGGTTAAACGTTCGGCCCACAATGCCATCGAACGTCGCTATCGTACCTCGATCAATGACAAAATTAATGAACTTAAAAATCTGGTCGTTGGCGAGTCGGCGAAGCTCAACAAATCCGCAGTTTTACGTAAATCTGTCGATAAAATTCGTGAATTGCAACGTCAAAATTATGAGCTGCGTATGGAGGTACAACGTCTGCAGGGTGAATTGATGTCACGTGATGGTTCCAAGGTACAAGATCTATTACATCCATCGTCGGTCAGTGCTGGTGGTTCGGGTGGCAAAAAACGCAAAGCCTCCTCCATTGAGGGTCTTATTATGTATGGCAAAGAAGCTGCTAATCTAATGACACCACCACGCAGCGATGATTCAGATCCATCGCTATCACCCAGCCATTCAGATTCATCAATGCCACCATCACCCTACGACAGTTCCAGTTCATCAACGGCCAGTGTTAAGGATGGTGACATTGAAATGTTACCGAAATCTATGCAAGGAATGGCTGCCCATTCTCGGCTGGCTTTGTGCATGTTTATGTTTGCCATTTTGGCCGTGAATCCATTTAAGAATTTCTTGGGTAATACGGGACTGGGCGGCAGCGGAGAATATATGTTCGATGATGATGATCTGGTTGGACAGAGGAAAATATTATCGGTGGATGATGCAGGTAAGATCAAAAAGAATATATTTTTCAAGATCTAGACGATCATTGGGGTCTTCTATGATATCGAAGACGGTTCTAAGAGTAATCCACAGAATTGAAAATGGGTTTGGGGCCATCTACAGTATTTTAGAGGACGCTTCAGGTCATTTACTCTTTTGTAGAGGACCCTTGAGGTCATCTGCATTATTGTAGTGGACCCTTCAGGTCATCTGCATTATTGTAGAGTACCCTTCAGGTCATCTACTCTATTGTATTCAGGTCATCTGCATTATTGTAGAGGAACCTTCAGGCCATCTACAGTATTGTAGAAGACTTTTCAGGTCATCTACTCCATTGTAGAGGACACTTAAGGCAATCTACTCAACTCTAGAGGATTCTTCAGGCCATTTTCTCTATTATAGAGGGTATCTACTATATTGTAGAAGACCCTTCGGACGCTTCAGGTCATCTACTCTATTGTAGAGATCCCTTCAGGTTAACTACTCTATTGTAGATAACACTTTCATGTCATCTATAGTATTGTAGCCGATCCTTGAGATCATCTACAGTATGGTAGAGGTCTCTTGAGGCCATCTTCATTGTATATTCAGGTTATCCAACCTTGGAGATCCATCTATTCTACTCTACAGCAAAGACCCTTAATGCCATCTACAGTATTGTAGAGGACCCTTAGGTCATCTACTCCATTGTATGCCACCTTTTTATATCACAATTTCAACATAGCCTTATAATTTTTTTAATAATTTTCTTTGTGCATCCCCTTCCAGATATGGGTGCCAAGATTTGGGCCAATTCCACCTCTTCCTTGATATTATGGACCATGAATATATTGGTGATGTTAATGTGTATGATAAAACTTTTGGTCTATGGTGATCCTTTGCTGGCATCCGAAACCCAAGCATCCGAAGCCTATTGGAAACACAAGAAACTGGCCGAACAATATTTCAATACAGTAAGTGGCAGAACCCTAAGAAATAGAAACTCTATCTTAATTTCATTTTTTTCTTTCCAGGGCGATTCTAAGAATGCCTATTCGGAATATCTGCGCTGCCTGCAAATCTTCGGCATTTCATTGCCCACCACACGTTTGGAATCCTTTACCCTGACTAGCTGGCAATTTATACGTCTCTTCTTTCATCGTATATGGATCGGTAGGGCATTGTCACGTAAGGCAGGTGGCCTCTTCTGCAGTGAAGAACAACGTAAAGAGGCATTGGCATCGGCCCGTGAATTGGCGCTGATCTTCAATCGTCTAAATCAATTACATTTGACATCGAAAATTAATGATTCCCACGGCCTGGTTATGTCTTTGTATGCCATCAATATGACCGAAGTGGCTGCCCACCTCCTGACACCCAGTGAGTTGGCTAGCATTTTTATAACATCGGCCCTGCGCGTGAAACGCAGCTATCCAAGTTATTTGAAATTCTTTGGTCGCTATTTCATCAGTCGGGCCAAAACGGAAAATTCCAAAATTCACGATCAAACCCGTGAGACACATTGGCTATTCACTTCGTACGGTTATCGTTATTTTATCACCCACGATTTTGATTTTGTCGAGAATGTAGAGAAGGAAAATCCCTCGGCTTCACTGTTTGCTACCCTCAGCAACCCTTCGGATCCAATGTCGTATGTGGTAAAACATTATCGTGAACATTTACTTCTCCGTGCGATACAATGTTTATTGGGCTCCTCAGGTGGTGGCGGTCATAAGAATCATAATAAACAGCAGCCAAGTGGTGGTAAGGGAAATGGATCTACAGACACCAGCTCCTCTGCACCAGCACCCGGTACCATTGTTAGCAATGTCTTGAAATATACATCTCTACTGCGTGACACCTTGTCCAATGAAAATATGGATATAAAAAGTGAATGGTGGTCTAGTGTATTGGAAATTTCCGTACATTGGCTATTGGGTGAAGACACTTTGGCCGATAATCTATTGGAAACAGTGAAGACGTTACCGAAACCATTGCTCGAAAGTGGTGATCATTTGCCAAAGGCTTTGCATACAATTCTGAAGGCGAAGGCAATGTTAATGGGGTAAGATTTGAAATAAAAAATTTATATATTTTTTTTAATCCGTCGCGATGACCCCCGGTGTAGTAGATGACACTTGAAGACAACTACAGTATTGTAGACGACTTGTAAGGACATCTACAGTATTGTAGAGGACTCTTGAGGTCATCTGCATTATTGTAGAGGGCCCTTCAGATTATCTATGGTATTGTAGAGGACCCTTGAGGCCATCTATGCTATTGTAGATGATCCTTCAGGTCATTTACTCTAATGTAGAGAAAACTTGAGGTTATCTACAGTATTTTAGAGGACCCTTCAGGTCATTTGCTCTATGGTAGAGGACTCTTCATGTCTTCTGCTTTATTGTACAGGATACATGAGGTCATTTACGGTATTATAGAGTACACTTCAGGTCATTTACTCGATTGTAGAGGTCCCTTCAGGTCACCAATTCTATTATAAAGGACCCTTCAGGTCTACTACACTATTGTAGAGGACCTTTCAGGTCATCTACTCTATTGTAGATGACACTTCAGATCATACCTTCAGGGCATCTACTCTTTTGTAGAGGTATTGTAGTTGACACTTAAGGTCATCTACGTCATCTACGCTATTGTAGAGGAACCTTGAGGTCATATACAGTATTTTAGAGGAACCTTGGGGTCATCTATAGTATTTTAGAGGACTCTTCAGGTCATCTGCCCTATTGCAGAGGCTCCATGAGGTCATTTACGGTATTATAGAGGACTCTTTAGGTCATCTACTCGATTGTAGAGGTCCTTCAGGTCACCTATTCTATTGTAGAGGACCCTTCAGGCCATCTACTCTATTGTAAAGGATCCTTCAGGTCACCTGCTGTTATACTGTTATAAAAAATATAACAGTTTAAAGTGTTATATTTTTTATTTTCAATATGAACTGTTATACAAAAAATATAACTTTTATACTACAGTTATACAAAAAATTTAACTGTTATAAAGTGTTATAATTTTTTAATTTTTTTTATTTTCAATACTAACTGTTGTACAAAAATATAACTGTTATACTAACTGTTATATAAAAAATATAACTGTTATAGTGTTATAATTTTTCCATTTTTTTATTTTCAATACTGACTGTTATACAAAAAATAACTCTTATACAAACTGTCATATAAAAATATAAATGTTATAAGGTGTTGTAATTTTTAATTTTTTTTTTATTTTCAATACTAACTGTTATACAAAAAGTATAACTCTTATACAAACTGTTATAAAAAAAATATAACTGTTATAAAGTGTTATAATTTTTTCAATTTTTTTTTTAATTTAAATTTTATTTTCATTTATTTCTCCAGCAACAATGCCAACACCTTGGAAAGTCGGGACATACAAAAAATAATGCATATATGTGATGAGTCCAGTGCCTATTTGCAGGAATGTTTGACCGTCAATAAAATCACCAATGCCAAGGGTATTAAATTGGTAAGCTACTCCTCCATCTCCCCTCTCCTCTCTTTCACTCTCTTTTCCCCCATAAAACACCTTTTAGGTTTTAGATTAGACATTTTGATATTCGACAAATGTGCATTGTAGTCGCATTGTCTGTGCGAATTTCTTTCCGCCCATTTCGATATTCAGACAATACTTCTGCAATGCAAACTTTGTTAATATTCAATGGCATCCGAGTGTATGTGTGTGAAATAGTTATGTGTTTCCTTAGTACTAAATTTAAAAAATATATATTTTTATTAATTGAAAAAAATCTCCTCCCCTACCCGACAAAAAAAATGTCCAGCTTTTCCAATTACTTACCTGTGATTGGATATTGGAAACACGCACCGAACTTTGGGAATCCGAATATATGACCATTGATGATGATGGCTATTATCAGGTACCCGGTGATGTATTGGAGAAATTCCAAAAGGATTTGAATTCATTGCGCAGCATTGTTGAGGATATACCGGTAAGGAGGATTTAAAAAAAGTCTAACTCAATTTTTTAACAAAAAATTTTCTGTTGGCAGAGTGGCCAGTCCCGCATCTATTTATATGAAGCTGTATGCCGTCTCATGGCTGGTGCCTCGCCGGGGCCAACACAACAACTATTGGATCGTAGTTTGCGCCATCGCCATGCCCGCTCCTCAATCATTTGCGGTGGCAAAGATAAAAATCACAATTTGGAGGGTGGTGAAAGGGAACGAGCGGCTGCTATGTATGTGGCCTGCAAATATTTACCCTCAGCTCTATTATGCTCACCAGGTGAACGGGCCGGTATGTTAGCGGAGGCCGCAAAAACATTGGAAAAAGTTGGCGATAAACGTAAACTGAAGGAATGCTATCAACTGATGAAATCTTTGGGCAGTGGTTCTGCTGTTACTAATTAAAGACTTTATTTGAAAAATACACTTATTTTTATTAGTTTTAAAATATTTTTAAACACACATTTAATATTTGTTTAAGGCTTTCTCGAAGTGAAATAGTTTTTTCTTTTCTTTACCCCGATTTTTCTTTTCACTTTTTTAAATTTGATTTTTATGGCACACAGATTTTTTTCATTTTGGGAACAATTGCATCCTCTTTGTTTTTCTTCGGCTTCTGCTTGTTATGAACAATAATATATAAGTATATATGTATGTATGTATTTTGATCAATAAATCTATAAACGTAACCCATGGTACAATAAGAGTAAGGAACCTCTGGCCGTTTTTTATTGAGTTTTCGCAGGCAAATATCTTCAAGAAACTAAAAAAAATTTAAAATATTTTTGAAAAATTTTTAATTGCCTATGGGATCCAAAAAAATTAAAAATAACCTTGTACCTTATCCAGTTTGCTGGAGGCCGACTTGTGGCGCAGGCAGTTCCACCAAATAAGAGAACCATAGGAAAGGATGGGCCTTAACACGGTGTTATACAACCAGTGTGTTGTCGATGGTTTTAGCCCCCAACTTTTCCCAATGGAATTCTTGCATGCCTACAGTGTAATCAGCCCTGGTGGTGTTTATACGACTCCTAATCTCCAGGTCGATCAGTCTTTCGATAGTCTTGAGGAGAATGGATGATATGCTAATTGGGTTTATAGTCCTTTGGTGCAGAGTGGCTTTGTTTACCTTTATATCGTTCTATAGATCCGGAACTCACGAGAGAGTCAATACTTAGCGAGGCAAATTGAAACATCGCCGGTGTGATTCCATCTGGTCCTGGCGATTTATATGGTTTGAATGTATTGACTGTCCAGCGTATCTTATTTCTGTTAACCACCTTGCCAATGAGATCCAATACTAGAGTCGCGAGAGGCTGAGTGTCATCACGTTCACTGTTGATTGTATTCACATCTTTGCAACCTGGGAAATGAATCTCAGCTAGAAGATTAAGAGTCTCAGAACCAGAGTCCGTTCACGCTCCATCCTCTTTCTTGATACTCCCAATGGATTTCGGATCCTTCGTTAGTAATCTTCGAAACCTAGCAGCGTCGTTGACTCACTGAAATTTATCCAAGGCTCCATTGAGTTCCACAGCTATGTCTAAGTTTGTATTAAATGTCAGCTGGGAATTCGCTAGATCCGTGTATTTCTTCCAGTTAGTTCTCCTCGGATTCCTATAAGGCTGTTGTTTACCTCCGTCAAAAGAGACCTCGAAGAAAATCTTCAAATGATCTGAAAAGGAACATTCATCAGATACTCTCCAATTGCTGATGACGGAGTCATCTAGATTTGAGAGGGTTAAATCAATGACCTCCTCTCTACCCCTAATTTTAAAGGTTGGATCGCTACCCCTATTACATATACGTAAATTATTTGATACAATAAAATCGAAAATAGACTCACCACGTTTGTTAGTTTCCTTGCTGCTACCCCATTGGAAATTGTGAGCGTTTGCCTCGCATCCCAGGATGTCGTTGCAGGTGCTCGTCATTTCGTCGAGCATCCTTCGGACACCAGGGGTTTGGTGGGTCCACTTCCTCAAATGACATGTAGATTGAGGAGAGCAAAGTGGCCATCCCCGTCGAATGCTCCAGCCTTACTGTTCACATGTCACCGTTTCTGTAATTAGATTAGACTTAAACTCTTTTTACCTACTATATAGGTCCTCACCATACCGCTTGGTATCTCTTGGACCGCTACAGCTGGCAGTCTGCTAACTTCCCAAAGAGGGTCCAAGTTGTTAATTGTCTTCTTAAGGAAGTCCGCAGTCTTCTTAGAGCGACAATTAAAAACATTGACGCCTTTGTATAAGGAGGTCTGGCCAAACCGTAGGTTCTGTCGATCAACCTCGTCGTATAGGAAGAGGTCCTTCAGATAGCTGTCGACCAGGAACCACATATCCTGGTCGACAGCTATCGCAGATCATCCAGAACCTTTTGAGGAGCAACAGGGTCGCTAAGCGCCATTGTAAGTTTCTGGGCGACCCTTTTTATAAGAAGGTCTGGCCAAACAGTAGGCTCTGTCGATTAACCATGTCGGATAGGAAGAGGTCCTTCAATTAGCTGTCGACCAGTAACCATTTATCTTCGCTGATGATACCGTCAGGATCAGCTCGGTCCATAATTGCTATTCGCAGATCATCCGGAACCTCTTGTGAAGCAGCAGAGTCGCTGAGCGCCATTGTAAGTTTCTGGGCTACCTGCTTCGAGACAGCGTGTTTGGCTTCCACCACACACTCACCGCTCTTGGCAGGTTTCTCCTTGGACGCTACGATCGACGCAAATGAAACAGAGCTTTGTGTAGTCGACGACTGCGTGGGTCTCTTTGCAGCAGGACCTCATCATGAAAGCCGTGGGCTGTGGTCGAGATTTGGCACTCGGGTTGCAACAGCCGCAGATATATGCCCAGCCGACGCAGGCACCTGCTTCGCGCTCGCTATCTTCGGCGCATCCACTAGCAACTGCCCAATGCAGTCACAGCCTTGGGTATCGGCTTTGGCAATTCGACAGAGGGTGGTTGTGTCTTATCGGTCTTCTTGAAGGCCTTTTTACGGGCTTTCCTTCGGGTCGACTTCGACAGTCCCCTACCTTCCGTCTTTGAGGATGCTGGTGTCTGGGAGGTCTCAGTAATTAGTTTACCCTTGAGGGCTTTGATGTCTCAGGCATCAGCTTCCTAGGTGTACTAGAACCCCCGACAGGTTCTCCTTCTTTGGGACGTCTCAGTACTAAGTTGACCCTTGGGGGGTGCTGAGGGCTTAGAAGCCTGCGGCATTAGCTTCCCAGGTGTAATAGAACCCCCGACAGGTTTCTCCTTCTTTGAAGGAACTAGCCTGGTGGTCTTAGTACTGGGTCGGGGGATCCTTTCAATCAAGAAGTCCCTCTCAATATCGTACGGATAGTTCCTGGATAACTTCCGGATAAATTTGGATTAAAAGGAACTCCTTTGCCGTGATAGAGTCGCTGTTCCATCCGATGAATCAATTGCAGTAGTTAACTGCTCTCCGGTATATATTCTTGTCAGCGATCTCCTTGTCATCGACTTGCCTAGCAGTTACTGGTACTGATGAATCATCCATCTTATCGACGGGGGTCTCATCACTATCAGTATCCGTTTCGACAGCCAACTGCCTGAGTAATCTTCCGACATCACTACAGGCCGTGGAGATTGAGTGCAGATCTTTGACCTCGCCAGGGTTTATTTCCCTAGTTAGCAACTGGGAGGGCTCTCCTTGCTTCGGCTCCATAGAATTTGCTGTATGTGAGGGATTGAGGTCGACCCGACAGGTTTCTCCTTCTTTGAAGGGACTGCCGTGGTGTTCTTAGTACTGGGTCGGGGGATCCTTCCAATCAAGAAGTCCCTCTAAATATCGTTCGGATAGTTCCTGGAGAACTTCCGGATAAATTTGAGGTTCCTCTGGATTAAAAGGAACTCCTTTGCCTCTGAATTAAAAGGAACTCCTTTGCCGTGATGGAGTCGTTGTCCCGTCCGATGGATCTTGGCAGCGATCTCCTTGGCATCGAATTGCCTAGGACTTACTGGTGTCGACGGGGGTCTCATAAGTACCAGTATCCGTTTCGACAGCCAACTGTCTGAGTAATCTTCCGACATCACTACAGGCCGTGAAGATTGAGTGCAGATCTTCAACCTCGCAAGGGTTTACTTCCCTTGTTAGCAACTGGGAGGGCTCTCCTTGCTTTGGCTCCATATAATGTGCTGTATGTGAGGGATTTAGGTCGACCATGGCATAGCCTGTATAGCCATAGACTTGGCAGCTAAGCCTGAAAAAGCTTGTTGCGGCGCCCAGGTATCAACAAGGCTCCGTTCTAATACAGTCGGGACCCTGACTGCAAACTGTAGAACGCTGATGGGAACGAGGTTGCATGACACCCAACGTTAGGGGGATCACTTTAAAAGGTAGTAACCCAGACCTTAAAAAAATTTGTTATGTAGTTTTTCCAAATAAAAATTAAAAAAAAAAATATATATTAAAAAAAAAATAGGTAGGTTATTTTTATTTTTTTCTTTATTTTTCCTTTTTAATAATTTAAGTTATATAATAATTTATAAGCATTATACAATATTATCATATATGTATATATTTGTATTTATATTTTTGTGACCATACGGGGCCCTAGAGCTTTTGATTAAAATATAATTGCTTATATAGATTTCTTTTTTTGCTGAATAATTAGAAGACATTTCTACAGATGGGGCATGTTGATTTGGAACTGGTTGTGAACCATTTATACTGGAAAGAAAAAGAAGAAAAACAACAATAAATTAAAAAATTAATAAAATCCGAATTTCTGCCTGCCCGACTTACCAAACATGGCCCATGGAATTTCTTTTTACATGTTTTACATGTCAATTTCGGCAACTGGCAAGTATCCTGATGTATGACTGTATAACAGACATAGCACTCTTCGACACCCTCTAATTTCTTGTCCAGATTATTTTTCCACAGGGCCAGGCCATCGAAAATTGTGCCGTTCTAGAGATGGAGAAAAAAACAACGAAATTTTCATTTTTATTTCCAAAAATCCCCCCTTCCCCCAAATTCCGCATACCTGATGGGTGAGGAAAATGGTCAATTGCATGGCAACATTACGTGATGAGGCTCGGCCACCAATTTGCTTATTACAATCGACCTTAACGGAACCCAAAGGGTAATTTGATGCCAAGGTTATGACCAATTCCATTCGTGCCTCATCAATGGCATAGACAGCCAAAACTTCTCGTGTCGATATGTGTACGGTAACCTGCATATTTTCATGTTTATCCTTCTTCCCAGCAATGGCCATTAGTTCTTCTTGACAAATGATAGGTGATACGAAATTCGTTGTAAGGGTATCGACAAAGGTCTTTTGTCGTGATGGACTGGTATTCCACCATTTACGTACGACAGCGGGTAATTTACTAAGGACATCGGTGTAAAGGTGGCAGGTGTATTTCTCCAATGATAAGTTGGGATCTAAAAGGGAAGACAGGAAGAGAGAAGACAAATTTTGAGGTTAGGTACAATTTGGCAAATGAAATTTAATATATTTGAGCACGCTTTTTTCAACTGAATTCGTTGTAATTTGGTATTTTGGGTTTTCATTGCGTGGCAAATCTTCATACCAAAAATTATCCATATCGTTCCACTTTTAGATATAACCCCTATATATATAAGATCCTTCCCTTTTCGGTATTTTGCGGATTCTGGACACAAATTGCATTCGAATTGGCTGTAATTTGACATTTTGGATTCTCATTGGGTGGCAAATCTTCCTAACAAAAATGATCAGTCTCGGACGATGTTTTGGTATAGCCTCTCTATAACGGAACCTCTAATTATTGGTATTTTTGGGCATGTTTTTCCACCGAATTGGCTGTAATATGATATATTGCGTTCTCATTTCGTGGCAATTCTTCCCACCAAAAATTATAAATATCGGTCCACTTTTAGGTATAGCCCCCATATAACGGTACTCCCAATATTCGGCATTTTCACCACAATTTTCAACCGAATTGACTGTAATTTTATATTTTGAGTTCTCTATGGGTGAAAAATCTTCCTACCAAAAATTATCAATATCGGTCCACGTTTTTCTATAGTCCCCATATAAAGGCACCTCCAAAATTTCAAAATTTGGATGACTTTTTGCAACCGAATTGGCTGTAATTTAATATTTTGGGTTCTCATATGTCGGCAAATCTCCCTACCAAAAATTATCAATATCGGTCCATGTTTTGATATAGCCCCCATATAACGGAACTCTCCATTTTCAGGATTTTGAGAATTTTGGATACGTTTTCCAACCGAATTGGCAGTAGTTTGATAAATTGGGTTTCTTTTTGGGCAGCAAATCTTCCTACAAAAATTATCGATATCGGTCCACCTTTAGGTATAGCCCCCATATAGCGGTACCACCAATTTTCGGTATTTTGGGTATGTTTTTTAATCGAATTGGCTGTAATTTGGTATTTTGGGTTCGCATTGGCTGGCAAATCTTCCTACCAAAAATTATGAATATCGGTCCACTTTTAGGTATAGGCCCCATATACGGGTACTTTTAATATCTGGTATATTGGGTTCGTTTTTTATCCGAATTGGCTGTAATTTGATATTTTGGATTCTCATTGGGTGGCAAAATCTTCCTACCAAAAATTATCAGCATCGGACGATGTTTTGGTATGACCCCCCTATTACGGTACCTCTAATTATTGGTACTTTGGGCATGTTTTTTCAATCGAATTGAATGTAATTCTATATTTTGAGTTCTCTTTGGGTATCACACCTTCCTACCAAAAATGATAAATATCGGTCCATATTTAGGTATACCTCCCATATTGCGGGATATCCAAATTACAGTATTTAGGGCACATTTTTCAACCGATTTGACTGTAATTTTATATGTTGAGTTCTCTTTGGGTGGAAATCTTCCTACCAAAAATTATCAATATCGGTCCACTTTTTGTTATAGCCCTCATATAACGGAACTCTCGATTTTCGGGATTTTGAGGATTTTAGGCAGGTTCTTTAATCGAATTGACTGTAATTTGATATTTTGGGTTCTCTTTGGATGGCAAATATTCCTTCCAAAAATGATGAATATCGATCCAGGTTTTGGTGTAGGTCCCATATATCGGTACCTCTAATTTTTCGTATTTTCAACCCGTTATTCCTCTGAATTTACTGTAATTTTATATTTTGAGTTCTCTTTTGGTGGAAAATCTTCCTACCAAAAATTATCTATATCGGTCCAGGTTTTGGTATAGGCCCCACATAACGGTATCTCAAAATTTCAGTATATTGAGGATCTTGACCACGTTTTCCACTCGAATTGGTTTTAATGTAATATTTTTGGTTCTCATTAGGTAGCAAATCTTCCTACCAAAAATTGTCAATAGCGGACCAGGTTTCCGAATTTTGGTATTCCGAGGATCTTGAACATATTTTCCAGCCGAATTGGTTCTAATGTGATATTTTAGAGACCTTGTGATTATTCGGGGCCTTGAAAATATTTTTTTTTAAATCCACCCTCGAAAAAACATTTTTTTAAGAAAAAATAGTAGACCCTGCTCGAAAACTCAAAAATATATATTTTTTTAATTTTGCAAAGAATCAGAAAAGAATCGAAATTTTCTCCAAATATGGCCATCAATTTCGAAGAAATTCCCCATGAAATTAGCGTGGCACCAAAGCCGGCGACGCGAACAAAACGCACCGTCCTCGAAGAAATCAATGCTCGGCAACATCTGTTGCAGGAGCGTTCGATAAAATGCAAAAATATTCCAACCTTCTATGAAAAGCCGAAGAAAAAACCCCATCGCTATACCTTCAAATATTTTTGTGTTTGTCCGCGCTATAATCCTCACTACCGGTGCCAGCATCGTGGCGAGAATGTCATCATTGATCGTGATGTTCTAACGGCCCATGAACATATCGTCCATTTGGCAACACCACGAGAAAATCAAGCAGCACCACGTCTGCCGCCACGATTCTATCAAAAGAAATTTATTTTGCCAAATTGTACGGCCCGAATTCACAAATTGGCGATGCCGGATAGTAAGCATGTCATGCATACGTTAGCGAATTTTAAACATATTCTCCCGAAGCGACATCGTTCGGCGTTGAAGGGACGTCTCGAGGAGAAGAAACCTAAAATTGAATATACAAATATTGCAACGGCCCTGGAATGGATGGCCGAGGAGAGGAGGTTGAAGAAAGTCGCAAAGCGAATGGAACGTTTACGTTGCCGCAAAATTCAAAGGCAAATTGTTCAAAAGCAGCGTACCCAAATTAAGAAAATTATTTGTGTTCTCTTCGAAGAGATGCGGGAGTTTCTTTTGAATGATCAATTCATAATCGATGATGCATCGCCGTTGGTCGGGGTGATTATGGAAACATTGAGGGAATTTACAAGTAAGGAGGGAAGACAAAAACAATGGACTGACAAACGTCCCCAAAATCCTCGAAATACTGAAATTTGGGGGTACCGATACACGGGAGCTACACCTAAAGGTGGATCGATATTGATAATTTTTGGTAACAAGATTTTTTGCCTAATGAGAACTCGAAATACCCAACTAGCAGCCCAATCTGTTGGAAAAAGTATCTAAAATCCTCAAAATTTTGAAATTTGAGAGGTACCGCTATATGGGAACTATACCTAAAGATGGTCCGATATTGATACATTTTGGTGACAGCATGTAACACCTAATCAGAAACCAAAATACAAAATTATAGGCATTTCGGTTGGAAGACAGTCTGAAATCCTCAAATATCGAAAATCAGAGGCTACCTTCATATGTGGGCTATACCTAAAGGTGGGCCGATATTGAAAATTTTTGGTAGAAAGGTTTGTTACCCAATGCGAACCAAAAATACCAAATTACAGCCAATTCGGTTAAAAAACAATACCCAAATTACCGAATATAGGGGGTACCGCTACATGGGGGCTATACCTAAAAGGGGACCGATATTCATAATTTTTGGTAGGAAGATTTGCCAGCCAATGGGAACCCAAAATATGAAATTAGAGCCAATTCGCTTTACAAACGAACCCAATATACCAAATATTGAAAGTACCCTTATATGAGGTCTATACCTAAAAGTGGACTGATAATGATAATTTTTGGCATGAAAGTTTGTCATCCAATGAGAACCCAAAATAACAAATTACACCCAATTCGGTTGTTAAAAAGTATCCAAAATCCTCAAAATCCCGAAAAAGGAGGGTTCCGTTATATGGGGTGCTATAACAAAAAGTGGACCGATACTCATAATTTTTGGTAGGAAGATTTGCCATCCAAAGGGAACCCGAAATACCAAATTACAGCCAATTCGGTTGGAAAAAGTATCGAAAAATCCTCAAAATACCGAAAATCGAGAGTTCCGTTATATGGGGTCTATAACAAAAAGTGGAACGATACTCATAATTTTTGGTAGAAAGATTTGCCAGCCAATGAGAACCCAAAATACTAAATTACAGTCAATTCACATTAAAAACGAACGCAATATATCAAATAATGAAAGTACCCTTATATGGGGCCTATACATAAAATTGGACCGATATTGATAATTTTTGGTAGAAAGGTTTAACATCCAATGAGAACCCAAAATATCAAATTACAGCCAATTCGGTTGGAAAACGTAGCCAAAATTCTCAAAATACCGAAAATGGAGAGTTCCGTTATATGGGGGCTATAACAAAAAGTGGACCGATATTCATAATTTTTTGGTAGGAAGGTTTGCCATCCAAAGAGAACCCAAAATACCAAATTGTAGGCCATTCAGTTGAAGTACGTGTTCAAAATTCCGAAAATAAGATGTTCCGTTATATGGAACCCACACCAAAAAGTGACCCAATATTGATAATTATTGAAAATTTTTTCTTAAAAAAATTAAATGGACCTGATTCCAGTTTTTGTTTCTCCCTCTTCCAGATAAAGATTTCTATGTAACCAATAATCTGAAGGAGTATCAAAAGATTTTATCCTTGAATTTGGCCGTCTGGATAAATAAATTCATATCGAATTTAAATATTCACATTGCGCAGACACCGGAACAATATGAACAAGAACAACAACAACGCCAGCAACCACAACAAATGGCAGGACAACAACCTGAAATGCCAGTAACATTTCTACCCCTTGCCGATTATATCTCCTATACCACAAGTAGTTCAGAACATTTGGCACCATGTTCAAAAACAAGAGTTGAAAAATAATCGAGCTATTGAAACTCGAAGAGGCATGGGAGGAGAAAATTTATCGAGTCTTGATTCGAATTATATTTTTGTTGTTGTTGAACTTACCCTTTATTTGTGACCATGTTAGACCCTTGAAGATGTCATTATTCAGCTGTTTGGTACTGTGATTCTTTAAAATTTCCACTGGCATACAACGGAACAGGAAGTGCAGTAAATTCTGGAAGAGGAAATACGAAAATAAATATTCAATAAAAAACATTTTCAAAATCTTCAAATATTAACCACCTACCTCCTCGTATTTATTTTCATGTAAAAATGTGGTATAAACCGAACGCAAAGCCACCGGTGACTTGGCACAGGCATAAATGATACAATCCCAAAGCATTAGATATGAAAAGGCTTCATGGCGATCGACCGGTTGCAGTTCAGAGATTTCAGTCAATTTGAAACTAGAAGACAGAGAGAAGAAAATTAAAAATCGAGAAAAAAGTCGACCCGTACTTTTCAAAATACAAAGATCGGCCGATACTAATACCCAATAATCGACTGATATTAATAATTTTTGGTAGTAAGATTTACTATCCGAAGAGAACCCAAATACCTAATCGGTGTAGGAACGTGCCGTAAATTCCTTAAAATATCGAAAATTCGGGGTTCCGTTATATGGGGACTATACCTAAAAGTGGGCCAATATTGATAATTTTTGATAGGGAGGTTTGCCACCCAAAGGGAACCCGAAATATCAAATTACAGTCAAATCGGTTGAGAAACGTGTAGGCAATTCTCAAAATACCGAAAATTAAGGGTAAAGTTATATGGGGACTATACCGAAAGGTGGACCGATATTGATAATTTTTGGTAGGGAGGTTTACTACCCAAGGAGAACTCGAAATATCAAATTACAGCCAATTCAGTTAGAACAAATTTCCAAAATCTTGAAAATTCGGAAAATTTGGGGTTATCTTTATACGGTGGCTAACCTAAAAAGTGGACTAATATTTATAAATTTTCGTGGGGAGGTTTGCAAAATATCAAATTACAGTCAAATGGGTTAAGAAATGTGCCGAATATCCTCAAAATATCGAAATTTGGAAGTTTCTTTATATGGGGGCTATACCGAACGGTGGACCGATATTGATAATTTTTGGTAGGGAGGTTTTCTACCCAAAGAGAATAAAAATACAAAATTACGGACAATTTGCTTGAAAACCTTGTTCAAAATCCTCAAAATTCCGAAAATTTTGGGTTAACTTTATATGGGGGCTACACCTAGAAGTGGACCAGTATTTATAAATTTTGATGGTGAGGTTTGCCACCCAAGGAGAACCCAAAATATCAAATTACATGCAATTCGGTTACAAAAACATGTCTGAAATATTTAAAAATCCAAAATTAGGATGCAACGTTATATGGGAGCTATAACGAAATGTGGACCAATATTGATCAATTTGGGTAGGGAGGTTAACTACACAATGATAACCCAAAATATTAAATTTCAGCCAATTCGGTTGTAAAAATGTACCCAAAATACCGACAATTGGATGTACCGCTATATGGGGTCTATACCTAAAAGTGGACCGATATTTATAATTTTTGATAGGAAGGTTTGCTACCCAAGGAGAATCCAAAATACCAAGTTACAGCCAATTCGGTTGAAAAACTTGACTAAAATACGGAAATTTGGGGATACTAAAAGTGGACCAACATTGGTATGATTTTTGGTACGGAGATTTTCCACCCAATGAGAACACAAAATATCAAATTACAGCCAATTCGGTTAAAAAAACGTGTATGAAAAGTCGAAAATTGGAGATTCGGTTAAAAGGAGTCTTTTCCTAAGTGTGGGCCGAAGACTCCATTTTATGAATTAATTAGTATTTATATTGAATTAATTAATATTTACCTAAACTCTTGTAAATATTTCCTTATGGGCATATCATAACGTCCCAGATAATCTTCAAAACGATTTAAGAAATGCCATTTTATCGTCTTGTGTTCATCCTTGTCGATTTGTTCCGATTTTATGTCATACATTTCAATATCATCGGCCACAAAATAGGGTGTTAAATTACGCATCATATACATGCTAAGGGTGCGCAGCGAATGTACCGGACTGGAGAGATTTTTCAACAAGAAATTGCAGATATGATCCAGGGTTAGTTGGGTGGATGATTTGCAGAACTGTAGGGGAAAAAATAAAATTTTAGATAAAAAATATATTAAAGAAAAAAATCGAATAGTAAAATACCGCGTAAATAATTCCATAATCCAAATACTCCATGGTCGTGGTTAATTCGTTGAGGAAGACTTCCCAGCAATCCTTGAAATCGTCCTTAATATCTACAAAAACCGAGAAAATAAAAATTGAAATTTTAATTAAAAGTATTCCGAATTTTACTCACCCTGATATTGACATATCTTATAGAACGTTTTGAATATTGTCAAGTAGACATCGCGCGAAAACACATTCAACCATTCATCGTAGACATTTTTCAAAAGTTCGGTAGAACTTTTTTGTTTTTCCTCGTGGAAAAATTTCGTCAGCGCGGCAAATAATTTAAAAACATGCAGGGTGAAATATAAACTCTGAAAAGAATATATTTTTCATAAATATAGGGGGTGTTACAAGTTTAATTTGAACAAACGTACCTTCTGGTCGGCATTTTCCAAGGCATAATCCAACGATTTTGTAACACTCAATATCCAATGACCCAAACCGATGCGAATGACATCCCAATTTTTAATTGTCAACTGATGGGGTATACGCTGCAGGGCACAGGCTAATAATTTTATATATTCGACGGCATTTAAGATGTTGACCAGGTCCTGTTTGGGTATTTCACTGGAAAAGAAAAAAAAGAGAATTAAACAGACGTAGGAGTGGATTTAAAAAAATATATTTTTTGTGTTTTTCAAGTCCCAGCAAGGCGTGGATTTTTTAAAAAAAATATTTTTTTAGTGTCCAGAAATAGGCGTAAATTTTCAAAAAGGTGGATCAATACCGAAAGATGGACCAATATTGATAACTTTTGGTAGGGAGGTTTGCTACCCAAGGATAACCCGAAATACCAAATCACACCCTAATCGGTTGAGAAACGTGTCGGAAATCTTCAAAATATCGAAAATTAAGGGTTCCCTTATATGGGAACTAGACATAAAAATGGACCAATATTGATAATTTTTGGTAGGCAGGTTTGCTACCCAAAGAGAATCCAAAATTACAGTCAAATCAGTTAAGAAACGTGTCGGAAATCCTCAAAAATACCAAAAACTCGGGGTACCGTAATATGGGAGCTATATCTAAAAATGGACCAATATTGATAATTTTTGGTAGGGAGGTTAACTACCTCAGGAGAATCCAAAATACCAAATCACAGCCTAATCGGTTGAGAAACGTGTCGGAAATCCTCAAAATATCGAAAATAAAGGATTCCTTTATATGGGGGCTATACGTAAAAATGGACCAATATTGATCATTTTTGGTAGGGAGGTTTGCTACCCAAGGAGAACAATAAATATCAAATTACAGTCAAATTGGTTAAGAAACGTGTCGGAAATCCTCAAAATATCGAAAATTAAGGGTTCCGTTATATAGGGGACCAATATTGATAATTTTTGGTAGGGAGGTTAACTACCTCAGGAGAATCCAAAATACCAAATCACAGCCTAATCGGTTGAGAAACGTGTCGGAAATCCTCAAAATATCGAAAATTAAGGGTTCCTTTATATGGGGGCTATACGTAAAAATGGACCAATATTGATCATTTTTGGTAGGGAGGTTTGCTACCCAAGGAGAACAATAAATATCAAATTACAGTCAAATTGGTTAAGAAACGTGTCGGAAATCCTCAAAAATACCGAAAATTCGGGGTACCGTAATATGGGAGCTATATCTAAAAGTGGACCAATACTGATAATTTTTGGTAGGGAGGATTGATACCCAAGGAGAATCCAAAATACCAAATCACAGTCAAATCGGTTAAGAAACGTGTCGGAAATCCTCAAAAATACCGAAAATTCGGGGTACCGTAATATGGGAGCTATATCTAAAAGTGGACCAATATTGATAATTTTTGATAGGCAGGTTTGCTACCCAAAGAGAATCCAAAATTCCAAATCACAGCCTAATGGGTTGATTTACTAACCAAAGGGAATCCAAAATACCAAAACAGTCAAATCGGGAAATCCTCAAAATTACCGTGGACCAATATTGAGGGTTTGATAATTTTTGTTATATGGGGGCTTTTTAAGCTCCTAAACAAGGATTGGATTTTTTTTAAACTAATTTTTCAAAATCCTGATTGAGGCTTGAAATTTTTAAAAAATATTTTTCAAGGTCCTGATCGAAACTGGGAATTATTTAAACTTATTTTTCAATACCCTGATCGAGGCTTGACATGATCCGTAGATGATATTTTTAAAATTTGTTTTTCAAGGTCTTGATAGAGTTTTGTAATTTTTTTAAAATTATTTTTTAAGATCACGATCCAGATTTGGAATTTTTTAATTAGTTTTTAAGGTCCTGTTCGATGTCTTGGAATTTTTACACTGTTTTTCTAGATTCCGGTCAGGTTTTAGATTTTTTAAATTATTTTTCATGGTCCTGACCGAGGTTGAGAACATTTTAAATTATTTTTCAAGGTCCTAATCGAGGTTACGAATTTTTAAAATTATTCTTCAAGATCTAAGATCGAGATATAGAATTTTGAAAAGTATTTTCAAGGTCCTAATCGAGGATGTTTGGAATTTGTTAAAATTATTTTTCAAGCCCCCCTTTAATGTGATATTTACCTCTGATACAACAACAAATCCTTTTGCGTATGCAACTTATCCGAATGTTCGGTAATAAATTGCACGGTAATTGAAATAATATTCTCATCGGATTTCTCGTTATATGACAGGGAGAAATTATTCTCGAGAAGAGCATGAAATACACCAGCCTTTATCCAGATCTCAGCGGGTTCACAACGCATTATCGGACATTGTAAATCGATGGTTTTGGCTTCCAATTTTGGTAGAATATATTGTAGGGCTCCCATATAGGCTTTGAAGGTTTTCCTCTGGGCAAAATACTCCTGTAAATCCTCGGCCAATAGCAGTGGACCGCTCTCTTCAAATTGCGCATATTGCGGAATATTCACCAGATATGGTAAGGAACGATAATAGGCCAAGTGTTGCTCCTTGGCCGATTGTTCCATCAGCAGTTCCTTCAGGGTTATACTTAATTCTCCAGCATTGCGCAGCAATGATTGGGCCTTTTCGGAAAGTTCTAAGCAGAGGGTTTGGATGGTGTCTTTTAGCGATTCACAATTTGCGATGAGGGAATCTCCAGCCGCTGCTAGATTAATGTATTTCAGTAGTTCCATTTGTAGATAGTTGGACCACACTTTGAGGAGATTTTCATTTGGATCACAATAATCTTCAGTAATCTCCTCATCATTGCTGGAGGCACCAGCAGCGGAGGCGGCTTCAGTGTTTTTATTTTGCAGGCTGCTCTCAGGTGTCTTGCCACACACCAATTTACTGAGTATGGAGAAATTCAATAGAGATCTTTGCAGGAGGTTGTGTAAGCCATCGATGTTATTCACATTTTTGGTAAAACCCGAACTGGGTGTGGCCAATCCCTTGAGGGATTCGATGAATAGACAAACATTCAGCAGTTCATTTTCTTTTTGGCCATCATTTCGCAGAATGGCCTTGAGAATGTCATCGATTTTTGTGTAACGTTCCTTTTCATCTTCGATGTTCTCCGTGGAACAGGTTACAAATTTGGCTGTTGCCTCCGCTATGGAATCAATATTTGTTGGGATCAACTCTGCCTTGGCTGCCTGTTCATCAATGATTTGCGAACATCTCGCCAATAGCTCATCGTCCAATAGGATATCCTCACTTGATAAAGCATCCTGCCAACATGTTGTTATTTCCCACAGGGTATCCTCGGATATATAATCGTTAACCGATTTCTGTATACTAAATGTGAAGAGCCGAACAAAAATTTCATGTTTCACGGAGAGGGAGGCATTCTCTTTGGAGCAGACCACCGGCATTATTTGGGCTATAAAACTACCGCAAGCATCGACATCGGTTTGCAGGGGTTCATCTTCTTCGTCATTTTCAGCATCTTCTTCTTCTGCCTCTCCATCTTCGGTAAGAGGTTTCGACAAGGTCATTAGTATTATATCGACAGTTTGTGGGGTTATCAATATCTCTCCGGTATCCGTCTCAAAGAAACATTTATGCAAAAGATTGAAAAGATCTTTGGAATTATTTTTCACCACATCGATGGCAACTTGATGAATGATTTTCGTTATTTCCGGCTGGGATAGAATTGTTCGAATTTCCGGTTCAATACACAATGGATGGGAAAGTAGGCGATTTAAAACCAGGGTTTGTGTCAGATGATGGGGAATCTGAAATGAAAAAAAGAAAAAAATGGGTTAAGTTCCGCACTTCATTACAAAAACAAACTCGTGATCTGGACATGGATTTTTTAAACATTTTTTTCGAGGTCCTGATCGAGGTTTCAACACTTTTGAAATTATTTTGAAATTTATTTTCAAGGTTCCTATCGAGGCTTCGAATTTTTATAATTACTTTTCAAAGTTCCGATTGAGGATTGGAATTTTTTTAGATATTGTTTTAAAGTTTCAAAAGTCCTCATCGGAGATAGAATTTGTTTATTAATTATTTTCCAAGTTCCCGATCGATGCCCGATTCCCGATCGATGATTTTGAAAAGTAATTTTTTTAAGGTCCTAACCGAGGCTTGGAATTTTTTAAGGTTCCGATCGAGGTTTGGAATTTTTAAAATAATTTTTAAGGTTTCATGGTTCTAATCAAGGCTTGGAATTTGTTTGATTATTTTTTCAAAGTCCTCAGATCGAGGTTTGGAATTTTAAAACATATTTTTTAAGGTCCTCATCGAAGCTTGAAATTTTTTTGCATTATTTTTCAAGGTCCTAACCACGGTTGCGATCGAGTCATGGAATTTTTAAAATTATTTTTCAAGATCCTGATCGAGGCCTGGATTTTTTTACATCATTTTTCAAGGTCTTTTTATTTTTTTTTTTTTCAAGGTCTTATAGTGTTGATTTTTTATATTTTGGGTTCTCATTGGGTGACAAAACTTCCTATCAAAAATCATCGACATCGATCCACTTTGTATGTTAGCCTCCATATAACCGTACCTCCAAAATTTTTTATGTAATTTGGTATTTTGGGTTATCATTGGGTAGCAAATCTCCCTACCAAAAATATTTAACATCGGTCCACTTTTTGGTATTGCGACCATATAACTGCATTTCCGATCCACTTTGTATGTTAGCCTCCATATAACCGTACCTCCAAAATTTCGGTATTTTGGTCATGTTCTTCGATCGAATTGAATGTAATTTGGTATTTTGGGTTATCATTGGGTAGCAAATCTCCCTACCAAAAATATTTAACATCGGTCCACTTTTTGGTATTGCGACCATATAACTGCATTTCCGATTTTCGATATTGTAAGGATTTTGGACACTTTCCTCAACCGTATTGGCTATAATTTGATATTTTTATTTCTCATGGTGTAGCAAATCTCTCTACCAAAAATTATCAACATCGGCCCCATATAATGGTACTTTCCGATTTTCGATATAATGAGAATTTTGGACACTCGTTCAACCGAATTGACTGTAATTTGGTATTTTGGGTTCTCAGTGGTTGTTAAATCTCCCTAACAAAATCCATCAATATCGGTCCACTTTTAGGTATAGCCCCATATAATTATACCTCCCAAATTTTCGTATTTTGGACACTCGTTCAACCGAATTGACTGTAATTTGGTATTTTGGGTTCTCAGTGGTTGTTAAATCTTCCTACCAAAAATTATCGACATCGATCCACTTTTTAAGGTAGCCTCCATATAACGGTACCCCCAAAATGTTGGTATTTTGTAATGTTCTTCGATCGAATTGGCTATAATTTGATATTTTGGATTCTCATGGTGTAGCAAACCTCGCTACCAAAAATTATCAATATTGGTCCACTTTTAGGTATAGCCCCCATATAAAGGAACCCCCAATTTTTGGTATTTTTGAAGATTTCCGACACGTTTCTTCACCGATTTGACTGTAATTTGATATTTCTTGTTCTCTTCGTGCAGCAAATCTTCGTAGCAAAATTTTTAATATCGGTCCACTTTTTAGGTTAGCCACCATATAAAGGTACTCCCGGATTTTCGGAATTTTAAGGATTTTGGATATGTTTTTCAACCAAATTGGATATAATTTGGTATTTTGGATTCTCTTTGGATAGCAAATCTCCCTATCAAAAATTATCAACATCGGTCCACTTTTTGGTATAGCAGATTTTCAATATTTTTAGGTTTTTCGACGCGTTTTTTTAAACCAAGTAGCTATAATTCAATTTTTAGTTTCTACGGGGAAAAATCTCTATTCCAAAAATTAAAAAAAAAAATCAGTCGATGTTTGGGTATAGACCCTATTCGAATTTTCCAACCTTTTTTACTTATTAAAAATATTTCTTAGTGACAAGAAAAATTTATATAATTTCCAACTCACCTTTATCAATTCCTTATCGATATATTCAAAACGTTTGGACTTCTCAAAATGTGCGAGTATTTCAAAAATAACATCGACGACAATTTCACAGGCCTCGTTGTCGTTCATAAAGGATGCACCACTTAGCAGCTGGACAAATGTCATTAGAGCTGCATCGAGGCTCTCCTTTTCACTTAGCTTCGTATAGAAATCACAATCATTGAACATATTACATAACAGTCGGACATTTTTAATGTATTTCGATGTTTTGAGGGTTTGAGTTTTTTGAATGCAGATCCTTAACAATTGTAAAACCAATTGTTTTAATTCTTTCTGGCGGAAATCAGCAGCCGCTGCGTGGTTAGGGGATTTTGGTGTACGTGGACGTTCCTGGGTGGTGGAATTTTCTTCTGCGTTCTCCTCTGTCACCACTTCGGGTTCAATAAATTTCACCTTGTGCTCTTCCAAACTTGGATTGGCCACGTAGAGGTCATTGATTAGCTCAATGACCCGTTCCAAATATAATTCACTGACATCATCCGATTGATTTAGACCCCCGGTGGTCACTTTGAATAGGGCCGACCAAAATTTATCTAACAGCAGTTGATAGATTTTTGAAGTGCCATGTTGCCGATCGAAAAATGCCACCAGAGTACAGGCATTTTGAAAAATGTAACGTGTTGCCACAGCATTTGTGCTGTCCAAGCATTTTTCCAGCGGTTCCATTACATTCTCCTCGAGCAGGCGTTCCAATAGTTCTTGATTTTCTTTTGAAATTCCAGTTTCCTCCTTGGAAGTTACATTGATTTTTTGACTTAGATATCGCAGACATTCGAAGTAGGTTTTAATTATTATAATTGTATCCTGTTTGGAAATTGCTGGTGCGGCATCGCTGGGTAGTAGAACTTCTTTGAGATGATCAAAGAATTGTTTAATAAAATTATGATATTCCAAAATGTCCGGAGTAACGTGACTGAGCTGGGAAAAGAAGGGTAAAATGTTGGGGCAGATTGCCTGGGCATTACGATTGAAGCCATTTCGTAGTAAATGACTAAATTTCGGCCATACTTTTTCACGGAAATCAATTGTTTGGGACCTGCAAAAAAGAAAAATATAAGAAAAAAATAGAATCGGAAATTAAAAAAAGTAGATTTTAGGGTCCTCCAAAATGGGTAGATTTTGTTAGAAATTATTTTTTGGGTTCTTACGGAGTCGTGGATTTAAAAAAAAAATATTTTTAGGGTCCCTACGGAGGCGTGGATTTAAAAAAAATATTTTTAGGGTCCTGGATTTTTTAAAAAATGTTTTTAGGGTCCTAGATTTAAAAAAAAATATGTTTAGGGTCCTGGATTTAAAAAAAAAATATTTTTAGTGTCCTGGATTTTTTTACAAAATATTTTTAGGGTCCTGGATTTAAAAAAAAAATATATATATTCTTAGGGCCCTGGATTTTTTGTTTAATATTTTTAGGGTCTTGGATTTAAAAAAATATATTTTCAGGGTTCTGGATTTTTTAAAAAAAATATTTTTAGGGTCCTGGATTTAAAAAAAAAATTAGGGTTCTGAATTTAAAAAATATATATATATATATTTTTAGGGTCCTGGATTTTTTTAAAAAAATATTTTTAGGGTCCTGAATTTTTAAAAAAAAAAAAATTTAGGTCCTGGATTAAAAACAAAATATTTTTAGGGTCCTGGATTTAAAAAAAAAAAATATTTTTATGGTCCTGAATTTAAAAAAAAAATTAAGGGCCCTGGATTTTTTAAATAAATATTTTTATTTATTTATTTTTTTTTTTTACAAAAAATATTTTTATGGTCCTGGATTTTTTAAAAAAATATTTTTTTCAAGAATCAGACAAGGCGTGGATTTTTTATCTTAAATGATCGGATTTTCAAGGATCGGTTTTAGAAGCGGATTTAAAAAATATTTTTAAGGACCAGGTATAGGAGGAAATGGCGCATTTCAAATTTCTTTATCAAACATGCCTACATACCAATCTTTAAAATTAGCCTGTATCAGCAATATACAACCCCAGACGTGGGGTGCCACCAAGGGATCCGATTCATCAATATTTTGAAATGACACTGTGGTCACTTGGGTTTTATGTTCCGACACAATTTCCAATAGCTCCGGGCTTTGTAGTAGATGATAGAAGAATTCGAACCATGCTGCCCTGCAATGAAGAAAAACAATAACAAAAGGTCATTAAAATAGAAAAAAATAAACCCCCCGGAATTCTCCCCCCGAACTTACTTTATGGCATTCAATTTATTTTTGGCAAAACTAAAGAATTTCTGATGTTCCAATAGTTTTGCCAGCAGTTCCTTGATTTTACTTTGATCCTCGGCCTTTTGAGTTTGTTCGACAAAAAACGACAACTCCTTGAGACTGCTGACGACAACACGTTGATATTTTTGTTCTGCCTCCTCGGCAGTTAAACTTTTACCCGTCGATAGGGTAGCGGCTGTGTGAAATGTCAAATTACGACTGGCATATTCTAAAATATCCACCTGACAGTGGACGCAAACATCGGCCAGCTTAGCGCCGAATGTTTCCGTAAAACAGTTGCTAGCTATACTGGCCGCGGGAGCATAATTATCATATTGACTGGCCAGCCAGACCGGGACGAGTTGTTTCAAATAGGGTGCTATGGCTTTTTTACATTTCGTGACGAGTATTTGCAGTACCGTCTGGGTGAGTTCACGTACTGAATGTTCCGGATCGGTGGCCAAATTTTGATAGAATTTCGGCCAGAGGGGTAATATCGTTTTCAATTCATCCATATCCGATTGATTGATGAGGTCGATGAATTCCTGCAGCGCTTTCTTTTTGGTCATGGGATCTTTTTTCGATAGCTTCTTTAGGGTCAATTGATATGGTGTTGAAATGCTGGCATCAAAGGTATCGGGCATTTGTTCAGCGGCTGTTCCAAAACCGGGTACGAATGGTATCAGCCCCAAATCGGAATGGGCTGAAAAGCCCACAAATACCGGTGCTGTGGTACCCAGTAGTTCGGCACTGCGCGCGCTACTGGAGGGCTGTAAAAAAACAACAAAAATAGAATAGATTAAAAAAAGTTCTCATGACTAAATAAATTTCAAGGAAATTCCTTGAATGTGCTTCAGTGCTGGCTGTGGAGTTGGGGGATGAGGGGATGATGTTATTCCGTTTTGGGCGTCTGTCTGGGTCCATGCGATTATGTTGTTGTTATGATTATCATGATTTGGCTTGCTATTTAGTATCAATTTAAAAAACCAGCTGCATACCTTAACATTATTCTTTGTCCTTTGTGCATGCTTAGTTTTGCCACCCATTTTTTATTACTTTTTTTGTATGCGTTTTAATACGACTTAAAAATTAGAAAAGAAATTAAAAATAAATGAAAACACAACAATAGAACGTCAGCTAATACCGTGCTGCTGACAGTTAGGGTAATGTAGATCGATTTTCGTTCAAAGGGATCTAAAGGGGTTAATTCGCAAGCAAACAAAGAACGACATTGTGCAAATTCCAATTAGAACATGACATATGTTGCATGGACAATTAGTGAATGACGTAACGTATTGTAAATAAAATTCATTGGTTGGTGTTTACAGCGGAAAGTGTTAATAAAACGCAAGGGTGTTATAGTACGTTTACATTGTACACGATTTCGTTAACCCAGTAAGTTTAAATTGTCAATTCCAATGAATATATGTCAAATAAATCCTCATGAAGTGATTTTACACGTTAAAAAGAACGTCTGAATTAGGTCCATTCAGGGATAGTTTTGATATATTTACCATAGGTAATCCTTGAGATTCTGTTTTTAACTATATATTGTTACGAATATAACTTTAGATTTAAGTTAATTTAGATGAATTCCGTTAATTTAAGAATTTGAATTGTAACGTAAATTCCTACTACGCAGTTTATTTGAATAACTTCACAACAACAACCACTGTATAGATTTTTCTACATCCTTCCATTTCCTCTTTCATTTTCTATTTTGTTATTGTCGTACAATTCTTGTTAAACGTTATTCCTCTTTCTTTGTTATTCCCTCGCCTGTATATGTGTTGTTGTTATTGTAAGTTTGTTTACTCAAGTTTGTTGTTGTTATTGTTCACTCAGTAAGTTTGTTGTTGTTATTGTTACTCAATGTGTTTGTTGCATTGGTAGATTGTTCGTGATCTAGGTGTTACCAGATCGTCTAGAAACTTCTGTAGCGACAGGCAGGGCTCATATAAATAGAGGGAATGGAAAGGCAGTGAGTCAGTTGTGAATCAGATCGCGAATTGAAACCGTCGTGTAAAGTAAAGTGCAAAGTAAAGTTGTGTGAATAAAGTCATTGTAATAATCGTAATCTGAACGAACCCGCGTTTTATTTGGTACGAACTGTATCGGGAAATAAAACAACGTCTACACGGGAATAAGTGAAGTCCAAGAACGTAACAATTGGTGTCGGAAGTGAGATTACGATAGTACTACGATGAAGTTTAAGGATCTACGAGTGGAAGACTTGAAGAAGGAGCTGAATAAATTGGAATTGTCCTCTACTGGCAACAAGGCTGAACTCCAAAAACGTCTGTTGGATGAGTTCGAGCGCCGTGGTATGAACATCGATACATATGAGTTTGACAGTAAGGATGAAGTGGATTTATCGGAAATGGGCGAATCCAACGGTGGGGAAGTCTCGTCAGTAGCTGCCAGGGGTGACGATTTCAGGGAAATGCTGGCTAAAATGTTCGAAGAGAATTCCAGAAACACGAGACGAATGTTCGAAGAGAATTCCAGAAAGTTAGATGAACTCAAGGCGGAGAATTGTAGAATGTTTGACGAGAAACTCGAGAAAATTACAGAAGTTATTAAAAGGAGAGTGGAAACCGTGGAGGTCCAAATTAAAGAGTTGGATAAGAAAGTGCAGTCGGTCGATGAGAAGATTCTGTCTGTGGATGAGAAATTTCTGGCCCACGACCACAGGTTTACGAATCTGGAGAAGAAAATGTCGGAACTGGAAATCAAAGGTGGTCCGGTGCGAGTTCCGGATAACACGCTAAAAATCAAACCTCCTGTATTCGACGGCTCTACGTCATTCAATGTTTTCAAGTTACAGTTCGAGACAGTGGCTTCTAGAAATTCGTGGAACGACAGCGACAAAGCGGTTGCACTACTTCTGGCATTGAAGGGCAGTGCTGCTGATGTTATACAGAGTATTCCTGTCGCTTCTAGAAGCAACTATGAAGATGTTATTGCTGCACTGGAACGTAAGTACGGTGGCGAACATAAACAAAACATCTACCTTATGGAATTAAGGGGAAGAGTACAGAGGGCAAACGAGACCTTACAAGACTTTGCAGCTGAGGTGGAACGTTTGGTGTTAATGACGTATCCAGGAGAGAATCACCCATTGCTGGACCGTATGAAAATCGAAACCTTTGTGAATGGCATACGTGACCCTGAGATTAAATGTGCAACATATGCGTCACCAAAAGCGTCATTTGCCGAAACCGTTTCGTTTGCTCTTGCCCAAGAGACGGCAAGAATGATTGTTAAGCCCCAGACCCACAAGATTAGCCAAATGGAGACCGAATGTTGCGAACACAAATCTCTCGTTAACTTGATCAAGGACGCCATGAGGCGGGTAATCGAAGAAACAAAGTTAGTAGGGATGACTAAGCCCAGGGTTAGATGCTACAACTGCGATAAAACAGGTCATATTGCGCGCGAATGCAGAGCTAAGCGCAAACGATCCAGGTCATCGTCACCACCTCCTACGAAAGATGGTAGAAGAATGGCTCAACAGTCCACCAATGAGTCACCGTTAAACAGAATCGAGCACAGAGAAGGCGGAAAACACGGTAATGCTGATGACCTGTCTCGTCGGCCATGCAAGGTAGAATACAGCCACTGCTCAAAGGCTGAGTGCAAAGAGAATATCGTTGATGTCCGACGATTGCAGTTTGAGTCGGGGGAAGATTGGTCGACGGAACAACGAAGAGATCCCATTCTGGGCAAAATTATTTCGGCCATAGAAACGGGCAAGCGACCTAGTCGTAAAGAAATTACCTCCGAAAGCCCTCTTTTAAAATCCTATTGGGCCCAGTGGGACAGTCTACTTATAAAAGATGGCTGCCTATATCGCAAATGGGAAAGTGAGGACGGTAAATCTCACCGGAACTTGATCGTCGTCCCAGACTCCAAAATAAGAGATGTCTTGTCGGAGTTTCACGATGGGCCAAGTGGAGGACATCTTGGCATAGCAAAGACCGCTGAAAAGGTAAAGCAGAGATTTTACTGGGTCGGCTGTCAAAAATCCATTGCCGACTGGATCGCCAATTGTGAAAGGTGCATAAGAGCTAAAGGTCCAACACGGAAGAGTCGAGGCTACATGCAGCAGTATAATTCAGGAGCACCTTTTGAAAGAATCGCAATGGATGTAGCTGGACCGTTCCCAACAAGCGACTCTGGGAACCGGTATGTCTTAGTGGTCATGGATTACTTCAGTAAATGGCCGGAGGTTTATGCTATCCCAAATCAAGAAGCCAGGACAATTGTGGATGTGTTCAGCAAAAATTGGATTTGTCGCTATGGTGTTCCATCTGAGGTTCATTCCGATCAAGGTAGGAATTTTGAATCAGCGATCTTCAAGGAAATGTGTGACTCCTACGGAATTAAGAAAACCAGAACGACGCCCCTACATCCACAATCAGATGGCATGGTGGAAAGATTCAATCGCACCCTTGAAGAACATCTACGGAAAGTGGTGGACAGTGGCCAACGAGACTGGGATGAGCATATTCCAAAGTTTTTATTGGCTTATAGATCGGCCATTCATGATTCCACATCCCGGACCCCAGCCAAAGTTCTGTTCGGAAATGAATTAAAGCTACCTGGCGATTTGATATTCGGTGCTACCCCAAACGATGATGTGAACCAAGATGAAGACATTCAAAACTCTTTCAGTAAAGTCCACGATGCAGTCCGACATCGAATAAAAATGGTTAGCAACCGCATGAAGGCAAGGTACGATCGAGCGGCAAATACCGATGGGTTTCAAGAAGGGCAACTGGTACTATTGTTCAACCCACAACGAAAGAAAGGACTATGCCCCAAATTGCAAACGCACTGGGAAGGACCCTACAAGATTGTCACGAAAATAAATGACGTCGTTTATCGCATCCAGAGGAGCGACAGTCCCAGGTCGAAGATGAAAGTTGTGCATTTGGAGCGGCTGACCCCCTACGGAACGGGAACTGTGCCTATTCGGGACGAACAGGCTTAAGCGGGGGGCAATGTTACGAATATAACTTTAGATTTAAGTTAATTTAGATGAATTCCGTTAATTTAAGAATTTGAATTGTAACGTAAATTCCTACTACGCAGTTTATTTGAATAACTTCACAACAACAACCACTGTATAGATTTTTCTACATCCTTCCATTTCCTCTTTCATTTTCTATTTTGTTATTGTCGTACAATTCTTGTTAAACGTTATTCCTCTTTCTTTGTTATTCCCTCGCCTGTATATGTGTTGTTGTTATTGTAAGTTTGTTTACTCAAGTTTGTTGTTGTTATTGTTCACTCAGTAAGTTTGTTGTTGTTATTGTTACTCAATGTGTTTGTTGCATTGGTAGATTGTTCGTGATCTAGGTGTTACCAGATCGTCTAGAAACTTCTGTAGCGACAGGCAGGGCTCATATAAATAGAGGGAATGGAAAGGCAGTGAGTCAGTTGTGAATCAGATCGCGAATTGAAACCGTCGTGTAAAGTAAAGTGCAAAGTAAAGTTGTGTGAATAAAGTCATTGTAATAATCGTAATCTGAACGAACCCGCGTTTTATTTGGTACGAACTGTATCGGGAAATAAAACAACGTCTACACGGGAATAAGTGAAGTCCAAGAACGTAACAATATTTTATCTATCGCTGAAAACCTTAAGTTTTCCTCTAGGGCAAAATGGATATACCTATTGAAATCAGTTGACTTCCTGATTACAAAAATTAAATTTGTATATAAAAAAGGTAATACTTTCTGAGAAATGGAGATCTCCAAAATTATAATTAGAATAGTATTGGTAGATGACAGGACTCCATCCGGGGGATTTAAGACTTTACCCTATGGACAGATGGCAATTCCTGCTACGCGACAGGATCTCCTCTTAATTCGAATAGTATTTGGAAGTGATAGGACTTCAGCCAGGGATGTTAGACATTCTCCCATGGATTGATACTTTGGATACGCGAAAATATATCCCTTTGATTAGAATTTTATTTGTGTTATTCAATAAGAATAAAAAAACATATTACAGCATACCGAAAATTTGGGAGATAACCTGATATATTGAAACAATAGCAAAACGATGACCGATATTGATAACTGTGTTTCTAGGCAAATTTTCTACCCAATAAAAATTAAAAAAATATCAAACTATAGCCAAATTCGGTTGAAGAACAAGTCCAAAATACCGAATATTGAAGGTTAACCGATATATGGAGGCTACCCTAAAACTTGAGTCAATATTTGGTCTGTTTCCGTACTGCAAGAATCTACAATTTTTGCTACTTTTTTCGATATCATAAAGGAAACTTCGTTATCATAGGAAAAATTAGTCGATTCTTTTAGTACGGGAACAGATAAATTGATTATTTTCAGTGTTGGACTTTACGACCCAATGAGAACACAAAATACAAAATTTGCTGAACTTTCTCCTATATTTGCTTCATTAATTATCTGTTTACTTGACAAACATTAAAATTTTTTTATTATATTTTTTTAAATAATCACAACAATAAAATATATTTCAATAAAGATTTACTAAATATTTTAAATATTATCTGAAAAAAAACGCTTTTTATTCAATAATTAATCATTATAAATAAAAATATCGTTATTTACATCGATAACGAATCAATTACATCTGGTTCACATGCCGTTCATTGCAGTGAACATACGCTTTTGAACCACTTTATAAATAAGGTGAGAGACAACGGGGAAACGTCAATTGATAATTCGTGTTTTTTAATAATATATATAAAAGTTATTAATTGAAAAACATATTAACTACAAAAAATGCTAAAAACAAAAACAAAACAATGTGTTTCCTTACCATTAAACAGCCATTTGGCGCTATACTAATGATTAACAGGGCGTCACATAAAAATATATTCTTAATGTAATCTAGTTCACATACGGTTCATTGCAGTGAACATAATCTTTTGAACCACTTCATAAACAAACGAACAGACAACGGGGAAAAGCAAATTGCTAATTAGATATTTTAATTAAAAAATATATATTTTAATATAAAATATTTTATTATAATTAAGAATATTAATTAAAAAAATATTATTTATTTAAAAAAACTTAAAAAAAATAACAATCAATATAGTTTTTCCCATTTCCCATTTCCATTCCCATACCATTTCGCGCCATGCTAATACTTAACAGGGTGTCACATAGAAAATATATTTTTTAATGGCAACCAATGATTAACATCAAGTTCACATGTGGTTCATTGCAGTGAATGTAACCTATTGAACCAATTTATAAACATACTGACAGACAACGGTGAAAAGCAAATTGATATTTAGATATTTTAATTAAAAATTATATATTTTAATACAAAATATTTTATAATAATTAAGAATATTTTTTGTAAAACATTTTATTTATTTAATATAACTAAAAATAATAACAAAACAATATATTTTCTCCCCCATAAATAGCCATTTCTCGCTATTTTAATGCTTAACAGGGTTTCGCATAGAAAATATATTTTTATATGACACAGCCGGATGTGGCACCCTGTCATTTGAATTCTGTGCGTGCAAAAAATGACGCCTACTACAACGGACAACGGCTGACAGACAACGGGGAAATTGATATTTAGATATTTTAATTAAAAAATATATATTTAATATAAAATATTTCATATTGGTATTATTTAATGGAAATAAATAAATAATTAAGAAAACATATTATTTTTTTTTTAAAGCTAAAAAGAATAACAATCAATATTTTTTCTTCCCATTGAATAGCCATTTCTTCCTATTTAATAGCCATGCTTAACAGGGTGTCACATAGAAAATATGTTTTTTTATTGTAACACAGCCGGATGTGGCACCCTTTTGATTTGAATTTGTGCGTGCAAAAAAATGACGGCTACTACTCTCTGGCTGCAACCCTTCTGTCAAAAATGACATTTTGCAAAACGCCATTTTGTAATAAAAATATGGTGGAAATAATTTTATTCAAGATCTAGAAGTGGAAACAAGAAGAACATCATAGCACACAGCTCAAAGGATTTGGGAGTGATTTTTTTACCATCCATCACTCAAAATTTAAGAACGGAGTAGTTGAATGAGTCCCCAAAAAAGAAATTAAATAGAACAAAAAACAACACCATCTCTTACAAATAATAAAAAGAAGAGCAACAACAGCAGCAAGAAAGTGAAGTAACAGAAAAAAATAATTTGCCGATAGAAGAAGCAACCAGAAGAAGAAAATAATTGACGGAAACGCCAATCTTTCTGGAAGAAAATCGAAATAATTTTTTTTTGTTACCAAAGCTCAGTTAAAGAACAATTTAAAGCAAACAAAAATGGAAGACTCGAAGCTCCAAGAGCAGCAGCAGCAACAACAACAGCAGCAGCCTCAAGACTCGCCACAAGGTGATGCTGCTCAACAACAAAAACAGCCGCCGCCAGTAAAGGAAGTTATTGGTAAGTGAAATGAAATGTGAGGAGTATAGAAGGAAGAAGAAGATGAAGTGTGTGTGTGATTGTCTCATTTGAATGGCATGCGGTTCAGTTCAATTTAGTTTTTTTTTTTTTTGAATAAACACATAATTTAATTAAAAAAAAAATTCTTGCTTGCTGACACACAAAGTGTCTGTCTGCATGCCCGTTTATGCTCAGTAGTACGCTCGATGACATGTGGTAAAGCTTTTTTGTTGCTTCACATGGACACACATTTCTTCTTATGCTTAAAAATACATTTTTTTATTGGCCGCCATTTTGTAAAGCAACAACAACAAGCAACCAACCAAAAAAAAGTACGGTCATCGCCGGTGTGTGCTTGCTGGCTGGCTATACAGTTGGGTTGTTTTTCTTTTAGATTTTCCACTCCACCACCCCATCTCCTCCTTGTCGTCCGTCCGTCGTCTACACACAAATGTGAAACGCAAGAATAAACACACGTAAACATTAGCAAAGTGAAGCACAGTCAGCCAGCATAATCACCACTCGAGCTAGCGAGCGGCGCAAAATTTAATACTACACCGGTTTTCGGATGCGACCTCAAAAAAAAAAAAAAAATAAATAAAATAAAAGCAAAAACAAAAGTAATGCTATAGAAACCACAGTCATTCGCGGCAGTGCAGGCAGTAGTACAAATGAAAAAAAATCCCTCGATTTTTTTTTTAATTTTCTATGCTGCTACCTTTTGACAGCTACCTCTTCGTCACCACCACCCCACTTCTCCACCCATTTTTTCCCGTCTTGTATTTTTCATTGTTGTCTGTCTGTGTCGATGAATTGTGAAAAACTCAACCCACTTTTGGCGCTCATCAAATTTTATGCGCCGCGCCGCCACCAATGGATGGTTGGATGAATGCATTGTGTGTGCTTCTTTTATATAAATATTCGAATACACAAACACACATCCACTGCATTTATTTACAAAAATATTCAATTTTATGTGGTATGGTATTGCTAGTTGTTATTGTTAAATTTTCTTGGTTTCGCCGATTCAACGATTTTCCACGTTGGTATGACGATATGTTCGGGTAAATTCTATGAGTGGTTTTCTTTTCTAATCTTCTTCAAGACTGATAAAAATACAGTGTGGGGGTATACCGGAATTAATGCAAACAATGGAGGAGGGAAAAAATGTGGAGTCGAATATGGGGAATTCCCCACTTCTCAATTTTAAAATTCAAAGATTTTTTTTAATATCTACTTCCCAGGAAGTCTATCAAAAGTACAATGGGGATGACATTTTTTTAAAGAAAAATATTTTTGAAAAAACATATTAAAGCTTATGATGATCATTTGTTGCGATGAACACATTTATTGGATTTTTTTATTGTTGAAAAAATATATTTTAATTATTTAAAGATATATTTTTAAAGAAATATAAGGTGTGGTTTTTTCAAATTATGTTTTGCTATTAAAAGATATTTTTTTATTAAAAACGTTTTATTTATTAAAAAGTATTTTTTCCTGTTTATACCCTTCACCACTCTGTGGTACAGGGTATTATGTCTTTGTGCATATATTTGTAACAGGCAAAAGGAATCGAGATAGACACATGGTTGCTTTTGAGAATATGCATAGAATCACTTTCTGAGTCGATTTATGCATGTTGGTATGCATGTTTGGCACAGGTCACTTATTTGGCCCAAGGACGAACCCTATTGAAATTTGGAAAAATCGGTTCAGATTTAGATATAGCTCCCATATAAATTTTCGTCCGATTTAATGCAAACTGTCCATATATATCTTTCGATTTGCACGAAATTTGGTACAGCGTAACGAATTAGGTTTAGAATGATAGGTGTCAAGATTCCTGAAAATCGGTCCAGATTTGTATATAGCTCCTATATCTATTTTCGTCCGATTTAAGGTAAATGGTGTACCAAAGTCCCTATATATCTTTTGATTTGTACGAAATTTGGCACAGCGCAATGAATTAGGTCTAGAATGATGTGTATGCTAAGTTTCATGAAAATCGGTTTAGATATAGCTCCCATATATATTTTCGCCCGATTTAAGGTAAATGGAGCTCAAAAGTCCCTATATATCTTTCGATTTGCACGAAATTTGGCATAGCGTACTGTATTAAGTTTAGAATGACGTGTGTTAAGTTTCATGAAAATCGGTTCAGATTTAGATATAACTTCCATATATAGTTTCATATCATAATCATATTTTAACCCATTTTTTCCTTCTTTTTTCGTTACAGCTACCAAGGTTACCGGTACCGTTAAATGGTTCAATGTCAAAAGCGGCTATGGTTTTATTAATCGTGACGACACTAAAGAAGATGTGTTTGTCCATCAGAGTGCTATCATCAAAAATAATCCCAAAAAAGCCGTACGCTCCGTTGGCGATGGCGAAATGGTCGAATTCGATGTTGTCATCGGCGAAAAGGGCAATGAGGCTGCTAACGTAACCGGCCCATCCGGCGAACCCGTACGTGGTAGCCAATTTGCTGCCGATAAACAGCGTCGCAATCGCAATATGCCATGGCGTAGAAATCGTCGCCGTACCGGTGGTGATCAACAGCAGGGACAAGGACAGCAACAAGATGGCGGTAATCAAATGCAGCAACAACAACATGATCACGATGGTGGTAATCACGATGATCAACAACAACAGCCCCAACAGAGGCAACCACGTAACTTCCGACGCGGAGGTGGTGGCGGCGGCGGTCCACGTCGTGGACGTGGCGGACGTTTTAGGTCCTACTATCCACGCAACCAAAGTCAACGACGTCCAGTAAGTGGCGGTGATGGTGGTATGGGCGGCGGCGATGGCGGCCACGACCAGAACGCTGATCCTAATCATAGGGGCGGCGATGGTCAAGGCGGTCCAATGCGCCGTGGTGGTCCACAAAGACGTTTCTTCCGTCGTAATTTCAATAACGGTCGCGGCGGTGGACCACGTGGTGGTCCACCACGCAATGACGGTGGTCAGGGGGGACAACAAGGTGAGTGAGGGGGGATTTTAGGTTAAAAAATAAGCCCTAGACTTTTTTAAATTAAAAAAATTGCATTGTAAAAAATTCAAAGGAGATTTTTTTAATTATTTAAAAAAATGTTTTTAACAAATGAAAAAAAAACAAAGGATTTTTTTTTTTTTTTTTTTTGAAAAAAATATTGAGTATATTTAGTACTCATTTCTTATTTTCTTTTTTTTTTAAAAAAAAGATTAAAAAAATAATTTTTTTATTTTTTTTTATTTATTTAAAATTTTTTTTTCTAATATGTATCATGTATTTGTTAATTTTTTATTAATTCATTTTTTTCCCGCTTTTTTTTTCTTCCAGGCCAAGGCGGACAAGGTGGTCCCCGACGCAACAGTCGTCCACGTCGTCCAAATAACAGAAAACCCAACAACGGCGGAGGACAAAACAATCAACAACAGGTAAACTAAAAAACAAACATAGAGGATAAACACACACCACTACTCTCTACTAAAAACATCTACTAAAAAAACAACAACAAAAAAGTAATAACAAAAAGCAAGGCAGTCATCTCAAAACAAATATCAGCATAAATATGCGTGCATTAACATGTTCCAAAAAGAGGATACCACCAACCAACCATCTATGCGTCTGAAGATTTGTGTATTTATCCCATTTCCTCCTCGACCCTCTAACTCCACTCTCTATACAAAAACAACAACAACATTGTGCAACATAAGCATTTAATAAAAACAAAAATCTGCTTTTTTCACGAACAACAACCATTGATGATGATGACAAAAACATTTTTGGTTTGTGTCACTCTCTCTCGCTCTATTTATTACTACCAACAACAATAATAATAACGACAAGAACATCAACAACAAAACCATTAATAATTTAAACATAACTTATTTGTAAAATGACTGCATAATTTATTTAAACAAACAACAAATACAGCAACAACAACAAGAAATACATCATTTCAAACAAAAAATAATAAAATTCATTTTCATAATGAAATTAAAAAATATCTACACCTTTGGAGAGTTTCTTCTTCTTCTAATCGCATCATTTACTAATTAGGTGGGAGGGAGGGTAACAGGAAATTCCCAAAACCTCCACCAACCAACAACCTCCACCCAATCACATTTCCCTCAAAGACTTCAAAGTTTTCTTTTTATTAAAATTGTTATATTTTATTTTTTATTTTTTTGTTATCAATTTTATTTATTACTAATCCTTAACCCCTACTAACCTCAACCACCAACACATATGTATGAAAATTATAAAAATGTGTCTTTGTACCTAAAATTTATATCTATTTTCGGAATCATCAAATATTTGATGATTCCGACAAAAAATTTATATTAAATTTTTTTTTTGCATTTTCTACTTGAAAAAAATTTAAAGTTTTTTGAAACAAACATTCTTCTAACTTTTTTATTCTTTTTTTTTTTCAAAAAAAATTCTTTAATTTAAAATATTTTTTTCTTTTTTTAATTTAATTTTAAAGACACATTTCTTTTTCATACATATGAATTATTTAAAAAAATTTATATTTAATTTTTTTCAAAATTTACTTTTTTTGGGTTTTAAAACTAATTTTTTTGTTTCTTTCTTTTTTTCTTCCCCCGCAAAATTTTATTTTATACAAAAAAAAAAAAAAAAATGAAAATCTGCAACCAAAATATCCATCCAATGTATTACATATACCGAATTCTTCCTTAATATCCAAAACACCTGACTGAACCTCCTTGACAAAAATATTATTGCCTTCTTTTGGGAACTGGAATTATATCATCCATCTACAGAACGTTAACCAAGAGGTACAAAATACCACCACTGAAAGCAGCGCATAAATCCATGTGGCTGAAGAATTTCAACAACAACAAACAGTGGTGGCCCGGAAAATCAGAACATAACCTCTAAAAAAATCCATCAAAAAAAAAAAAATATCAATTTAAAATTTACCACAAAACTACTATTTTTTGATACAACAACAACCAGGAACCATCTATACTGGAAGAAAACTGAAAAAAAACAACAACAATCAACAACCAACACCCTCCTATTATCCTTGAAACCAAATTTCCTTATAATTTGATTTTTTTTGTTCGTTTGTTTGTGCTATTTATATATTAAGTGTTCTTCTTTTTTCTAACTTGTTAAAAAAGAAGAGAACGGGGAGAGGTCGGAAATTAATTTTCAAAATTCAATTGTTGGAATTTTTAATAAAAATGTTGTGTATAAGACTGAAGAGAAACATGTTTCTTCACGCTCTTATATCAACTCCATCCCTCCCTCCTCCCCACCTCTTCAAAAATAATACAAGGAAACACTGTGGAACACTTGTGTGTAAGGGCATAACATCTCCTTTTTATACTAAAAAAAAACAATTGAAAAAAATAACCATCATCAAAAATTTTTTTTGTTAAGAAAAAAAAAGAAATTTCTTTTTTTAACAACAACACCAAAAGAAGTTTGTTTTTTGACACCTTACTTGAATCATGATTTGAAAACAACAACAACAACAATTTCCATCAATTTTTTTTTAATTTTTTCTTTCAATTTTTTTAAGACTTTCAAAAAAAATTATTGTTTTTTTTATTTATTATTTAGCTTATAAAAATATTATTATTCATATTTTTATATGTTAAAATTATAAATCGCAAAAACATGTTTTTTTCCAACAAGACTTTACATTTAAATTTACAAGTTTTTTTTATAACCTCAAAAAAATATTTTTTCAATTTTCATCAATTTTTTCGTTGTCAATTAAATACATTTTTTTTTTTTTGTCTTAGAGTGCAAAAACAATAATTATGCATTACGTCTATACACACACACATATGTACATCTCTGTATAGAGATGATGATATATACATACATACATTTTTTTAGTAGAAAAAGTAATGAAAATACAATAAAAACAAAGAACATTTTTCTTGGAAAAATTGAAAAAAAATATTGAGTTTTATTTTTCTAAATATATTCCCAAAAATAAGGTAAGGCATTTTGATATAAAAAAATTTAAATTTCAAAATTTAGACAAAAACTAAATAAATTATATTTATTGTGTGAAATTTTATAAGGAATTATTTTCCCATTGACGTCACACCGCTCAAATGAAGGGTTATGGGAAAATCTAGGACCATTCGAAATTAACCTAAAAAAGTATGTATTATTTATAAATTTCATAAATTTAAATGTAATATTTTTGTTCTTATATATTATAGTTACAAACTTTTTGTGTTCGGTGACCCATAGTGAAATTTTATAAGGAATTATTTTTCCATTGACAACACACCTCTTAAATTAATGATTATAGAAAAATTTAGCTGAATTCGAAAGTAACCTAAAAATACATGTATTATTTATAAATTTCATAAATAAATTTAAATGTAATATTTTTGTTCTTATATATTATAGATACAAACTTCTAGTCTTCGGTGACCCATAGTGAAATTTTATAAGGAATCTTTTTCCCATTGACACGACACCTCTCAGATCAAGGATTATGGAAAAATTGAGCTAAATTCGAAATTAACCTAAAATGTCTTAATGGTTACATATTACAAATTTAAATATTATTTTTTTATTAAATCTTATTATATTTACAAACTTCTTGTGTTCGGTGACCCTTAGTGGAATTTTATAAGGAATAATTTTTCTTTTGACACCAAGTCCCTAAGGTCAATGGTTATGGAAAAATGTAGGGGAATTCGAAACTAACCTAAAAATACATCCTTACAAATTTAAATGTTAATTTTTATATAATATTATATTTAGAGATTTTTTGTGTTCAGCGATCTATAGTGAAATTGGATGAGAAATCATTTTCCCATTGACACCACAGATCAAGTATTATGGAAAATTTTAGCTAAATTCGAAATTAACCTAAAAATAGATATTGCCTACATATTACAAATTTAAATACACATTTTTTGTTGTTATATATTCCATATTTCAGATTTCTAGTGTTCAGTGACCCATAGTGAAATTTTATGAGGAATTATTTTTCCTTTGGCACCATAACCCTACAATAACTTATTTTGGGTAATTGTCAAAATTGGAAATTCTAACCCTTCAAAAATAATTTTAATTAACAAAACTCAATTAACATTAAGATTTTTTATTAATCTTTAAAAAAATTTAAACGGTTTTGGAAGACATATACTTTTTTTCTATATTGAAGCTAAACATTTAACTATGTTTAACATATGATGTTTATTTATTTAGAGATTTTTTTAAAACGCGTTTTGTGCGATGCACATCAAAAAAATAAAAATATTTAAAAAAACATTGAACATTTTATGTGTGTAAATATTTGTCATAAAATCTTTACAAATGACTCGAAACGGCGGTAATTCAGCTGAAATATTTTTGCAAAGCTCCAGTTTCGTACATTTTCTTGACATCGGTGCCACCACCAATGAATTTGCCATCGATAAAGCAGCGAGGTACCTGAAAAAAGAAAAAAATAATAATTAAAACTTTGTTAAAAACTTGTAAACCAAAGAAGTCGAAATTTTTTGTTAAACAAAACACCTTAGAATGGGGTACAACAACAATCAGCTGTTTAATGTTTACATACTCGTACATAACCTAACAATGATTTTTCTTAATGAGGTGTAAGAATATAATTTTCAAAATGTTCATTATTTTGTTTCAACTTTACAAAGAGAGGAACTCTCATGGAGATCTTATCATAAGGAATTTTTAGATCCCGATAGGTAAGAGTTTGGGAGTCGCTGGCATATACATTCCATCTAAGTTTTATGGAAACGTAAACAAGAGCGAATTGCTCCGTGTGGAGTATCATTTTTGCGGAACAGTCCATAGACAAGTTTGTGTTCCACATGAAAACAATCAAAGCAAATCTTATCCCCCTATACGGTGAGTTATCAATGAATTTCATTTTTTGTTTCCCTACTGCACTCCACACTTCACTGAATCACAGCGTGTTGTTTCACGTATTTTTTTTCAAGGTCATTTGAAATTCTACCACAAAACATTCACCAGAAACCATATGAAAACCAAATGAATCATGGAGTGAATATGCATGCAACCACTTATCCGGGAATACTTACAGTTCGGCCACCAGTCATTTGACCCAAAACATTTTGTATTTCATCGCCGTCTTGACGTTGTTCCAATTCAATAACGTGGTAAGGTACATTTAGTTTTTTAAATTGCTAAAAAATAAAAAAAACAAATTTAATTGAAAAAAATTAAAACTATTTTCATATATTTTCTACTACTCACCTCCTTTGCCATGGTACAATAGGGACAATACGATTTGGAAAAGATAACCACTTTGTGTTCCTTGAGAACATTTTGCACAAACACGGCCTGAGGTGAGGACATATTGACGACTCTTGGTTTAGATAGCTGAGAGACAACTGAACCCATTTTACAAAAATTGAGATTATTTTATAGAGCAGCAACAACAATGAGAACAACAACAAAAAAGGAAAGTGGCTGGCTTGGTAAATGGTGGCTTTTGCGGTTCTCTTGATATAGCTATGAATGCAAAAGAACTTAACTGAAAAAAAAAACAAAACAAATGATAACATGATAAGGGAATGTGGTCGAAAAATAAACCCAATGTTTTAAAAATAACAATAATACTATGATTTTTTTTATCAAAAAAATAGTTTCTTTTAATAAAAAAATAATCATTTCATAACAATTCCTTTCTTTCCAATCAATTTCAATGTTGTTTTGTTTTGTATATGCATGCAGGGAGATTGGTTTGTGTGAGAGAGAGAGAGAGAGAGAGAGCGCACGAACAGCTGTTTTATATCTCATCCCCTTTTTTTCATTCATTGCATGCCTTGGCGTGTGGAAACATATGTAAACAACTTACTTATGAGTATTAAATGTTTTTATTTAAAAAAATTTAAATAATTATTAAAATTTGTTGTATTTTCTTCATAAATTATATTTTTTTGTTATATTAAAACTGTATTTTTTGCAACAAATCAATAAACGACCCAACGTACGTAATTAAAAACAAACTATGACAAACTATTTTGACAGCATAACTGACCTTTGATTGGCAATGAGTGTGCATGTATCCTTTAACTAAGACGTATGTATGGCGCATAGCGTATGTGAAATGACAAAGGGAAAATACACAAAAAATAAGAATGTTTTTAATTTTATTTTTTATAAATTCTTAAATAATAAAAAAATAAATACAAAATTATAAATAAATACCAATAATAATAATAAAGAATATTCCAGATAAAAAGAAAACAAACAATTGGAGTAGGGTCGTGGTACAATAATACAAGGTAGGACAATATGAGGTGAATAACAGAAAAAAAGGAACTATGTAGGTTAGTGGCTTTTTCTGTCAAATAAAAAAAAAACACACGCAACATGTGGTTGTATTTATTTGACATTTCTTTTTTTTTGTGGTTGTATTTATTTGACATTTCAAATAAAAAAATCGAATTTAATTGAAATTAAAATGCCCACTTTATACTGCAATATTGACAAATTTTGAAGCTTATAATTGATTCTAATTTGATATATAGATATTCTAATTGAGAAGAAAATAACCCTACCAAAAAATAATCCCAACCCCATATTGGGGTACCCCTCAATATTAGATATTTTGAGGATCATGTGTAAATTTTTCAACCTATTCAGCTGTAATTTTATATTTTGGGTTCTCAATGGGTAAAAAACAAAATCTTCCTATTAAAAATTTTCAGTACAGTTTTACTTTTAATATTTTGGGTTTTCAATGGGTAAAAAAAAAGTACTAAAAATTTTCACTTCTTCGAGTAGGCCCCATATAAGGGATACTTTTTTTCGATAAAAATCTATGCCATTTTTTGGTATTATTAAGTTTTAACAGATTTTTCTCATCGAAGTGGCTATAATTTGGCATTATCAGGATTCGTGATGACTAATAAAAATATAGTGTTGAAAAAATAGTACAAATTTTTAGATTAATTTTTCCCGCACTTTATAACCCATAATAAAAAATAAGCCTATAATGTAAACTTTTCATTAAACAGCTAATTTCCTTCAATTATCGATATGTTCGATAAATTCGATAAGTACTTTACACACAAGAATTAAAGAATAAAAAAGAACCAACGCTAATGTCAAACCTATGCCTATGTATGACAAAAGTCGACTGACACAACCCTTATTTCTATGTAAAACTTCATGAAGAACGGACGTATGTCGTCGTTTAGTAGTGCGAGCGCTGTGTGAAGCAACAACAAGAAAAAAACGGAAAGAAAAAATAATTATTACCAGAAATTCAAACAAAAAATACGCAATTCTACAAATAAAATAAAACATAAGAGATTGCAATTTAAATAATTATTAAAAAATCTCAGTCAGTATAAACAAGAAAACGTAAGGTGAGTGGTGGTGAAGCAAAACAACATGAAAAAATACGAAGAAATGAAAAAAATGTGTCAATTATGAGCAGCATGAAATGTGTATGAGTATGTGTGGCAAAAAAAAAAATATATATATATTGTATATATGAAAGAGTGCAAGATTGTGTGTGCTGTGTGCGCGAGGCAGCAAAAGTAACCAAATATATATATAATCGAAAACCGACTGCTGTCAAGCTGTACCTTTTCTGCCCGTTGTTGTTGTTTTCAAAGAACAACAACAAATAATATTACAGTGATTATTTTTCTTTAAAGTTTTGATTTTTTTTTAAACAAAAAATATTTTTGAATTTTTCCCTTTAATTTAGAATTTTTATCAATAAATATACGGCATTTTTAAATAAAATGAATTCAAGTGATGGCAGCAATGGCTCTGGAGGTGGCAGTGGAGCTGGCCCAGGAGGTGGCGGCGGCGGAGGAGGTAAGTGCAACAATGTCTTCGTCCCTCCCCCATTAGCAAGTAGAAATTTGTCCTTTTATTTCAATCAAAAAAAAAATGTGAAAATGCATAGAGTTCACCTAAAATGCATGCATTATTGTGTCCCTCTCCCCCCTTGTGCATAATATTTTCTCTCAAAAATGTTGACCCCCCAAAACTCTCAATACCCCATCCATCCATATATTATCGTCATATTTCTGTGTGTGTTTTTTATTTTTCGTATTACCTTTTGTCTTTGATTTTCTATGTATCTACCAACACCACTACAACACATAAAAAAAGTTTTTCTGTTCTCTTTTGTGGTATTGCTTTCGTGGCAGTGTTGCTTATTTTAGTACTAGTTTAGGCAGGCAGATGGACGGACAGACAGCCAGGCACAACTCAAGTTTTTCTTCTTCGTGTAAAGTTGCAGAAATAGTGAAAAAAGTTAAAAATTTGTGAAAAAATAATAGATTATCAATTGCCGTGTAATCACATAAGTGTCCGACAGGAATAATCGTGTTCGGGTAAAAATCCAAAAATATTTTGTTTGTGTGTTTCATCTTGAAAAAACTTTGCCGTATCTTGCATAGTGTTTTGTATCTACTTGTCGTCTGTCGGAAAGGTAAAAAATGAATGGTAGTGTGTTGTAAATTAAAGATGAATTTAGATTTTGTTGTTGTAATTGTTAATACATAACTAAATTTTTTAATTTGTATTAAACAAAATAATAATTTTTCATTTCTTATTGTTTGTCTTCTCAAAACTGTCTCTCGCACAAATGTATTTCACAACATGTTTGCATTTGCCCCTTGATCAATCAGCTGTGAATTGTCTGTGTATACGCTCATTTATATAAAACAAAACTAATCATGATGTGTTAAAAATTTATGGGCATAACTTTAGTTTAGTAAAAACGATTAGATTATTTTTTTTTGAAATTTTTACCCTAATTATGCGCATATATTCTTTTCTTGGGGGACATATCCGGTTACCCGGTTATTTGACCCGGAAGTTGGGGTACGGGTACTCAGTTCTACGGATCCTATTGAAATGTTTACCGCAATTATGGGCATATATTTTTTCTTGGGGGCCGAGTAACCGGTTACATCCGGTTATTTGACCTGGAAATTCGGGTACGGGTACCCAGTTCTACGGATCCAATATAAAATGGGTATAATTTTAAAGCTTTTGAAAATACTATATTCTATTGAGTGGTGATATGAAGGGTTATCTGAAAACGGTTCGGAGACAGCCAAAAAAACTTGTGTTTGGACCCCGATTTTTTAAGAAATTTTTTCCTGTAGGGTTTTTTACCCTAATTATGGGCATATATTTTTTTCTTGGAGGACGTACCCGGTTATTTGACCCGATATTCCGTATGGAGGGTTATCTTAAACAGGTTCGGAGACACAGTCGAAAAAATGGGGTTGGACGCCGATTTTTTTGAAGGTATTTTTTTTGTAGGTATTTTTAACCTAATTATGGGCATATGTTTTTTTTTCTTGGAGGACGTACCTGGCTATTTGACCCGGAAGTTCGGGTATGGGTACCCGATTTTACGGATCCGATTAATAATACAAAAGCTTATGAAAATCCTATATTCCATTGAGCGGTGATATGAAGGTTTATGTCAAACCGGTTCGGAGACACAGTCAAAAAAAAATGTGGTTTGGACCCTGATTTATTTCTTTGTAAAACCTCCTAATAGTCGAACTTGAGTCCATTATAGTTCCACACCAATCCCAAACTCAAATGATAGACTATAATTTGTCCTTTCTAAAATGGTGCGATATGTAGACCCTACAAAATCAAGGATATTCCTTCTACGCGACAGAATCTCCCCTAGTTTATTGCTGAAAATAAATTGTATAAAAAAAATAATCACAAAATAGTTAAATTTTAAAATTAAACTATGATTTTAGACTAAACTATGCTTTAAAACTTCACTCTCCTTAAGGTCGATTTAAATTAAAACGATCCGCGAGGTGGCCCTAAACTAGACTTGTTCCCGATTTAAAAAAATCCACCCTTCTTAAGGTCCTTTTTCTGATCATACTGGAGTAATTTTGATCAAATTTGGAGTAATTGATGTATTGTGGCTTCTGGAACCGATCATGGTTTATTCGTTGAAATAGATTGAAATTGTGTAAATCGATTAAAATTGACTATTCATAGTCGTTGGTTGTAATGGAAGGGAATTAAACCTTTTGGAACGGCAGACTTTGAAAAAATTGTCGCTATGAACTGACCGACTACCCCTGTTGGTGAATGTTGGCTTTAATATAAGTTGGTTATGCTATAGTTGCCTTTATTTTTCAGACCACTCCCATTAACCACATTAACTTGTCCATCAATTAAATTCTCTAAATTAGGCACCTGCTGTTAGATGTGTCATAGTTGCCTTTCTTGCAGAGTTTCCCGCCATTTTGTAGACCATTTTCTAATCAGAAGAAAAACATTATATTTATTTCTCACATAAAATATTTTCCATCTCTGAGATGCTCTCTGCATAAAAAGGAATTGAGCATTCTTGATTTTTTAATAAAAAACATTGACTTATAGCCTAGACAGACGACAGCCTTAATTTGCATTAACAGCCTTAATTCACATTAACATGCACAAAATCAAACTGAATTTATACTGAATTAGGCAATTTCAATATGGCAATGCTGTCGAAAATTAATTGTTTCTTGTCAAATTTATTTATATTTATGAAAATAAAAATAAGAAATGAAGGCAAATTTCAACCATTTTTTAAACTGGGAGCTGTTTTGCTGAGATCATAGTTACTATTCCTCCTTTATGTCATGTATCTACTTCATAAAGATGTAATCCCGAAAAATATCGAAACAAATGTAAAAAATGTTCATCCTACACACAGACAAACAATTGGTTTGAAGCAAAAAACTGTTTCGTAAATGCAGAAACGCTCGTCTGTCAGGGGTAAATATTAATTCAAATTAAGGAATTTTTAATGCAAATTAAGGCTGTCGTCTGTCTATGGTATTACTTTTTTGAAAGAGATATTAATTTGCACTGACTAACGAGGGGATGGAGTAGTTACAAACAATTTTTCCGCCTTTTTGTCATCATGTCATTCCATCTCTGACAGAACGAAATCAAAGTTGCATGTACTGTTGACTAACGGCGACAGATAAGCTGACTATTGGTAGTTGTGATTTCTTTTCTATTTCTGACTGTCTCTAATTAAAAATATACATTTGTATGATAATACATTGATTCTTATTCACTTGTTTGCTTATCCTCTTTATTTTATTTGATTGTTTAGATAATATGACTAGTGGTAGTGGTTACAAACAATTTTGCCGCGTTTTATCATCTTGTCATTCCATCTCTGACAGAACGAAATCAAAGTTGCATGCACTGTTGACTAACGGCGACAGAAGGCTGAATGTTGGTAGTTGTGATTTCTTTTCTATTTCTGTCCGTCTCTAAACATATACATATGTAAGATAATATAACATTGATTATTATCATGTTTGTAGTTTATCCTCTTTTATTTTATTTGATTTTTTAGATAATATTCATAAAAATTATTTCTATTACATTCTCCATCTCTGGCTTACATTCATTGACACGGAGATTTGTGATAGTACTCTCTGAGTGTCTCTCTTATTGAATGAAAGAGTTTGACAAGTAACTTTGCCGTGTTTTGGTTATGGGTGTTCAAGAAAAAAAAGCTGATAGTTGTGCCAGCTACCGCAATGTGTGGGACTTTTATGTTTTTTTTATTTAAAACATTAAAAAGTTTAAATAATATTTATTTATGCAAGGCTGACACAGGCTCGCTCTGATAGATATCATAGTTCACTCTCTTTCTGTGCTTCTCATTAAAAAAAGAGGATAACAAAATCAACTTGGCGCGTTTTGTCAACGTCATTATAAAAAATGTGCACAGTTTTGTTTATTTATTTTATTTTAATAATTAAAACGCGTTAAAATAATATATATGCCAGCAGGAAAATTAGTGTTCTTTAATATTGTGATCATTTTTGAAATAAAAAAACTTGGAAATGTTTAGTTCAGGAAATTTAGTTGACAATGACAAAGACTGTTGGACTGTGCTTTCTCTTTCTCCCTCTCTCTCTCTCTTTGTGTCTCTAATTAAAAAGAGGCTAACAACATCAATTTGGCGCTTTTTTCTTTAATGTAGTTCTATATTTGTGATAGTTTTGTTTTTAAATATTGAAGACAGTTCATTCTGTTTGTATGGGAGTTTTTTTTTTTATTTATTTCTGTTTTTTGTTAATTTTTTATTTTATTATTTAATTTTTATTCCACAGAACCCTTGAAAATAATCAAAACCCAATTAATACCCCATCCACATCCAGTGTCTTCACAACAATCATCATCACACAGCCACCAACATTCACCATTGCCTTCACCCACAACAACAACACCGACTCCACCAACACCGTTACAATTACAATCTTCCAATACCACTTCTACTACCTCTTCTTCCACATCCGCAAATACTATCACAAATCCCCCCAACAATACCAATGCACATAATAGTAGTAGTAGTAGTAACAGCACAGCACAACAGACCACAGTAGTCCACCATCATCAACATCACCATCCACCATCCATACAATTGAAAAATCCAACAAATGTAACAAATTTATTTTCTTTAAATCCAGTTGCAGCCAAAATAACACATGTCAAGACAACAACAATAGATGCCGTTGGCAGTGGTATATCATTGAGTGGTTTAACACCAACGGGCGGCGGTGGAGCAGGAGGTACCACAGGCGGCGGTACCATTGTAACAAGTGCTGGCCTATCTGCCGTGGGTGCAATTAAAGTTGGCAATAGTGGTGCTGTTGCCACCTCACTAGGTGGTACACCAATTGCATTGAACTCCTCGCAGGGTTCGACAGGTGCCAGTGGTGGTGCCACATCAATACGTGCCATAGGTGCTGGTGGCCAGTCCACACAAGTTCGGGTGGTTATGAGCAACATAATGTCACCGTCAATGATCAAACAGCTGGAAAATGCCGCTGGCCCCGGACGTACACAAATTACCACATTTCCCACAGCCCCGGCCAGATCCGTTTCAAATACTTCGATAACCGTAACCAGATCGGCAACACAAGCCACCTATTTGCCGCGGCCCAATGCAACGGCAACACAAATGTCGGCTGTGGGAATGGGTATACCGACGGGCGGTGGACAACGTCTGGTCACGCCCCTTAGGACCACCCCAGTCTCCGGACAGGGAGGAACGTCGGGAGGAGGGGCCACAGTTACTGGTATTACGGCCACGGGGAATTTTGTGCGCGGCACAGCTGTTAGTCGGCAAACATCATCGCCGGCCACCACAGTTATATCACCGGCCACAAGTACAACATGGATGGCGGCAGCTAACCAGGCGGGGCATCAAGTGCAATTAATACGAGCCATACCACATCAGACCAGGCAACGTATTATAACCACCCAGGGTATTAGTGGTGTACCGGTATCGGCCACGGGATCTGTGGCATCAGTTAGTGGTACTGTCGTTACCACCACAGCATCGGCATTGCAGGCAGGAGGAGGCGGTATGGTTTCCCAACAACATCTAACACCAACGTCACAACAACAATGTAAGTTATAAATTGATTTTACAACAACAATTTTGATTTTAATTCTCTGTTTTTTTTTCTTCTTCTAGCCACCATACAATCTGTGTCCTCAGCCTCAGCGTCATCGTCACAGCAACAACAGCAGGCCCAACAACAAACCTATGTGGCCACCGTATTACCAAATAGGCAGCATCAAGCCACCTTGGTTTATTCCTCAAATGTAACTGGATCTCAACAATTGACCACCGGTCAACAACAGCAGCAACAACAATTTAATCCCACCTCCGTGGCTGGTGGTGCTGGCGGACCAAGATTTACTGTGGCCACACAACTAACACCAGGCAGTGGTGGTGGTGGCGGCGTTGGTGCTACACGACAAATACGTCCAATACCATTTGCCAAATCATTTTCGGCCACCAAATTAAATACCACCAGTATAAGTATACGGGCACCGAATTTACCACAATTGACACCGTCCATGGCAGCGGCTGCAGGTGTATCAAATGTTGTCAGCTCATCGGCTAGTGGTGGTGTGGCGGGTGCAGCAAATTCCCCACGTAGTACCACAGTGACTGGAGTAACCGGATCCAGTGGTAATGTAATACCATCGACAACAACACGTATCATACAGCTGCAGCAACAGCCGGGTGGAACAACCCAACAGATTATTGGTTCCACCGGACGTTTGGCTGCCAATGTAATGTTGCAGCCCATAATTGTGAATACGGCGGGGGCCGGGAAGATTGGTAAGTTGTGAGATTCTCGCATTAAAGAATAATACGATTATAAATTGTTGTTCTTTTGTCCCCCCTCAGGTATACGTCCTCCCGTAACAATGGCCGCCAAAGTTCAACCACCCTTAACCATAACCCAATTGGGTATTGGAAAATTACCTTCTTCATCGGTGTCGTCAGCATCAGCATCCTCTTCATCATCATCGGCAACATCTGCCTCTACTGGTGGTGGTGGTCAACAAAATATCAATACAAGTTCCGGTAATGCCTCGCCATCCATCTCATCGGCGGCCAGTATAACCGTTACAAATCTATCCACAAATGCCACAACACAATTGGTAAATGTCTCACAGGGTGGCGGCAGCAGTGCGGCCGGCCAACTCTTGGCCACACAAAATTTGATAACATCCAGTGCTGGCGGCGGTAATGCCACCGTGACAGCTGCCGGCGGAGCCACCGTTGTTCCTTTGTCGATAAATGCCCGAGGTACACTGACCGGTACAATGACACCCATTAAAAATGCTAATGCCATTACGGTGGGTAAAGTTATGACACAGGCCCAATTGGCCGCCTCCCATTCGCCATTGGACAGTGGATCAACGAATTCTTCCTCCAATAACAATTCATCGGCGGCCAATGTTTATATACATGCAGCCAGCCATCCGCCACAAAGACCGCACAGTAATAGCAGTACAAGCAGTAATAGTGGTGCGGGTGGTGGTGGCGCCAGTGTTGTTGTCAACACCTCAGGAGGAGGAACAGGAGTTATAAATACCAGTCAAGCCCCCCCTAGTGTCCTAACCTCAACTGGCAATGTTGTGGCCGGAACATTTTTACAACCCGGCAGTACCATTTACTATGAATCGGTACCAGCCAGTTCAGTACAAGTTTCCACCGGTGTATTATCCCTGACCACCACAACAGTTACCAGCAGTACCATGTCTCAAAATCAAATTGCCAGTTCAGCGGCAGCAGCGGCGGCGGCTAATTTATCAATATCCTCTTTGCCATTTGTAAGCCACTCTGGTGGTGGTGGTAATTCGACAACAGCCACCTTTACCGTTGTGCCATCTACCGGTGGACGTACCATTGGTCAATTGCAAATACCCGTTTCAAATGCTGCTGGCGCCCAAATACAAACGGTTCCCGTGCGTTTTAGTCAATTATCAGGACAAATGTCAGCTGATGCATCGGCGGGTATATCTGTATCGCAAGCAACAGCTAACCAGATACTACAACAATCGGCTGCGGCGGCGGGTTTGGAAACATCACAAATAATAATACCAGCATCCCAGGCGAATGTAACATCAACAGCAGCCTCCGCCCAGCAGCATCATCATCAACAGATGGTTATACCCTTGCAAACATCCATAAAAGTCACATCGGGTGGTGGTTCAACGGGCACCGCTGTGGTGTCGAATTTTTTGCGTAAACGTGATATTGATGGTTCACCCATAAGGGCAGCCAAAAATCTACAACCCACTCTATTATCAATGGGTTCGGCGAATAATATCATCCATAATAATAATTCGGCGACATCAGCAGCCGCCACCTCTTCAATTGGTGGCAGTTCATCGTCCTATAGTTTAAGCTCTGTGACAACATCATCGTCATCCGGTGCGACAACTGTTCTAACAGCTGAAGCTTTGGCCAAAAAGGATAGAAATGCCGCCGCCAACAATTGTTTGTCCTCATCAGCGGGAATTAATTCTTCGCTAACGACATCGGTGACACGATCATCCCGGGCCGATTCACCAGCCTCGTCAGATGGCTCAACAACCGTGTCCGCCAACTCTTCACCCGGTGTGGAACAACAAATTCAGGATAATAATATGATTATAAATCGTATGACTGGTAGTGGTTCTAATCACAGCATCGAATCACATTTTAATCCAATTAATGAGGTAGGTAATCCACACAGCCCACACCCCACACTCGTGTTTTTCTTTTTTGTTTTGTTTTGAGTGTACCACCCCCCTTCCCTTTGTGTGTTCTCTCTGTTTGTGTGTGTTTTGTTATTTTCTTAAATGTTTCTTATTAAAGCTTTACTCCAATCATCTTTCTGTGGTTCCACAGCAGCATCATATTATACCCGGCACCCCGGTTACCTCAAGAAATCTACAAAATTCAATGGAACATCATCATCATCACGGAACATCGTCGTCATCGTTACATGGCTCAAATTCAGCAACCACAGCATCGGCCATAACCATACAACAAAGACTTAATGGGGTTGGTGGACCATTGGAGTGTCCACCACGTAAAAAATCCCGGCGATCAACGTAAGTTTTTGAGATATATTTTGTTTGGGATTTTTTTTCTAAAATGTATTTTTGTTTTTTTTTTTCAGCAATGATAGTCAATTATCCAGCCACAGTCAGGCATCACTTAGTCTACCACCACCTCAGGCCAATAGTGCCACAAGCAGTTTAGCACAACAAACACCCGCCATTATTGCCCAGGAAGCAGGATCTACTGCTGTAACTAATGTTATTAGTAATGGTACCGTAACACAAAATACAGTCAGTTCCGGGGGATCATCCGCATCGGCACCCCCAGGTAATGAGGGTAAGATATTTGTATTATTATATAGTTGTGAGATTATGTTATGGATAGTGAGGTTAGGTTCAATATCAAAATAATCCTCTTTTTTATTTCCATTTCTAGTTGTTAATGGCAAAGAGAACACCAAACCTGTGGAATTTATATTGAAACGTCCAAAGAATTGTACTCTAATGAGTGTAAGTATTTATCGCCCACCCTCTCTCTGTCTCTCTCCCTTTGCAATCAATTTAATGTTGCGTTTTTTTTTTATTTCCAGACCTATAAACAAACCTGGAAATCGGCCTATAATCATTTTCAACGTTATTCCGATGTTAAGCCGCGCGAAGAACGACGTCCCACCATTATGGATTTGGCCAATCAAAATAATGTCTTGGGTAAAATAAATGGCTGGAAAATCTATCATTTAAAATCGCAAATGGAAGATTTGGTAAGTGGGATGGACCACAGATTCTGTAATTAATTGGTCTAAAAATATATCATTCGATTTGCACGAAATTTGGCACAGCGTACTGAATTGAGTCTAGAATGATGTGTGCAAAGTTTCGTGAAAATCGGTTCAGATTTAGATATAGCTCCCATATATATTTTCGTCCGATTTTATGTAAATGGTACACCAAAGACCCTATATATTCATCGATTTGCACGAAATTTGGATTTATAAGTAAATGAAGAACTCAAAATGTGGTCGAAAGTACAAAACATACTGAAATAAGTGTAACCTAACCGCCCGACTTTAATACTTTCTTTACTGGTTTTAATTATTTATTTAAAATTATTTAAAAATTAATTTTTATTTATTTATTTTTTATTTTTTTTTAGTGTGAAAACGAATCCTTGGGTTATGAAAAATTATCCAGCATGTTGAAACAAATGGAATCGAATGGCATTACCAATGAAATTGAACGCATTAGCGATCTACTAAAGGTATAATATTATAACTCTTTTTTTAATTTATTTAATTTTTTTTAATTGTTTATTCTCTCTCTTTCTCTCCCCCGTCTAGGGTAACATGCAACGTAGTAAAATTATTGTTGATGGTGTCAGTGAGGCACAAAATCAAATAATGAAAATATTCGAACATAAATCCCATGTATCGGATATTATTACACGTTGTGCCTCGAAGCGCAACTATAAAAAACGTGAGAAAGTTTAAAGTAGTGACCAATCCAACTAACCCAGCCAACCACCCATATCGTTAAGAAGGTCTACAAGAACAACAACATATATACAATCATAGATTGTTTTCGTGAAACATACTTCTTTGTTGATACTTACAGAAACAGAAAAAACATTATTGATGATGATAACAATGTTAATAGTTATGTTCCCAGTAAACCCTCCCTTCCTCCCCCTGTGTAATGTATTTTAAGATATATTATTTTTTAAATGTTTATTCAAAATTAAGATAATTAAATCTTAATTTTGTGTTTTTTGTTTCCCCCTCCTACTGGATTTGCATTAATTTCAATATCTTTTGATTGTAATTTTAAATATCCATCTATCCATCATTAAGAATATTGAAAAAAGAAAACTTTATAACCAAAATATATTGTAAATATTTTAATTTTTAAATATTCAACCTAAGATGATAAACAACTAATCTAACCTAACCAACAAACACATACATACACACACATATATATTTATAATTAATACTAAATTTCTAGTAAGTTTTATTTATATTAAGATATAAAAACAAAAACAAAACTATTTTTCTAATTTATAAAGGAAAGACAAAAACTACCAACAACAACAATTTTGCTAAAATGTTATACACATTAAAAATTACAAAAAAGAAAGAAAAAAACTACAACTAAAACACATTACGTTGAAAAGGTAAAAACAACAACAAGAAAATAAATCAAGAATAATCTTTAAAAAAAATATGGGTTTATATAAAGAATTTTTTAAAAATATCTAAATTTTTTAAAAAAATATATTTTTTTCAAAGGTTTATATTTTTTTCAAAGGCGAGGATTTTTTAAAAATATTTTTTCAAAGGCATTGATTTTTTTAAAAAAATATGTTTTCAAAGGCTTGGATTTTTTATAAGTATTTTTTTACAAGTATTTTTCAAAGGCGTGGATTTTTTAAAAATGTTTTTTCCAAGCGTGGATTTTTTAAAAATATTTTTTCATAGGCCGGGATTTTTTAAAAAATTATTTTTTCAAAAACCTGGATTTTTTAAAAGTATTTTTTCAAAGGCTTGGATTTTTTAAAAATATTTTTTTAAGGGTTTGGATTTAAAAAAAAAATTTTTAAGGCTTGGATTTTTTAAAAATCTGTTTTCAAAGGCGTGGATTTTTTAAAAATATTTTTTCAATATTTTTCGACCGCAAATATTAGCGTGGATTTTTTAAAAATATCTTTTCAGGTGTGAATTTTTTAAAAAACTATTTTTTTAAAGCAAAACCACAAGTTGCGGATTTTTTAAATTTTTTTTAAGGCGTGGGTTTTTAAACGAATTTTTTCAAATGCTTGGATTTTTTAAAAATATTCTTTTAAAGGTTTGGATTTTTTTAAAAATATTTTTTTTAAAGGCTTGGATTTTATATATATATATATATATATATTTTCAAAGGCTTGGATTTTTTAAAAATATTTTTTTATAGGCCTGGATTTTTTAAAACTATTTTTTCAAAGGCGTGCCTTTTTTAAAAGCATTTTTTCAAAGGCATGGATTTTTTAAAAATATTTTTTCATAGGCCTGGATGTTTTAAAACTATTTTTTCAAAGGCGAGGATTTTTTATAAACATTTTTTCAAAGCCGTGGATTTTTTAAAAAAATATTTTTTCCAAGGCGTGGCTTTTTTTAAAAATATTTTATCCAAGGCGTGAATTTTTTAAAAATATTTTTATTCAAGACGTAGATTTTTTAAAAATATTTTTTAAACAAATATTTATTAAAGGTGTGGATTTTTTAAAAGAATATTTATTAAAGGTGTGGATTTTTTAAAATAATATTTTTTAAAGGTTTGGATTTAAAAAAAAAATATTTTTTCAAAGGCGTGGATTTTTAAAAAAATATATATTTTTTCAAAGACGTGTATTTTTTAAAAATACTTGTTCAATGGCATGGATTTTTTAAACAGTTTTTTCAAAGGCGGGGTTTTTTAAACATTTTTTCAAAGTCGTGAATTTTTTTTAAAATATTTTTTTAAGGCGTGGATTTTTTAAAAAAAAATAATATTTTTTAAAGGTGTGGATTTTGTTAATATTTTTTAAAGGCGTGGATTAAAAAAAACATTTTTTCAAAGGCTTGGATTTTTTTAAATATTTTTTCAAAGGCTTGGATTTTTTTTAATATTTTTTCAAAGGCGTGGATTCTTTTAAAAATACTTTTTCAAAGGAGAGGATTTAAAAAAAATTGTTTTTAAGGCGCGAATTTTTTTAATTTTTTTTCAAAGGCATGGATTTTTTTAATTTTGTTTTTAAAGTCGTGGATTAAAAAAAATCAAAGGCGTGGATCTTTTTAATGTTTTTTTTTCGAATGCGTGGATTTTAAAAAAAATATTTTTTCAAAGACATGGATTTAAAAAATTTATTTTTTCAAAGGCGTGGATCTTTAAAAAATTTTTTCCAAAGGCGTGGATTTTTTAAAAATTCACAAAGCGTGAATTTTTTAGGAAATATTTTTCAATGGCCCACAAAATCCAGGATTTCTTAATATTTTTTCAGAGAATAAAACAGTATGTTTTTTGGAGCAAATACAATTCTTTATTCTATTATTTAAAATATTGTTTACTGTCTTATTAAAAATGCCTTTATTCTGCTTCCCAATCATAATCGACACATTCCCGATAGTCTTAGGAAGCAGCTGGATCCTCTTCTCACATTGGCGGCGGCGGTACTGGCAGTACACCCATTGGTGGTGGCGGTGGTACCCCATTAAATATATGTCTCGGCGGTCCAGGCATAGGAAAACCAGCCGGTGGTCCACCCAATGCCCTGTGTAAATTTGGCGGTGGTGGTGGTATGATTTTCGGTTCCAATTTGAAGGAAAATTGTAAAAAGAATTGCTTTGTATCACGATTCCAATGTGTCCAAAATTTACCCTCAGTCTTCTCAACTTCTCGCGAGGGTACCTTAAAGCCAATCGTTTCATATGGTTCGGCGGCAAATAACAAATATTGCCATTTACGATCTGGTGGTTCTATCTTCTGTTCATATGCTGACATAAAACGATGTCGTGGTATAATACCTTCTGTTATTTCGGGATAATCGATTTGAAAGAGCAGTGATTGTTGTCCATTATTGGGATCACGTTGTTTGGTCACCCGATAACCGGGACGACCGATTTTAACGAATTTTTTCGGTTCGACACGAGGTTTTTCCGGCGCCATCATAGACGGTGCCTCTTTGGCTTCTTTGGCGGCTCGACGTGCCAAATTCTCTTGATGTTTTTTACCCTGAGTGTGGGCCAAATAGGAGCCTTCATTATTGTGCAGCGTCAGACAAAGTTTACATTCATAGGAGCCTAAATGATTTTTCATAAAATATGGATCTTTATTTAGATCGATTGTCTCCAGCGCCAATTGGCGCAAACGTTCCTTGCGATCACGATTGGTTTCAGACCATGATGCCACCCCACCGCTACCGGTTTTGCCACCGGCACGATTTTGGAAATCCATAGTGGTTGTTGGTTAATTTGTTGTTCTTGAGGGGTTTGCTTCGATTCTAGGGGGACAAGAGGATGTGAATAATTTAGTTGGGAAGTAAGAGAATATTTCCTGATGACCACTTACCAATTTCCAAGGGAAAACGCTGTTTTATAGTTCAATAGTCCATGAACTAATCACTGCTGTGAGCTAGTGAACTAGTTCAATTAATGTTGTTTACATATGACATTTTTTGGAGTAGAAATTAACAAGGTTATGTTAGAGTAGCGTATAAACTATTGGTTTAAAATGACAGTTTGCCACAAATAGCATATTTATTATAGTACATTTACATTGTACTGGATTTAGTTAACACAGTGGGTTGAAATTGTCAATTCCATTTCAAATATGTCAAATAAATCCTCATAAGGTAGGTTAATCCTGTTCTAATTGATGATCGGCTGAGGGTAGTGAATTTTATCATTCAGAACCCCCAAGGAGTCTCTGAAGGTAAAGGTAGGTTTAGATTTACGAAATACACTCGATCTCAAATGTCAATTCCATAGCGCATACGTCAAATATAATCCACTGGGTTTGTGAACTGGATTAACGTGAAGTATACACAATGGAATTTTCGTTTGAAATCAAGTGGATTTAGTAGTTTAAACCATGGTATAATTATTACAAGGTAGGGCACAGCTACCAACTGATTACAATTTTTTCTCAAGGTGGTTTGTTCCATCAAATCAAAATTCATATTTTGTGTATGTGTGTGTATTGTTTTGAATACTATATCAAATAAATTCAAAATAAATTGAAATATATTCAAATTTAATAGAAATGAAAATTATGTTTTTAACACGTTCGTCTGGAAGTAATTACTTTGTTATGGATGAAATAAACATTTTATTGTATTTCCTACTGGATTTTGGGAAGAAAACATAACCTTTCATTCATTTTTCGCGTTTTTAGTTTTGTATTGAAAAAATGTCAAAAAAAAACACACGTGTATTTATTTTATTTTTGGCAGAAGAAGCCACTCGTGCATAGTTACTTTTTTATTATTCAACTCAAGCTGCCCTACCTTGTATTATTGTACCATGGTTTAAACGTAGCCTAAGGTAGTGTCGAAGTAGGTCGCAGAAATACCTCTAGAAAGGAGGCTGATACACAAACCTCCACTTTAGCAAAGAAATCAACACAGTAGCTCGATGTTTTGTACGCGTTAAGTCGATGGAGACACCTGCCAAGAGCGCTAAGGGAGTAGCGAAAACCAAAACTCAAAGCATGAAGCCGGGTTTATCTTTTGCTCAGCCTGGCGCTCCTGAAGATCTGCGATCTGCAAGTCGAAATCATTGATATGAAGGACCTCTTTCTGCCCCAATTTGCTACCAAATGAGAATGCAGATGTAATCTTCAATCTTTTACCCATCAAGATTATGTAGAAAATAGTAAAATCTAGTAGATTCTTGCAGTACGGGAGCAGACCAGATATTTGTGTCAATCATTATTATTTTATTGTTATTGTACAGTCCTTAATTAATAAAAACACACAATCCGAATTGATAGTGTGTACACACCTTTATTTGTTTCCCCCCAGCAACATGACATTTGTGTCAATGTCTGCTGTTATCGATTTTATTGTTATTGTACAGTCCTTAATAAAAAATACAAACAATACAAAATGATAGTGTGTACTCACCTTCATTTGTTTTTCCACCCAGCAACATGACATTTGTGCTAATCATGGCCTATAAACAAGGTCACCAAGATAGCAATCGAAATCGGAAAACAGCTGTTTTTTCTCAAGTCTAATGTCAAAAATTTCGACTTTGTTTACGTTTTCATAATGGAAGTCAATTCACAATAATGCATTTTGACAGCAAACTTGAGAGGTATCGATAATCAGCTGGTCTCCCTTGGTGACCTTATTTATAGGCCATGGTGCTAATATCTACTGCTATCGATTAATCGATTTGGTCACAAGTCGATCTACATCAACCTAATTGAGGTGTGCTGTGGTGTGCGGTGTGCTTTCTTGAAAATATACGAAAAAATAGCAAATTTTATAATAAATGTGCAAATTATTATTAATTTTCTCATAAATATTTAATATTCAATCTCTAATGAAGTGAAAATTTGCAAAAAATTATGAAAAATCGTTTTGTATTAAGGCTATTTTTGATGATTTAAGAAAAAAGCATGCGTCTCAATGACGTCGTTCGTTCGTTCTAATGAAAGAAATAAAAAATTATGTGAAATAACTTGCCTCATAAAAGCCAGCCAGCCCGCAAGGAAGCAAAGATTCAAGTGTGTCGCAATGTGTGCTGCTAATATAAAGAAGATGATGAAATAATAATAAAGAGAATACGAATTTTTTTGTATATAATTAAAAGTGTAAAAAAATTTGCAAGCATAAATTTTGAATATGAATTCCTCAAGTGCTTCGGACAATGTGACCAGTAATGTAGCAACAACAACAACAACGGATTCTCAAACTGTTGTACTGTCTGCTGCGTCTTCCTCTAATGATGGGGGTAATGGAATGCCGAAAATGTCGAATGCCAGAGAAATTCTTAATAATGATGTTGAAATGCCTAAGGCAATTCCAAAACCCAGTAACAACAACAATAACTCCAATATAATTGGTGGTGCTGCTGCTGTTGGTGAGGGGGGCAGACGTCTTATACGTACCATACGACCCATTGATGTTCGAAAATTACAACAATCTGGTTTAGATCGTAAAATTGCAGAGGTCTTAAGTAAACAAAAGAAGCTGGGTAATGGAAATACAACAACAACAATTACAAAAACAACAACTGGAACAACACCAAAACCCCTAATTAATACAAGCTCTAGTAGCAGTACCACCAACAACAACACACTAAATGTGCCTTCGATTCCCAAAAATAATGTAAAACCCCATGGCTCTACAACAACAGCACCAACAAGTGGTGGAGTAGGATCTACAACAGCTAGTACATCTGCTTCAGCTTCCAGTGCTCCTCCTCCATCATCATCGTCCACACCAACACCATATATTTTAAATCCCACAACCCGGATGCCGGATAAAAATTCCCTAACACTTTGTAAGTATGCCATACTTTGTTGTTGTTCTTGTTCTTGTATTTAGTTTTTTATTTAATTACTCTGTGTGCTAAATTGATTTTTGAAAATTCCCTTTTGGTATATTCAACCATTAGTTGTACTTCGAATTAACATGCCCATGGTTGCAGGGTTAGTGTTGTTGTTTACCACAACCAAGTATCTGAGTTCAAATCCCAGATCCATCTCGAATTTTTTCTTTTGATTTGCTTTTGAAAAAATCTATTTTTGTGTAGTCAAATGTTTTTTGTTGCCGTTGCTGCGAAATGTAATTTAAATGCAAGGTAAGTATTTCATGCCAATAGGGGGAGTATAAATAGAAAATAAAAAAAACCTATATATTTTTAGGTTTGGATTCCAATACAAAATATATTGAGGCAGGTCGCATTAACGAAGATCGCATGATACAAAACTGAAATTATTTAAAAAAAAAAAATAATTTAAATTCTAATTAACTTGCGAACAATCGAAATTAGAAACATTCTCGATTTTGGCGATTTAGCTACCCTGCCAAGGTCTTTATCGATGCATCGATGAAGTATACGAATCTGTTTATTGAACTACCAGCGACTGCATTCACATTTTCGTTGTTGGTTGTGCTGCCCATTTGAAGACCGCATCTTCTTCATAGGCTTAGGAGAGCAGTTGTTATTGTTGTTATAACAGCCCTATTGTTTTTACACAATGGGTTGATTGGTGGCAGACCTTGGCCAAGAAGGCTCGGATCGTTTCGAATCATGAAAACGTGATCTCCATAGATGCCTTCGCGATGTTGGCAAAACTATATTTGTGTTGTGACATATTTCTCAGAAGTAATTTAAGTCAGATCGACCAATGCAACTGAAGGCAAAGCAGATGCCCTTGCCTTTTATTCGTCGATCTCTTTTCATCCAGATATCCACTTGAAGGTACTGATTGATAAGATATTAGTTATTAGTTATCCATGTCGCATTAATGAAGTGACACAAAACTGAGATTATTTGAAAAAAAAAATTAATTTAAATTCTGATGGATTTGGGAACTATCGATGGATATCGGAACTACGCAGTCCATTTTAAATGCAATCTGGAATTCAATACATCTTCATCTATATCCTTATAGGAGCTTTGAAAAAAAAAATATTCTTTAAAAAATCTACGCCGTATAGAGCACTGAGAAAAGTATTTTTTTTTTAAATCTACGGTTTATGAAGCCTTGACAAATATTCTATAAACAAAAAATCTGAGCCTTATGGGCCATTGAAGAAATGTTCTTTAAAAAATCTACGTCTTTAAAAAATATTCTTTAAAAAATCTATTCCTTGTGGGAGCGTTGTAAAGAAATTTATTTAAAAAATCAACGCCTCAAGGAAGCCTTGCCAAAATTAATCTTTAAAAAATCTAGAGCGTTGAAAAAAAGTTTTCTCAAAAAACAAAAAAAAAAAAAACCTACACCTTATGCTAGCCTTAAAGGATGAAATATAAATTCATCCATTTACAACATTCCGTTTCAACAACATCGTCTGTACTCACTCAGTGAGTCATGAACAACTAAACACGTTTTTTTCTCCTCTACGATTAATGCCAAAGGAAAACGAAACAAAAAGCAAACAATTAATTCTAGGTTATGTACATACAGCAAACCAAATCCAAAATTTTAGGATTTCTTCTTAAAAAAAATTTGACGAATATTTATAATTTTTAGTGGAGAGATTTGCTACACAATAAGAACTCAAACTACTAAATTACAGCCAATTCGAGTGAAAAATGCGGCTAAAACACCCCAAAGTATTCGGTTGAAAAACGAATACGCTGAAAGAACCCGAAACCGCTGAAAGAATACCGAAAATTGGAGTACATGTATATGGGGGCTATCCAAAATAATTGACCTATATTCATAATTTTTAGTGGAGAGATTTGCTACCCAATAAGAACTCAATGTATTAAATTTCACCGTATTCGTACCGAAAATTGGGTGGTACCGTTATATGGGGGCTATCCGAAAAAATGGACCTATATTTATATTTTTTTGTGGAAAAATATAATACCTATAATAACCCAATGTACCAAATTTCAGCGTATTCAGTTGAAAAACTCGCTTATAACCCCCAAAATACTGAAAATTAGTGGGTACCGTTATATGGGGGCTACCAGAAAAACTGGACCTATATTTCAAATTTTTGGTAGAGACTTTTGGAACCCAATACCAATCCAATGTACTAAATTTCAGAGTATTTTATACCCTAACAAAATACTACGCTTGTGTTGGGTCTAAGCTGAGGGGCTCATCCGTTCCGGAAATTTTTTGCCATGTGCAGGTCTCGTGCCCATGGTCATGAAAATATAGGACTTTCAAGTCGAACTTGGAAAAGATTTCCAGGGGCGTCGGTCTGCGTGAACCATCAGCTGCATCGCTTTCATATGCCTTCTGGGCTGGGGCTTCTTCATCCATTCTCACAACATGACCTAGCCAACGTAGTCGCTACAGCTCAATGCGTCTAACAATGTCGATGTCCAAGAATAGCTGGTACAACTCATGGTTCATTCAGATCGACCCGTAGATCTTACGGAGAAATTTTCTTTCAAACACTCCAAGAGCTGCTTCATCTGCTTCTGCAAGTACCCATGCTTTAGATCCATATAACAGCACGGGTAGTATCAGCGTTTTGTAAAGTGTGCGTTTGGTCTGGCGGAAGATGGCCTTGCTTTTGAATTGTTTGCTCTGACCATAGTAGCACCGATTTTGAAATCCGGAGAAGGATGGTGATGGCCTATCCTTCTTCGGATTTCAAAACTGATGTCATTCGTTTTATTTATGGCGGTACCAAGGTATATAAAATCTTTGACTACCTCGAAGCTATAGTTCTCAAGTTCCACAGTTGGTCCGAGTCTACTGGATGTCTTGCGCGTTGATACGATCAGCTTGGTCTTCTAGCCGTTTGTTCAAAAGTGGCTGTTACCGCTCTCAGTGTTCGTCCCATTATGTCGATGTCATCGGCGTAGGCGAACAGTGTTGCCAATTTAGCACTTTTAGTGCTAGATTTAGCACTTTTGAAACTCGTTTAGCATCAAAAAAAATTGATCTAGCACCTAGCACCTTTTTTAGCACTTTTATTTTTTTCTGGAATTAGTTGAAATTTTGGGTATTATTTCGATTTCACATTGACGGATTAAAATGTCCTTATGTTTCACGCTATGATTTTAATTTTCCAATGTAAAAAAAGTGCCAGTACATTAGTAAATAAGTATTAAAGTTCGGGCGGTAAGAAGTGTTTTTACCCTGAACCATGTGTATTAAATTTGTCTCAAAAAATGGTCGGGTACTTCATATGCTTACTATAGCATCGCCTGATATTAAGTTGTTTATTAGGTAAAATGAAAATTAAGAGCAATGTAAAAATCATGTACCTAAATCAGAGAGGAGAAACGAGTTATTTATTCATCGGGAATCCCGAATGCCAAATTATAGCAATTTCAGAGTACAGAAAATGGGTCGCGTCCCACGTTATAATGGTGTTATGTCAAAAGATGGACCTACACTTCGTCGGAAAAGCTTCTAATTCTTAAAGGACACAAATAGGATAGAACCTTTATATGGGGGATATGTCCTAACGTAGACCTATGTAGAAAATTGTCCGCATAAATATATCCTACCCTACGAGAAAACAGATAATGCGTCTAAAACCTTCCACATAAAGAAGGTAGAGCAGTACTTTAATATCTGTACTATGTGCCTTAACAATTTTCTGCATATATGCCATTCTCCGAAACCCCATAAAAACCGATAAAAAGTCATATTATAGTCAATTTAATGAAAAACATGCTCGACGACCCCGAATGCCGTTCTCTAATTATCACATCGATAATTATTGGTAGGGACATTTTACCTAATGAGAATACAAAATATCAAATTAAGGGGACCCCTATTCTCGATTTAAAAAAATTTAATTTTATATTTTGATTTAATTCGAATCTACACTATTTCAAAAATGTCCTATGAAATTTCAAGTGAAAATCTCAACAACTCTTGATGATATAGCCGATTTATTGCGCTAGCATCAAGTTACGGCAAGAGGGCTTCTCAAACTTTAAACGCATTTTTTACCAAACAGCGTTTTTGCGAATGTCGGGCAAGATAACTCAAAAACTAATAATTGGATCGATTCAAAATTTTGGGACGTTTCCCTGTTAGTGTATAGCTATCGTATGAACTAGGATAAATCCAATCGGTCAAGATCTTCCTTATTCTTTGGGGGATGTTCCCTTATAGTAAATTCTTCTAATTTCTCTTATAACATTTTTAGCACTTTTATTTGGCACTTTTTAAAATTTTTTAGCACTTTCTAGCACTTTTTTAAACAAAATCTAGCATTTTTTATCAACAAAGTTTTGGCAACACTGTAGGCGAATAACATGTGTTGTTTGGTGTACAGAGTGTCATTTCTGTTTGCCTCTTTGCCTCTCGTATAACCTTTTCCAGCAGGATGTTAAAAAGACCGCACGACAAACTGTCACCTTGTCTAAATCCTCGTTCGGTATTGAAGGGCTCCGAGAGGTCCTTTCCTACTTTAACTGCTGATCTTGTGCCAGTTAAAGTTATTCTGCATAGCCGTATTAATTTTGCCTGAATGCCAAACGCAGACATAGCTTTATACACCTCTGAACGGATAGGGTGTATAAAATAAAAATATAAAAAAAATTGTTTATGTTCGCAATAAAGCATGACTTTTTATAAAATAATTTTTGAGCTTTTATTATAGACGAGGATTTTTTTTCAATATTTTATCAAATACCGACATTGTTTTTTAAATATCTCTTCATGTATCCATTCGGTGCCTTGATTTTTCCAAGCATTATTATTTTCAAGCACCCAGCGTGCCCTCCTTTTACTTCAATAACAATTAACAAAATTCTGAGTACTACCAATCATCAATTTTAAAATTATTTCAATTTCAAATACACAACACTAAAATAAATATCCATATATGAAATAAAAAAACGATAACATGTTACCTTGTCCTCCTACATCCCACCTCTTCCCTTCTCCTTCATAGTCTTGTGTTTTTGCAATTCACCAAAAAATTACCTTCTCACCTATATTTTCATGTACGATTTTAGACACACCCAGCCACTGAGACTGTATAGCCCAGTTAGCTAGCAGGAGATATTTAAGCTTCCCCATATATTTGTTGTGTATTTCAACAACCCAAGTTCAAATCCCGACAATATCATCATGACCAAGCACAACACGAGACCACACAAAATACTAAACACACACGAACACACACCCAATGTTTAGTGTTGACATGAAACCGGTATAATATTTTACCACACTGTAATTTTCGATTTAATTTCTAAAAATAACCCTATGCTTATCATGAACATTAGACACAATCCGAATTAGTCAACAATGGCAGAGTGCGTTAAGATCTTCGGCACAATAAACGACAACGAGAGAGCACCGAAAACAAGAACACGAGTTCGAATCCCCAAATGGGTGGCCGGCTGCTAGTTTTCATGTGTGTGACGATTTAATAATTATGAAAGATTAATTTCGAACGAATTTTGAATTGAGTTGATGGATTTTTTAAAAATATTTTTTCAAAGGCGTGGATTTTTTAAAAATATTTTTTTAAAGGCGTGGATTTTTTAAAAATATTTTTTCAAAGGCGTGGATTTTTTAAAAATATTTTTTCAAAGCCCTGGATTTTTTAAAAATATTTTTCAAAGCCGTGGATTTTTTAAAAATATTTTTCAAAGACGTGGATTTTTTTTCAAAATATTTTTTTAAAGGCGTGGATTTTTTAAAAATAATTTTTCAAAGGCGTGGATTTTTTAAAAATATTTTTTTAAAGGCGTAGAATTTTCCATTTTTTTAAAAATATTTTTCAAATTTTTTAAAAATATTTTTCAAATTTTTTAAAAATATTTTTCAAATTTTTTAAAATTATTTTTCAAGTTTTTTAAAATTATTTTTTAAATTTTTTAAAAATATTTTTCAAATTTTTTAAAATTATTTATCAAGTTTTTTTTAAATTATTTTTTAAAACTATTTTTCAATTTTTTTCATTTTTCTCTCTCTCTCACCTTTACAGCTGGTCAAAAATCGATTATCATCAAACCAATAATACCACCAAAAATTACCATTACCGCTCCGGAGGCCACATCGCCCAGCCTTGAGATGGCGCCCAAGCTACCAACTGCAAATGATGTGGCCGTAGCTGCCGCTGCCGAACAGCGTATGAAACATGTCAAAAGTCTATTACATCAAAAGTTAATGCAGCGACAGCAGAATTCCGCAACACCACCCGGCCTACAATCATCACCATCACCACCCTCATTTTTTATCAATGAAAAGGGACAAAAACAGTATGCACATCTAAAGCCGCCGGCCAATGAGACGACATCTCCACCTCCTATCATTTTAAATAAATCGAAAAGTAATCGGCAAACTTCGGATGGATCTCCAAGAGATCAGCAACAACAAAAATTACCCACAAAAATATTTATTCATAATAGTAATTCAACACACCTGCTGAAACCGCAAAGAGGAGGAGGAGGTGCTGGTGGTCTCAATTCACCTCTACAAACCAAGCCTTATAATATGAGTCCTCACGGCCATCATCATCTTCCTGGCAATCAATGGGGTGGTTCGACACCAAATTTATATCAAAAATCTGCAAATCATGGTGGAGGCACCTTCTCTCCAATTGTGGGAGAGTCGGCAAAATCGGCCAGCAATCAATATGAATCGGGATATTACAGACAATCCCAAGGGAATATGCCAGTAGCGAATTTCCATCAGCAGCTCCCCATACGTCCACAACAATCATACCAACAACAACCTCAGTGGACCTCGGGTGGTGTTACATTCCAGGATAATCGCAATCAAACCTCAAGCCCCTACTATCATCTGCCAACCTCCACACATAATATGGCAAATCCGACTCTACATAAAGCCATGTCTTATCCGTCTCTCAATCAAATGGCAAATTATGCCATCAACAATGCCATCAACAATTCAAACACCGAGAAATATAATCCGCCAACCATGATGTCCTCGATGCCAATGGAATCCTCTAACCACCCCCAAACCCTACCAACAAATCATCGCCTAATTAATGCTTTAAATATAAATAATAAAAATTTACTACAATCACCCTATGGCGGTGGAGTGAATAAAAATTCCGCAGCCGAACCTTCGACCCCAAATACTCCAAAATTGCCAACAAAACCAAAGACACCACAAAAATCACCACAGGATATTGCAAGGAAATTGGATTTTGATAATCAGCAGACCCCTATAAGGATACCACAATATAATCCGCCAGGGAATTTGAATGCCGATAATGGTGGGGAAATTCCCCCCAAGGCCTCGGTGAAACCCTTACAGGGCCATGTTGCAATAGTAAAACAAACGGAGGCCTCAACACCACCAGGTCGCAATCGGATTGTTATACCCGATGTATCACCGCTGAAGACACCCTTTCCCACAGCAAATCTGCCGCAGGAGGCACCCTTGCCCACCATCGATACCTTTAAGAAGCCCTATCCAACAAATCACAATTATTTCCAGCTGAATACGGGCCATATTTCCATAAGCTATCCCAGCAGCAGCACCACCACCACCATTACAGCTCTTCCAGAACCCCAGCAGCAGCATCAACCGGAAAACAACCTTATCACAATACCCTCATCTTCGTCTCCTCCCAACCAGATGGCTCCAAACTCTTTAATTGTTTTGGAAAATAAGGTTCTCTCCCAGGATGAAATGATTGATCTGACAGCCCTCAGGTTATCCACCACCTCCAACACGAATCAACGTTTTGCCCGGCCCCACAAACCCATACCAGAGGTGGTAATAAAACAGGAAAATCCTGATGATACGGAAACCACAAATACGCCAGCTAATGAGGATGCAGCTGCAGCTGTGGAGCAAAAACCCTCTCCCATAATTCAAACCCAAAGTAATCAACGAGGCATGGTCCTAATATCCTCCCGACAGAACAAAAAAATCATTGTTAATGCCTCCAAACTGCAGCTGCCGCCGGAGAAAATTGCCGATTTGGCCAAAATTATTGCCCAAAAGGCAGTCAACAAGTCATCAGGAGGAGGTTCAGGTGGCACAATTCAAAATTTAAAATCTCCTGGAGGTGGAGGAGGAGTGTTTTCCCAATCACCCTCTAAACAGCAAAACAAAAATCTTGCAGGGCAGAAAGTCTATCTCATTGTTAAAAAAGACACTGGGCAGCAGGCTTCTGCCTTGGAACAAAAACCCAACAAATCTTCAGCAGATATTGCCTCCAACCTCTCAACAACCTCCCAGCAATCGACCAAGGAACCACCACCGATGCTTGAAATAAAAAAGGAGATACCTCCTCCCACCAAACTATCCTATACCCCCACAAAATATCTAAAGCCAGCTGTGGAAATAATTGACGAACCCAGCGATGATGATGATGACGGTGACGGTGATGCTGATGGTGGTGGTGAGCAGAACAACTTTTCAGCTGTCGATTTTATTGCCTCACTGGCCCAAAGTAATCCCATTACCGAAGAGACCCAATTGGAATTATCCCCAGAGGAATTAAATTTGAATGCCTCATGTGCCATGAATTTATCGCCCTTACGAATACCACCACCTTCGCCACAACGTAGACGTACTTTTAGCAGCTCCTCCGTGTCACAATTTACAATACCCGGGGCTGAGAATGTTCAATCGCACAGGGTGAGAAAAAATTCCGCCATGGATATTGGTAAAATTGTTACAATGCCACAATATCCTCATGCTCCAGATGATGCGGATTCTTCGACCATACCCATGGTGGATACCATAATCATCGAAAGTTCCAAAGGTCGGGATGTTCTAAGAAAATCGGTGGATGGTGAGATTTTGAAAGCTGCCAAATATCAAGAGGATTTGTGGTCGTATCACAACCGAGAACCTTTGGCGGAATCTCCAAAATTGTCACCACGAAAATCCCTTACAACCGGTAATTCAACCCCTAAGGAATCGAAGGAAAGATTACCACAAATAAAAATTGTCTCCCCCTCCAAATTATCGCCCATCAAGAAATTGTCAGCCTCCCAGCTCATGGATTTAAATTTTCGAGAACTTCCAAGGCACGAAGGAAATTTCAATGGAAATTTGCACGAACCTGTTCAGCAGATTTTCAATAACATAACCTCACAAAATAGTTTTTCAAATCATTCCATAATGCCCACCAATACACCAGCGATGGACTCTTGGGCGAAAGGAGAAATCTGTCAGATACCAGGTTATCTAAAAGATTTATCAGTGACTAGGGTGAGAACGATCTCAAAAGATCAGGAACAACTTCGAAATGTCTCTTCCCAACATAATACCCCTAACACGAGGGCGGAGAAAATGAATCAGGAACCTTATTCAAACCTTTCCACGGAACCTCTAGTCAGCAGAGGAGTAGAAATAACTATTTCAAGGGATATGGAAATGGCGGATCACATGAAAGGAGTTCGAATGCCCATTACGAATCAGCAACAACAGTTTAGAGATATTGTGGAAACATCTGTTATCCCGATACGAGATAAAATTGCCAGCCAGAAATCTGAAGCAGAAGTTTCAGATCCCCATAAAGAAGAAAAAATTGTCACAAAGAATCAGCAACAACTTCGAAATATTTCAATGGATATAGAAACCACACCAGGACCCAAGAAAACTCCCCAGAAAATTGCATCATCAAAGGATCCCCATAATCCGGAAAATATTTCAAGAACTTCTTCAATGCGAACATCAGAACCCTCTGAGGAAAACATGATAATCTCAAGGGACCAAGAACGGATTTTTGTACCCATTGAAGGTGCTACGGGAACTTCGGAACCCAATAAGCAAGCACAAGCAACAACCTCAATGGAACAACATAAAATTGGAAACATTCCCGAGTTTATGGGAACTTCGAAAGCCAAAAAACAGGGTGAAACGACCTCTTCCGATCACAATAAAGAGGAGCAAATAATTTCAAATGAATCCCAATCGAAGGCAAGCCTCCTTCCCAAAGAAGAAAGCAGTACCACCGAATCCTCCCACCAAAAAAAGAAAGATTTGAAATCGATTTTGAAAGTTACCACCACGACGGAAGCTGCAGCTGAAACAACAGGTCCAAAAGCGGGAGATTTTTTGCCCGGTGATGATATATCAAATTCATCCTCATCCGATGGAAGTGTAAAACAAACTACAACATGCCAAATCATCAACCCGAATCAGGATGAGCAGATGTCCTCGAAAGCAAATGAAACGGTGAACCCTACTCCGGTGGTTTCGAAACGTATATCTCGCTTTAAGAAGGGTAAAATAAATTTGGTGCAACGTAATAAACCCGCAGGAGGAGGAAGGGGTGCGGCTGCTGCTGGAGGAGGAAAATCGCAAAAAGATGCGACAGCTCCCCCGTCTTCTCAGGACAAGAAGCGGCAAGAAGGAATTCTTTCTGCAGATTCTTTGAAAAAGAATGCCGAAGCGATTGAAATAATTGAAGGTTCTACGGATATTACAGGAGAAGGAAATACAACAACAATTTCCTCCTCATCTCCAAAGAAGATTGAAGAAAAAGAAAATGAAAGAGAGACTAATAAAAATGCGAGTAACACGGAAAAAATCGTAACCTCCAAAAGGGAAGAGAACACCGAAAGTCAAAATGAGATGGTGGAAAGCTGCTACTCAGTGTCTGTGGGAGCCGTAGAAGACAATGAAATACAAGTGTGCGAAATAACAAGAGAGGAAAATGAAGAAAGTACAGCTCCACCTCCTCCTTCTGGAGAGAGTACCAGTTCTCCTTTGGATTCCAAAGAAATAAGCAAAGAAACAATGGATAAGGCAAGCGGACAATCAGAGCAAGAGGATAAAGGTACGTCTAACAACAACAACAAGTTCGGCAGGACCGAAAATTTTCTACCGACCGATATATGTTATTTGTAGTACACTTCGAAATTTGAGGTTCCTTTATAACCATGTCTGATAATATCTCAAAAGAACCACTTCGGTGGTAAAAAGTTGTCAAAAATCCCAAAAAGGTTGAATATTTGGGGGAATCGTTATATCTACCCTGAAACTTGGACCAATATTGATAATTTTTGGTAGGGAGATTTTCTATGAAAAAATAATCCAAAATATACAAATACAGCCAATTCGGATAGATTTTTTTTAAAAACACCCTAAAGTTCCGAAAAATGTTAGGTACCGTTATATGGGGGGTTATCCTGCAACTCGGGCCAGTATTTATAATTTTTAGTACAAAGATGTAAATGGTATATTTCCTTCGATTTGCACGAAATTTTGTATAGGTCAATGAATTGAGTCTAGAATGATGTGTGCTAAGTTTCGTAATATCCGCTTCAGATTTACACATATAGCTCCCATACATATTTTCGTCCAGTCCGACTATACTACTTTTCTTACCGGTTTGACTGTTGCGGCAATGCATTATTAATCCAATGATTATATTTGCAGGTGAACAATTAAGCCATCAGTCGGCTGAAGAAGTCAGAGCCGCAAAATCATCCCAAGAAATGCCTCAAGATGTAACAGAACAACAATTGGCAGGAGGATCAATAAGTTTATTCGAAGTGACAACACTTTCTCGAGATAAGCGACCAAAAATAGATACACCTATTGAAGAAAGGCCTCATGATGATAGCCAGATAATAGCACCAACCATGGAAGAAGTAAAGTCTCAAGATGACCAACAACAATCACAACCGGAAGAGGGATCTTCAAGTCTGTTCGATGCAGCAACTCTTTCTCAAGATAGCCACAGCACTACTGAAACATTTATGAAAGAAACAGAAGTCATTGCCCCCAGGTCCACCACCTTCCAAAATAATGAAATATCCATGAAAGGTAGGGAAGAGGTCCCTTCAAGCAGTTCTAATCTTCATGAAGAACCTTCAGCAAATTCAAAGGTCTCCAATGAAATGAAGCTAATAGAAAAGGGATTGCAAATGCCCCTACAAGGTTCAGCAACTTCAGATGAATTGGAAGGAATTGTCATTCCAACAACAACAAATTTGATGGAATCAATCACCAATGATCAGGTTGGATTAGCAACAGAACCAAATACCTCTTCCGATTGTAATTTTTTCTCAACAAATTTGAAGGAGTCTCATAAATCCTTTGCAACACCAACTCCCTCACAAGGTTCCCAAAGTCATCCTCCCCTCAACACGATGAAATCATCTCCGGAATCCTTTGAAAATTCTGCTGCCGAGCCACTACTGAATACAACAGAAAAGATCATGGATGGTTCTACCACAATTGCCGAACACAATTCTACCAAACCTCAAAAAGAAAACCAGTCAACATTCGAAGAAACAATCGATACTCCGGCTAATGCAGAGGGTGAATCCTCTCCTATGGACTCCACCTTAAAACCCCTGGAAAACATTAAAGCCACCGAATGCCTGGAGGTCATAACAAAGCCAGAGGCCGTAAAAATGACACCCGCATGTCCAAAAGAAAATAATTTCAATGAGGACATTTGCCCCAGCTCTCAAGAGGTTTCTGTGGAATCAAATGCCGGTCAAATAACAACATCAACCGTAGAACAAAGTTCCCTTGATAAAAATACCTCAGCAGTAGAACCTTCGGCACAAGAAATTGCTGAAGTTTCCCTTGATCATAATAGCTCTCAAATACCAGAGAAGAATCTTACTTCTGGGCCCGGTTGTTGTGTACCTAAGAAAATCTGCAATGAAAATCTAACTGCTATGGACTGTGGGGTAGCTAAAATTTCTAATGAATTTTCTAAGGAAACCCCCTCTGGATCGGCTGTAAAGGAAACATCCCAAGAAAATCGAAGTTCCCTCTATGCTGGAACGACGACTATTGATGGTGATGTTGGCAGAGAAGTCATGGACATGGAAACCACAAATAAACCTGAAAGTTACCTTCAAAAGGAGACTCTTGGGGAGGATAATCATGTCAGCGAATCTATGGATTGTAGAGTAATCAAAAGTAAAGACGGATACTGTCTTCAAAGTGAGACTCCGGAGGAGGATAATAATAATTGTTGTTCCAAGGCAACGGGAATAAGGGAAGCTCACGCAAAACCCTCTCAAAATTTCCTCGAGGAAAATCACTCCCATCATTTGGAGAACTTGTCTTCAAGATCTCAAACCTCTGAGGAGTTACCAGAGATATCTTCTTCGGAGCAAACTGAGAAATCTGTTGAAGATTCTGCGGAGGGACAGATTAGGGAACCATCCAATGAATTCGTGATGAACAAATCTCTACAAGAAACTCATTCCAAGTCCATGGATTTCGATGCCCTAAAGCCTTCAAAAACAACTTCAAATGAAACTCCAATGTCTTTGCCGGAAAACCCAACCAAAGATATTATGGAGAACTCAACTCCAGGTAGCAGCAGTTCCATTTCCAAAGTTTCATCGGAAACTTCAAAATCTTCAAACCGCAGAGATGGGAAAAATAAATCTTTGCAGGAAACATCACAAACACCAGCCACTCATAATCCGCTAAGCAAAGAATTCGAGGACAAAACTTTTGAGGACAGACCAGAAACTTCAAAGGAAACTTCTCCATCTTGCAATAATTCTCCAGATAATATTCCAAAGTCCTCAAAAACAAAGGAAATGACGGAGAACCCCTTGGATGCCTCTCCAAAGTCCCTGCCTTTACCCAAAGAACTGCAAAAGGCCCAGGTTTCACTTATCGACATTGTTAAGAACCCGCCACCCATAGAGAAAATTCCAACAGTTCCAAAAATACCTTTCAAAAGACCCCCTCCCACCAGCACCAGGGACAGATTGGAACAAATTCGGGGCATACGAAATCTACTAAATAAAATTAAGAAACCCGAAGAAAAGCAGCCAACGGGATCAGCGACGGAAAATCACCACCATGATGATGATGATGATGGAGGCCAGGAAAAGAAACCCAAAGAACAGCAGCCACAACACCAACCACATTCCATAATAAATGTAAAAAAATTAAGTGAGCTAACGGAGGAGGTTAGCACAGATTCAGATAGCCCGGCACAGAGTCGGGACAACACCACGACGGTATCTGATGGGGTGACGGAAGTTGCAACCTTACCAAGTCCAATTGGTCGCCGAAGATCTACACGTTTGGGTGTGTTCAATTCTCATGAGGAGCCCAAAGAAGATAGGGTAATAAAATCTGCCAAAAATCAAAATCTTCCTTTAGGCGTTGGATCACCTTTGCCGCCACCGCCAGATGATAGTCCCACAAAAGATAAAGAAAATCATCAATTACCAAAAGTGACCCGGAAAACAAGGCGCTCCACTTCCAAGGCGGCTGAAAATCCCAATCAGAGCAAAGATTCTAAGGTTCGGCAAGGGGAGGATGGCATCGACGACCTTCAGAAAGGAAACAATGTTATTGCCACGGCAAGGAGGACAAGACACTCCTCTACCAAAGCAGTGGAAAATCTGGGTGAGGTGGCACAGCAACAAACCAAAGAATCGAGGGTTCGAGAAAAGGAGGAGGATGAAGTCAGTCCCGCCAAAAATAAAGAAAATCTAAGGTCAAGGAGAACGAGATACTCCTCTTCGAAAGCTGCAGAGAAATTGACGAATGTGCCAACGGAACAGCAACAAACCAAAGAATCCAAGGTTTCCAAGGAAGACGAAGATCATTTGCAAAACAAACGAACCCGATACGCATCTAAGCAGCAATTGGAGGACCCACAGTCACTCTTTGATAAGTTGAAAGCCCCTTCATCCTCTTCCCGCCACCTTAAACGTAATCATTTATCCTCCGAGAATCCATCATCTTCTATGGATATTAGTGGTGCGGATTCTTGTCAGGATAGCCAAACAGAATATACCCGACCCGCCAGTACAAGTCCACGTAAGAGGCTGCGAAAGACCCTGGAAGATATTAAGAAGTCCCATAAAAATCCCACCAGTGATTCGGAAGATGAGGTGAGGGATTTTGAGGCCATCGCAAATGGCTATGTGGACCAGGATGATGAAGATAGTGCAGGTGGTGGTGATCACGATCCAAGTCCTAGTGATTTCTTAGGTTTCGAAGATAATTCCATGGGTTCGCACAAATGTAAAACTCCCGATATTGCTGGCGAGGGGGATGTGCAGAACTCATCACCCACCAAGGCATCTACCACCAAAGGTGGTACCTTGAAAAATTGGCTAACCACCGGTAAGGCTATATCACCAACGTCCCACAGTAAACAGAGCATGGCAACGCGGCAGCGTCATCGTTCCATGCCATTGAAAAAACGTTGGGAGCTAAATGAAAAATCATGCCGCGATGAGACTGATATAACCGATGACAGTACACCGGTCAATGATGATGAAGAGGAGGAGGAGGAGGCGGACGAGGTGAGGGAGACCTCTAAACGGCCTTTAAAAACTGTGATTGATAGCTCTAAGAATTTACCAGATACCAAGAGAAGGAAGCGGGATAATGACAGGCTCGAGGTTCCTGCAACAACAAAAGTTTGTCCGGAACCCATATCGACGTTGATATCAAAGAAAATCGATATTAATAAAATATCCGAAACTGATTCAGATACCCCAGTTACCATGTCGAAAAGATCGAAAAGGCCTCGAAGACGTTTGATTTCCGATGACTTTGATAATCAAACAAAAAATACCCCAGCAGAACCAGAGGAAAAGCGAACCGGGACAAGGAGTCAAAAAAATGCTACCAAAGAAGAGACAAGATCACAGGATGAAGTCAATGAAACCTCCGCTAATGTAGAGGAAAATCCTGCAGATCTTCTAACATCTATAACCTCGAAAAGAAAACGGATTAAGAAGCAGGATGATGCTGAGGATACACCTACAACCACAACCTCCTCAAGGTCGGCACGGCAGAACAAAACAAGAGAAGAAGAAAAACCAAGAGATGAAACTTACCTGCCTCCTCCTGCAGATTCAGTGACCCCCAATGCCCCTGAAGTCTCCAAATCCGTGGAAATTCACGAAGAACTTCTCACACCCATGGCCAGCAAAAGACGGCGTATTAAGAATCCAAAATTCGATGATGATACACCCACAACCACAACTTCCTCCAGATTACGGCAGAATAAAAAAGAACCCGAAGAAGCAGCTCCGCCGACTCCAATAATCCCTCCTCAAACAATTGAAAATCTTAACGCAGAGCAATCTGAATCAGATTTTGCAACACCCAAACCAAAAGGAAAGCGTGGTCGGAAAAAGAAGATACCCAACGAATTAGATGCAGCTCAAACTCCCGAAACACCCATCACAAATATAGAATCCTATTCCGCATTAACACCCGCATCCGGTAGCCGAACAATGACCAAGGAGAAGATAATTGAAAATCAATTTAATCCTCGTCTATTACTGATTACCAAACGCGAACAATTGAATAGCGATACGGTACTAACACATGATTCAAGATCCTCCGCGGGGCCAATACAATGTGGCCTTTGTTTGCAGCGAATCACCGAAGCGAAATGGATAATGCATTTGTCACAGCATTATGGTGTTGGCTGGAAGATGGGCGAGCCGGAAGTGGTAAGTACAAGTTTTTTTTTTTAAATATCAGATTCTTATTATAGTAGGGACAGAACTTTGTTCCATAAACCGAACTTAAGGTCTTTGGGTCTCAGCATACGTGTCAGCCAGCGCGTAGTGCCCTAAGTCTGCATGAACAAAATCTTTGGTGAAGTTGTATCTTTGGGCATGGTTGTATCCTGAACGAACTAGGTATGACATTGGACCAACGCGTAAAACTAAGGGACTATATATCACCAGTCCTGAGATTTGACGATGTAGATGTTGTTATTCCTAGTAGAGGCGATTGGAACTGTAGTAACCCTCCTCTGGACGGTCTGGCTTACTATACTGACGGATTCAAGATGGAAGAAGGTACAGGGGCTTGCGTTTAAAAGAGACCCTGTTTTTAATTGTACAAGGTTCCTGATCCGTCCGATGTGTATTTTACCTTGGATGACTTCTATCAGTTGTCCTCCAGTAACCGGTTTTCTTGGGAGTCCGAGATCTCCTCGGCTCCCTCCTCTTTGTTGCTAGGTATATTCCCCTTGCTGTTGTCTTTGGCTTTATCGTCTCCAATCCTTGCCTTCCCGATTTTGAAGTACACGGCGTAGCCCTTGGTCTTAGCCAGACTTGCTATTGAAGACATGACCAAGCCTAACACAAGGAGATTTTCTACCTCGTTCTCCTCCCTGTGGAAGACTTCCCATTTCTTGACATGCAGTGTCTTGTTTTGTAGGCTGAAGGCCTCGAGCATGCGTTTCGTGTCGAAATCGCTGCCCCAACCTCTGATAAAGACTGTAGTCTTTTGTAGTTGAGAAATGTATTTTTTCCTCACCAGTTTGAGTTTTATTGTTCCATCTATGGGTCCAATGCTTGTCACTAGCTTCCTCAGGGCTTCTATGCTTTTTGGAGTTTCAAATTCCAGCATTAGATAGTCCCCTTTGAAAGCGCAGCTATCCAGGTCAATAGCGTCCCCTCCTTGTCGTATTTACTCCATAATCTTGCTGTTGACCGTATTTAACACTTCCTTATGGGTCTCCTTCTTTAGCTCACCGGACGCGCTATTACCGTCGATCACTGCATAGCGAGCTCTTCTCGATGGGATTTCCTGTAACCTTGGCATAAGACGGCGGCTCCTTACCATATGTTACGGTAATCTTCCTCTTTCGCAAATACCGCTTCGTCTTTTTGGGATTCCCGGTCTTTTCGGAAGATTCCGACTCAGCACTCGTCTTCCTGATATCAGAGCCAGCTTCGTTTGCCCTCGTCAGTGGATTTTCGTGGCAGTCTCCTTTGACGTCGGCTTGACTCATTTTTGACTCTTTTTCATTTTGGCAGATTTGACAGTCGCTTGCTCATCCTGAGACGTTATCCTCTTCGCTTCCGCAGAAGTGGAGGGAAGGTCAGGCTTATCCTTTTGAGCCTTTGCATCTCTCCCCTTTTTGTTCATCTGGTCAATTTCCGCCTTTGTGTCCCAGTCTTCCTGACAGTAATATTGGCTATGCAGATTCGCTGATCGTGGTCCTTTAAATTTTTGCTAAACTTTAAATAAGCCAAATATTTTGGATTCTGGAATTTATTTTTTTTAACCTCCATATTTCTTTTTCTCCTTTCGCCCCTTTTCAGGATATCTCCAATCGTTCGACAGTTTTAAGTGTCATCATAAATTTTCTACGCGATACCGAAATAAAGGGGTTAGCTTGTCGCATTTGTAATCGACTCTATCGTTCCGGTTTGGGTCTGCTGACGCACATTGAAAATTGTGGTGGCGAGGCACAACGTGCCGACTGTGAATATTGTCATCGTAATTATGCCCTAAGTACTCTGAACATACATCTGCGATCATGTCCGGAAAGGTATAAACAATTGAAACAAAACGAAGCGATGTCCGAAACAAATGACGAAGCTTCGCAGGGCGAACAAGAACAAGTTTTAAGTGTTACGGGACGGGCGAAACGTCACTCGACCATTAAGGCTGAAACGAAAATCAAAAAACTGGGAGCTGAGATCTCCAATAGTGTCGATGAAAAAGGTGATTTTAATCCGCAGAATCACATTCGTCATACAGCCGTCTTGGGTGAGGAGGTGCGTGAGAAGTGGCGTGATGATATAAAGAAATTCGCCAAGGCATTTTGTCCGGGAAAAATGTGTCAATACACCAGTGATAAAATTGAACAACTAGAGGAACATATTCCGAACTGTCGTTTTCTACCAAAATCTGGTTATTATTGTACAATGTGTAAGCGGTCGAAATGTTTTGTAACGGAAAAGGAAGCAATTTCTCATGTAAATACCACACATCGCACCAAAGAAGATTTTTCTCTTTCCGATTCGGATTGTAATATAAAAACCGATGATGAACAATCATCGGATGATGATCTGCTTTCGGATGCCGTAGAAGAAGATGAAAATGAATTAAATGATGTCGATGAAGAAGCGTCAGAGGAGGAGGTTAAGAGTACTACGGCGACGAAGAAGAAGAAATCCAGAAAATCTAGACCCAATACAAGGCCTATGCCCACGGGTGGAATATACCGTAAAAGAGGTAAGAGCATAGCATAGTTTTTAGTTTTAGTGGAGGTTTCGGCACAGCCGAACATAACGGCTATATGAAAAATAATCGATATTTAATTCTTTTTTTTATATTCTCATTTTTCCAGTTTTTGACAAGCGTAGTCGAGATGGCACAAACAAGATTATTTTGGATAAATGGTTAAATTTGTAAGTATTTTCTTTTTTGAGAACTATTAATTTTGAATTCAAAATAATTTATATCACTTTTAAATTTTTCAGCACAAATTTAAATTATACCACAAATCCGCTGTTTGCAAATTTCAAACCCCATTATTCGTTGCTCGAAAATGGCGAATGGGAAAAATATTTACCTCAACAAAGTCGGTCAATGAAATTTGCCATGTCCAAGGAAAAGAAATTATCAACCACAATCGGTTTGAATACCGGCCGTAATGAAGATTGGCAGCAAATTGAGCGGTTTCAAAATTTCCAACATGAAGGTAGGCCCACCTACCTATTTAATAAATATTTTTTTTCGATTTGGAATCTTCAATTATTTGTCTGTGTTTTATTTTACAGCCGAATCCTTTTGCTTTGCGGGTGCCCCCATCGTAAGCTCTTCATGGGTCCCACTGCCCAATGATGTCAGGGAACAATATCTGCTGATTGCCTATCGTCGGGATATGTTTAAATTTACCAAATATCAAAATCCCAAACGCGTCAAGACCACTTTGGTGTTATTTAAAGTCAACCAAACTAAGGTGCAGGGCAGCAAAAGGCGGATACCACAAATTAAACTACATTATGTCATTGCCATAGCTGATGGTCCGGTCTACAATGTGGCATTTTTACCTAGTGGTGGCTATAGTGTGCCAGAAAATCGTTTGGCTTTGGTTGCGGTGGCCACAGCGGGCAGTAATATAAACATCTATTCGTTACCTATTGAGGTGGTCCCACAATCGGAAGAGATTTCAAATGTCATACCGATTATTGAACCCAAACCATGTTTTGAATTAATGTTGGACATCATTAGCCAGGATAATAATCCACAGGATCATGTGCTAATGAATACCCAATGTTTGCAGATAGTTTGGTCGGAGGTAAGGGTGGAAAACAACTTCCGAACTTTTTTATATTTTAATTTAATTTATTTTTTCTCGATTTCCCTTTTCCAGTATTCTGGTCACAATCACATTTTTGCAAGCTATTCCAATGGCTGTATGGCGATGTGGGATATCAGTGATGATGCCCAGGAAAATCTGAATCGTTTCGAAGTAAATGGTCTTATACAATATGCTCCGATTAATTATTTTTATGTTGGAGAAAAGGGCATACGATGTGAGTATTTTTGAAATCATTTTTTATTATTATGTATATTAAATTTGTCATTTATTTGCAACATCCAGACATATTCAGGCGTAGATCCGTTATGTTCGCATACGGATCCTCCTTATTTTTTTGTTATTTGGAGGTTATTAGGCATGTTTTTCACACGAGATGGCTTAAATTTAATATTTTGAGTTCTCATTGGTTAGCAATCCATCGTAACAAAAATTATCTATATTGGTCCATGTTTTATTGTGGGGAGTTGGGTCACGTTTTTTCCACGGAATTGGCTGTAATTTTATATTTTGGGTTTTCTTTGGGTAGCAAATCATCTTACCAAAAATCGTCCATATTGGCCCAGGGTTTGCCCCCATATAACGTAACCTCAACATTTTCTGTATTTGAAAATTTTGGAAAGTTCTTCAGCCGAATTGGCTCTAATTTGAATTTTTGAATTCTCATAGGGTAGAAAATCTCCTTACCAAAAATTATCAATATTGGTCTACGTTTCGCTATAGCCCCCATATATCGTTAATCCCAAATTTTCGGTTTTTGAAGAATTTGGGTATGTTTTTCTACCAAACTTGGCTGTAATTTTGTATTTTAAATTCTCATGAGGTGGTAAATTTCCTTACCAAAAATCGTCAATATTGGTCCACGTTCTCCTATAACTCCCATATAATGGTACGGCCTTATTTTCGTTTTATTGGGGCGCTTGGGTATGTTTTTCAACCGAATTGGCTGTAATTTCATATTTTGGGTTCTCATTCGGTGTCAAATCTTCCTACCAAAAATTATCAATATTAGTCCACGTTTCGCTATAGCCCCATATAACATAACCTCAAAAATTTCTGTTTTTGAGAAATACGGGTAAGTTTTTCAACCGAATTGGCTGTAATTTGATATATTAAGGTCTCATAGGGTAATAAATCTCCTTACCAAAAATTATCAATATCGGTCCAAATTTTGGTACACCCCAAAAATTATCAATATCGGTTCATTTTTCGCTATTGTGGGGATTTTGACCACGTTTTCCGACCGAATTGGCTGTAATTTGATATTTTGAGTTCTCATTTGGTGGCAAATCTTCCTACCAAAAATTATCAATATTGGTCCACGTTTCGCTATAGCCCCCATATAACGTAACCTCAAAAATTTCTGTTTTTGGGAAATACGGGTAAGTTTTTCAACCGATTTGGCTCTAATTAGATATTTTGGATTCTCATTGAGTTTCATATCTTCCTGCCAAAAATTACCAATATCGGTCCACGTTTTGCTATAGCTTCGTGTTTTTGGGGGTCTTGGCCGCGTTTTGCAACCGAATTAACTGTAATTTGATATTTTGAGTTCTCATTTGGTGTCAAATCTTCCTAGCAAAAATTATCAATATCGTTTCGCTATAGCCCTTATATAACGTAACCTCAAAATTTTCTGTTTTTGGGGAGATCGGATACGTTTTTCAACCGATTTGACTCTGGAAACAACTTCTTCGCCGATTATTTTCAATATAAATCCATGTTTCTGCATTGCCCCCATTCTGGCGCCCAATCTGAAAGTCTGTAGCTTGGTATTTCGTATTCCTCAGACAGCAATATACCCTGCTATTTCCCTCTTATATAAAATTTCCGATTGATTTTAGGTATTTTGAGTGTCAACCTCATGATGGAGGATTTAAAAAGTTCGGCCCTTCCGAACTTGGCAACATTTTTACTATCAATTAATATTTTTTTACATTTTCCAGATTTTGCCATACACTATGACTCCCTTGGTCCCCGCTGGCTGGCCCTTAATTGCTTTTGTCGTAAATTTATTATTTACGATATTCGGAATGTCAGTTTACCCATACCGCTGAAAGAAGATTATGCCAAAAATGTGGTGCGTGGCTTAGAATGGTGTCCATTGTGGGAGCCAATTATGGTGGCCTATTGTGATTCAATACCAAATAGTAAGTCCATAAAAAACACGAACAATTTATGCAAATCATTACAGTAATTTAATTTTTTCAGATGGTCGTGCCGTTTTGCTCATCAATCCCACCAATATTATGGCTCAACAACAAAAACTCGATTTTGTGGTTAGTGCTGTTACGGCGATCCATTATAATCCATGGATAAATTTATGCATCGAATCGGTGGATAATGGTGATCTGGTATTTATGGATTGTCGTGAAATACATTATGAACATGTGTTGGGTAGGAAATTTGGTGAACGTCGTATCCTCTCATCGATGGATATACGACAATTGAATGGTAAACCCTTGCAGCGTCTAACGGACATTAAGGAAAATGAAAAATCCGAAATGGAATGGTCAATGTATGATCAGGATTATAAGGAGAAATATGGTGTTGTTTTTCAACCCATGATTAAGGTATGTCAATAAATTTATTTAAAAAATCGCCCTCTATGGGATTTTAAGCGCCCACATCCCTGAAAAAATATGTTTAAAAACTCCTCTTTACAGCTTAAAGAATCATTAAAGGACAGCTATTTAAATGAAAATCGACGGGCACCGATAAATATCACACCCTATATGCGTATCAACACCGTGCGCTGTAATCTAAATAAAGGCGGTAAAAACTTGGTTGCCGTGGGCTATGAAAATGGATTTTTGCGGATTATAAATTTCGACAAGGATTCACAGTTTCGGGATTGGTAAAAAACACAAACCAAACAATACACAATTTGTATACTCTATTGTTGTAAATATTATTATTTAAAAAAGTATAGTATATTGTGTAATATACATAAATATTTAGTTATTAATATTATTATGAACTAATTGTTATAGTATGTAGTTATTAAGTTTACACTACATAATAATGTTTCATTTTAATTTATTTTAATTTTTACCCTCCCCCCCATTTTTTTAATACGACTTATAATATTATTCTTTAATCTAATATTTTTTAATTTAACTTGAATTTATTTGAATTTTATTTTTAGTTTACTTTGATATTTAATTTATTATTTTATTTTATTATTATTTTCTATGCCTTAGAGACCCATATATATATATATAAATATTTTAGATTAAGTGTTTTCTGGTGGAATAATTCCACTAACAAAATGAAATTAACGTTATGAATTTTTTGCAAAATAATTATGGAACAAAAATAATTTATAATATTAAAAAAACAAGAACAAATAATTTTTTATATACTTGATTTAAATAAAATGATGAAATAATATATGCAATTTGGTTTTATTAGAACAAACAAAAATGGAGCTACTTCGAATTGGAACGTGATTCGATAGTAATAGTTTTTAGTAGGGATATTTGCCACCCAACTGGTAATTTAAACTACAAAACGCGTCTGAAATCCTCAGAATATCGCAAGGTTGGCACCTTCCCAGAGCGCGCCAACGGTTTTCACAAGGAAATCCTTAGATTTTTTGTTTAGACAGTTGATGACTTTGGCACCCTTCGCGTCTCATCCCACGAATTTGCGGAGATACGAAACAGCACGTTTGTAATGCTTCGCATCAGCCACTTTTCGGGCCTTCCCAACCTTTGAGCCGCTGTCCGTTTCTGGGGTCTCAACAGATTCCCCATCGTCGGACATCGCCTCCGTTGCAGATTGCCTGAAGTTTGCCGGATCACAATCGCTTTATCTCGACGACACGTGGCTTGTGACCTCACCAACGATTGCCGCCGGTACTGGGTTATTAACTCCCTGCACCGTAACTTTATTCTTGTTACTTCTTTTACCCAACGTATTTGATTTATTTAAGGGCACTACCCCGATCCATTTGGGTCCGAAGCTCCCCAAGGTTTCCATGAAGTGCAGAGAAAAGTTGATCCAGGAGACCTAGGTCAGTTTCACTCTGCACATCATTGAGACCTTTGCACATCACTGGCAACTCCCCCAGGAGTTACCAATCTCCTACCAGGTGCGATTTGCTTTATTTCTACTTCACTCCACAACTGTGTTGCCAGATCTCCGCAGGGGGCTATACCAAAACGTGAGAGTTGGTTGAGAGATTTGACAACCAATGAGAACCCCAACTAACAAATTTGAGGAGACCGCCTGTTGATGCACGGATTTTATTGCATTCTCTATCGACAATTTGTTTACGTTCGATGGAATGCCTTCACAATAGCGCCTGAAGTCCTGACCGATATGTTGTGCAGGTGGATCTGGTATGAAACGGCAGATAGCATGGCAGCAGGAACTGTTTAGTAAACAACACATTATGTTGCTTGACTGACAGCATCCTGAAGATGATTGACGCTCATCATCTGAACACACCCGTTAGCAATTCGGGGAACATTTTTTTCAATAGTTTGCAAGGATATACATTGTGTGTCACTAAGGAAAAAAGTCCAGACCATGACCTTGTATGTCGTTACCAACGTTTCTATATCCTTGCCACAGGAGGTGCCAACCAAAGTTTTCAAAATGCGAGAAAAAATTAAGGAGGTTATCGAAAACCACCCCAAGTTATCGAAAACCAAGTGCACAAGTTCCCATGCCAACCAAAGTTTTCAGAACTTTATAACTAGCTATGAGTTGGGAAATTGTTAAATGCTAGTAGTAGAGTTTGCTTACGAGTTTGATATGAAAATGGTCGATGCAGTGGCGCCCAACAGAAAAATTAAAATCTTTAGTCCGTTTCCTCTGGCGAGACCTCTGTTTTCTCGCAGCTTGAGTTTGATTGCCTTGCTTATGGAGACAATATTTGCTACAAGTTTTCTCAGTGCTTCTATGCTAGCATTGAAGGGATCCCTTCCTTGTAGCTGATGCTCCATGATCTTTTTATTCATCGCATACATCACCTCCTTATGGTTCTCATTTTTTTAATTTCTAGGATGCACTATTCTTCATTCATAGCTGATCTCTTGACATAAGATGATGCCAATTATTGCAACCCTATTCCACTGTCATAAAATCCAGTTAGGCTTTTTGGGATTCTCGATCTTCACAGAAGATTCCTAGGCCCGGCTCGTCTTCTGGATATTAAATCCAGCTTCGCGGTCCTCAGTCAATGGATTCTCGTGGGAGTTTTCTTTAAATTTGGGATGACTCTGCAGCACTTATTCCCTTTATATTAGCCGACGGAAAGCTCCTTCTCCTCTTCCATAATGTCTGGTTAGGCCTTTTGGGATTCTCGATCTTAACAGAAGATTCCACACTTAATCGATGGATTCTCGTGGCAGTCTTCTTTTACTTTAGGATGAGCCCCCTTTCCTTTATATATGACAACGGGAAGCTCCTTTCCACTTGTGCAAGTTTGGCATTCGTCTATTCTTCAGAATAGCGAATACCCTCTGCCTCTTCTAAAGAATTGGAGGAAAGGTTAGGCTTACCCTTCTGGTAGTCAGTTTGCTATTCACACTTGTTTCTCTGGTTCATTCTGGTCTGGTGTTTGTACAACATCATGGTACAATTATAAAAGGTAACAGCAAATCCCAGCTAATTTGATTCCAAGTAATACTAGTGTCAATATGAATATGACAAATTATGTTTTTAAAAATCACCAACAGGAAAATTGGGAACACATACAATTTGAAATTGTTCTTTATTAAATGTGCTCCCGTGTTAAATTTACTCAATCTGCCTACTGGGAAAGTTTGAGGAAGCAAATATTTCTTCATGGAATAACTCGCAATTCCCTGCATTTTCATAGGTGTTACACATATAAGTGGCAATGGCTTAATTATAGGAAAGACTTGGAAGCGATAGAAATATAAATTAGATAGATTTTCATTCATGTTTTTCAAATTTTATTTTTAGGATTCGAAAATATTTCATTTTCAAAATAAAATAATTTGTTGATAATTTGTTTGTTTACATTTTTCTGTCAAATGACGTTGACACTAATATAACTTACAACAACAAATTGCCATGTGGTTGTTGTATCGTTTGTTGTACAACAACACTTGCTGTTACCTTCTATTATTATACCATGGTACAACATATAACCCACTTTTTTCTTGGTGTAAGCTTTGCGATATCCTTGCTCACTATGTTTATCATCTTGCTCCTCCTAAGACGGTTATGTCTTATTCTCATGTTCAGACGCGGAATTTGAGATTGAGTCCCCAACTGTCTCGGAAGGTTGTGTCAAGATTGCTTTTTCCCTGAGGTTCTTTGAATCAAATCAATTTTTGCCCGCTGGTTGTGTTTCTTTATCGATACCCAGATGCCAAAGAACTCACCTAACTACAGACACTACAATACGTGTCAGAAGTCTCTTGAAACTTGGGTCAATATTCACAATTTTTCGTAGAGGGATTTCCTACCCTAAAATAATCCAAAATGATGAATTACAGCCAATTCTATGCTAAAGTTCGGAATAATGGAAGATGATGCAAATTTTGGAGCCCAAAGTATGAAAAACAGGACAAAAATCATTTTATTTCAAAACTCCTGAAGAGATAATCGGTTGAAAAGAATGGCGCCCAACTGATTTATATCCAGTTTCTGAACCAAAAAAATGTCCACCAGAATAAATTCTAATCAACTCTCATCTAACGGGTTGTAATTTGTTATCATTTCACTGTGATTTGCCATGACATTCACCAACAACAGACATAAATTGTTCACTATGTGATTCATTGAAATGTACTGAATGAAACTAGTTCCTTTGAAAGAAACACTTTGTTCCGTTTAGTGAACGATGTTGTTCAACACAATGGTTACCCTGTTGGCAACCGTAATGTTTGGCCGTTACTAAGTTAAAATGTTTGGTCAATTATTTGCTAAATTTTGAGTGCTACAGTTCTGAAAGTCTGTGAGAGAACTGAACTATGGCCAAAAAGGGTGGTGTTCAACAACTGCAAACCGATATATCCAATGATGAAGATTTTGAAAAGTTTTTAGAGAAGCCAGGATTATTGGGTAAGTTTTCACTACAGATATGTTGTAAAACCTAACCTAAAATTTTTGTTTCTAGTTTTAGATGTTTGCTCGGAATGGTGTGGCCCTTGTCTGGGCATGGTGGGCAGTTTGAAAAAGGTCAAGCTTGAAGTTGGTGGTGATAATTTGCAGTTGGCCATTGTAAGTTTCTGATTTTTTGGATTTGTAATTTATAATAGATTTGATATCTTCTTCTTTATTTTAGTGTAAATCCGATCACATAACAGCCTTGGCCAGATTTCGCAGGAAAAGTGAGCCCACATGGTTGTTTGTAACGGTAAGAAAATCTGAAGGATTTTGCGTCCAAATAATTCTCAATTGTTTTGATTTTTTGGTATCCCCACAGGGTGGCAAGGCGGTTAATCTTATGTTCGGCACAAATGTCCCCAAACTAATGGCAATGATTGTCAACGAACTAAATCTCGTGGGTAATAAAAATCGACGATTTTATGAAATCACCGAATTACAACCGGAAGAAATTACTCGCCGAGAAATTGTCGAGCGGGACGAAGAAGCAGCCCGCAAAATCGAAGCTGCCGTTGCGGAAAAGAAACGCTTGGCGTATTTAAAGTATGTAACCGATACGATTATGGAAAATCTAAATGATATGGGTGTAACGTTGTTTGGTCCGCAAGTAAATCGTGATATGTTTAAGAAAATAATGGAACCGGCAGATATTTTAAAAATTCAATGTAAAGATCGTAAGGTGACGCAGATTAATCGTGAAGATTTTAAAATCATACATCACGATTGTACGAACCCCATTGATGAGGATATTTTGAAGCAGTTGGAGGGAAAGGAGCTGTTGTTGTGCTATTGGAAAATACCCGGTGAGGGGGAGGAGGTACCGGCAATATTAAATGAATATGCCAAGGAGTTGACGAAAACGGAAACCATACCGCCCGATGAATTCAATGAAGAGGAACAGATAAAGCCACCAATTGTGCCGTCGCTTGAGGTTGTGGTGGAATATGAAGTGACGGGTAAGGGGATCCTATTATAAAAAATGTAATCTCAAATCTTTTCCCTTAGATGATGAGGCTGATGATGCGGAGGATGTTCCTGAAACCCCTATTAACGAGGAAGCTCCTTTGGCCCCTGAGGTAGAGGAGGCAGAAAAAGAGTTGGAGGAAAATCCCGAAGAAAATCATAATGATAACCCCGAAGAACCGGATGAAAACCTTGCCATTGAGGACCTGAATTTAGAAGCTGTCGATGAACCCGGTTTGGAAATGGCAACCGAAGATTTAAATTTACAATTGGAGGATTTGGAAAAAGAAATCGTGGTAGAGAACAACGAAAAACCTTCCGACGAAGCAAAGAAGGAATCGGAGAAAAACAAAAAACGACGGCTCTGCAGCAAAACATTGCAGCTCCCGGCAATTTGGGTACCCAATGATCAACGTACCCATGCGGCACTGATTTATATTTATTTTCGCAATCAAACTGGGAATTTTCTACCACCAGATCCCGAACCGGAACCACCCTACATTATTATGTCATTCGATACATATAAGAAACGAGATTTGATACCTATGGCCGATGTCCGCAAGGAATTTATACCAATGTATGGGTTCTTTACCAGCGATGATCCTGATAAGGCGGAATATATTACCAACTCCGTGCACAAATATAAAGTTCAGACGGCGTAAGTTTTGAAATAAAAATTTGAAAATAATTTCAAATAAATATTTTTCCGACAATTTTTAGTAACGACAAATTGATAATGAAGGTAAACAAAAGTTCCGAAGAAACGGTACTGGCCTTGGTTTCGTATTGTCCCAGTTATGTTAGTCCGAATAGTGTGGTCGGTATGGAGGAAGCTAATAAATTCTTTCCTGCGACATATAAGACCCTGGAACAAGAGGAAGCTGAGGCTGCAGCCATTGCTGCGGAATTGGCAAAGAAAATACGCAAGAAAAAGGAACGCCGTAAGAAGGAGGCCCAGGAAGTACCAGCGGAAAAAGAAACTGAAGTTGATGGCACCCATGCATCGAGTGGGGAGGAGGAGAGCGGTGAGAGTACATCGGCGGAGGGAGAAGGTGATGCTGTGGCCGGTAATCAGGAAGGTGGTGGAGATTGAGGGGTTGATTCTATTCAAAATAAATATTTTAAATGGTGACCTATGTTGCACATTAATTAGATCTTTAAGACCACAGAGTGTTATTAAAAAAAGAGCTTGAAAAAATATATGAACGCTTTTAAATATAGACTGCCTTAATTTCCCATTAAAATATCTCAAATTTAATACGCTGAGCTTCAGTCAAAATACTTTCTTTCTCAATGGGTCGAATTTCATATTCTGGTTGATATTTTCATATATATATATAGACGGAACGTTTAGTCCTACACAAATTTTTAAATTCTTTTAGAATTAGATTCATAAGCTTTGGGATATCACTACCGAATTCCAACAGCTTTGCCTCTCTAAATACATGGATAATTCATTTGAGTATCATGAGGCGTATAACTATTGTCGTTAGTTATACGTTACGGAGTACCACATTAATAGAGCATAAAATGCCTACATATCCATAAAACTTGTGGTCCTACAGATTTCATTTGTTCAGTGACCTTTAGTGAAATTTGTTGGGGAATATTTTTTCCATTGACATCTCTACGCAAAAATTAAGCTTTGATGTATATTTCGGCCAATTAAAACAATACGCAAAATTCGGCAAAAATTCCAATTTTGTATACCTATATTGGTACTCAGATTTCATATGGAAATATTATATTTACAGATTTTCTGTATTCGGTGACCTATATATATGGAGAATATTTCCACTCTTAACATCTCCATCCCAGAACTATGTTTGGAGATATTGACCTAAAACCGAACACAAAAAAGGAACTAGAAATCTTTACGATTTTTACTTTTACAGACATTGACAAGATTTTTTATGGATATGTGTTATATTTGGAGACTCCTTTTGTTCGGTGACCTATAGTGAAATTCGATGAAGAGTATTTTTTTCATTGACATCTCCAGATTTTCCACAGATTTTCTGTATTCGGTGACCTATAGTGAAATTCGATGAAAAGTCGACCAAAAATACCAATTTTATATAACTATATTTGTTTTCCGATTTCATTAGGAAATATTGTAAGCACAGATTTTCTGTATTCGGTCTTCGGTGACTTAAAGTGATATTCGATGAGGAATAATTTTTCCATTGACATCTCTACGTTAAAATAAAGTTTTGAGGTACATTTGGGCCAATTTCAACAATACGCAAAACTCGACCAAAAATGACAATTTTATATCCCTATATTGGTATTCAGATTTCATTAGGAAATTTTATACCTGCAATTTTCCGTTCTTCGGTGACCTATAGTGAAATTTTATGGAGGATATTTCATTCATTAACATCATCCACTCAAAACTACTTCTTGAGTGAGATATTACCATAAAGACGAAATGCAAAAAACGTGCAGCATATCAACGAGATTTTTGCCCAACCTTCAATTGGTTAGGATTTTTATAGATACCTGTTACATCTAGAGACTTATTTTGTTCGGCGACCTATAGTGAAATTTGATGAGGAATATTTTTTCCATTGGCATCTACCATCTAAAATTAAGTTTTGTGGGACATTTTGCCCAAAACAAAAAATACCCAAAAATCGATCAAAATAAACAAAATTTTCCATATATCTGATTTGTTGCTCATTTTTTATTGGTAAGTATTATATCTACAAATTTTTTGTGGTCGGACACCTATAGTGAAATTTTACGGAGAATATTTCACTCCTTAACATCAACCCTCAAAGCTCGTGTCTTGAGGGAGATTTAGGCCAAATAAAAAATACCCAAAATAATTTCATTATTGGCGTATAAGTGTTGTCGCAACGTATACGTCACATAGTTCGAATATTTTATTTATTTAAATTTATTAACTACACATAAATTTGGTAGCTGCTGCGGGATATAAAATATCATTGCTTTAAATTGCAGTTCTTGGTCTTCCATTGCTTGACAATGGTTCGTCTTCTTCAGAGCCAAATATTCTGCAAAGTTTTACCTTCTTCTGAGAGTTTTTCGTTCAGAATGTCTCTAGGTCTTCAATTTCCACCTTTATTTCACATTTTTTTTCTTCTGGTTCGAATCATCCGCTGCATTTTTGGCTTCCTCTTCCATTTCCTGCTCGGCTGTCTTATAAGTTTCCGGGAAGAATTTCTTCGCTTCTTCAAAACCCACATTAACATTGGGACTAACATAGGTGGGATCATATGTGATCAATGTCAGCATGGTGTGGGAGGTTGCCTTGTTGACCTTCAGGACCAATTTATCATTTCTGAGAATACAAAATTTTTATAAATCCAAAACCATATCCCCGTGTTCTGCAATTACTTACATTGTCTGCGGACTATATTTCTCTATGGAATTCGCTATGAATTCCGCCTCTTCAACATCATCACTGGTAAAGAAACCATAACAGGGTATATCCTCTTTGTGATGATCGGCATGTGAGATTAGGTCACGTTTTTTGTAGGTATCAAAGGCCATAATAATGTGTGGTGGTTCTGGCACTGGATCGGGAGGTAGAAAACTCGCTGTCTGATTACGAAAGAACACATAAACAAGGGCTGCATGGGTCCGATGATTATTGGCTATCCATATGGGTGGTATGCGAACTTTTTTAATACGCATTCGTGTCTTTACTACTTCTTCGACAGGTAGATCATCCTCTTCTTCAACTTCTTCAATGGCATTATCGAGACCTAAATCAAAACCTAAGTCTGGCATTTCTGTGGGTGGCATGGGTTCTGCATTGCCCTCATCGTCTTCTTCCTCTTCTCCCAAACCATAATCCAATGCCAAGTCTTGTTTGGCAATCTCCTCTTTGTCAGCCAGATTTTCTTGGGATGATGGTTCCTCGTCGATCCATATTTCACCGTCTGTAAGGAAAAACAAATATTATAAGGGGTAAATATAAACCTGGGCGTATTAGTATTGACGTTATGTATACGCCCTACTTTCTGTTAAGTTACAAATGAATACCTAGGCGTATAAGTGTTGCCATTACGCATCCACCCAATCTACTCACCCTTCAGTTCAACCTCCACCTTCAAATCCAAGGGCCCCAATATGGGTGGCACCACAATCTCCTCTTCATTAAATTCATCCGCTGGGTAGGTGTGCGACTTGGTCAATTCCTTAGCATACTGCGATAAAATTTTTGCCACATCTTTGCCCTCGCCTGGTACACGCCAAAAACACACCAACAATTCTTTACCTTCCAATTGTTCTAGAATATCTTCTTCTATTGGATTGGGACAATTAAAATGTATCACATCAAAATGTTCTCGGGACACTTCACTAAATTTACGATCTTTACATTGCATTTTTAGCGTATCGGCAGGTTCCATAATTTTCTTAATTAAATCACGGTTAACTTGGGGACCAAAGACCGTCACCCCAATATCGGGTAGATTTTCCATTATAACATCGGTAACATGGGTGAGATACTCGAGGCGTTTCTTTTCCCGCGCCTCAAATTCAATACGTTGAGCTTCAGCCAAAATGTGTTCTTTGGCTCGACGCCGTATTTCTTCTTCTGGTTGATATTCCCAGATATCATAGGAGGGACGTTTTGTGTTACCCAAATTGGCAAGTTCTTCCAGTATGAGACTCATTAGTTTGGGAGTATCACTACCGAACATAATGTTGACAGCTTTGCCATTCTGAAATTAGGGATAATTTATTGGGGGTATCATAGGGCGTATAACTATTGTCGTTACTTATACGTTACGGGATATTACTTAAATATAGTATAAAAAGCCTACATATCTATGTAATTTGTGGACCTAGAGATTGATGAGGAATATTTTTTTCATTGACATCTCCTTGCTAAAATGAAGTTTTGCTATACATTTTGGCCAATTTCAAAAATACACAAAACTCGACCAAAAATTCCAATTTTATATACCTTTTTTAATGCCTTGATTTCTTTAGGAAATATTATATCTACAGATTTTCTATATTCGGTGACCTATAGTGAAATTTGATGGAGAATATTTCTACGCTTTATAGCATCCTCAAAAAACAATGTTATACGGGAGATATGGACCTAAAAACGAAACACAAGAAAGGAATAAGAAATCAGCCAGATTTTCATTTTTACCGCCATTCATACAATTTTTTATCGATATGTGTTATATCTAGAGATTTCTTTTGTTCGGTGACCTATATCGAAATTTGATGAGGAATATTTTTTCCTTTGACATCTCCTCGTTAAAATAAAGCTTTGTCGTACATTTCGTCCAATATAAACAATACGCAAATCTCGACCAAAAAATGCCAATTGTATATACCTATATTGGTACTCGGATTTCATTAGGAAATATTGTATATACAGATTTGCGGACTTCGGTGACCTATAGTAAAATTTCATGGAGAATATTTCCTACCTTAACATCATCCGCCTAGAGCTATGATTTAAGGGACATATTGGCCTAAAACCGATACACCAGAAATTAACAAGAAATCAAGAAGATTTTTATTTTTACCGCCATTGACACAATTTTTTTTATGGATACGTGTTATACCTAAAGACTTCTTTGGTGCGGTGGCCTGTAGTGAAATTTTATGAAGATAATTTTTTTCATTCACATCATCTTGCTAAAATGAAGTTTTGAGGGATATATTGCCCAATTTAAAAAATACCCAAAACTCGACTAAAAATGCCAAGTTTTAATACCTATTTTGGTACTCAGATTTTATCAGGAAACATTGTATCTAAATATTTGCGGACTTTGGGTACCTATAGTGAAATTTTATGGAGAATATTTCCTACCTTAACCTCTCTACCCTTGAACTATGTTTTATGGAAGATATTGGAATAAAACCGAAAATCAAAAACTGAAAACGAAAGCAATACGCATTTTGTTTTGAACCACAATTTAGACGGATTTTCATAGATATGTATTGTATCTAGAGACTTCTTTTGTTCGATAACATATAGTGAAATTTGATGAAGAATAATTTTTCCCTTGACATCTCTGGGCAAAAATCTAGTTTTGAGGGACATATTGTTCAAATTATACAATGTGCAAAATTTGAACAAAAATGATAATTTTTCATTTGTATATAAATTGATACGATTATTTTATTGCTAAGTATTATATTTAGCGGATTCTTGTCTTCGGTGGCCTATATTGAAATTTAATAAGAAATAATTTTCTCTTCAATACATTCTCCCAAAAATTGATTATTGTGGACGATTTGACCAATTCAAACAATGCGCAAAAATCGACCAAAAAATTATCTTTCCTTGTATCGGAATTGTTTCTAATTTTTTAAAGAAAAATATTATATGTATACATATATTCATAGGTTCCGATTCATTACCGTTCACAATATTAATAGTTTTATCATTCTAAAATACGTCATAATTCGGTTGAGTACAATGGAGCGTATAACAATTGTCGTTACTTATACGTTACGGAGTATTACTGAAATTGACTATCAAAATCATTAAACTCTATATAACTTGAAGACCTGCAAATTTCTTTACTTCGGCGACTTGTAGTGAAATTTGATGACGAATAATTTTCTTTTTAAAAAATTCCCCCTAAAGTTATTTATTTTGGTCGATTTAGACCAATTTACAAAATGCCCAAAACTCAACCAGTAAATGTTAATATTTCATATATATCTGATTTCATACTAATATTTTATAGATAAATATTATATCTAGAAAATTTCTGTCTTCGGTGACCTAAAATGAAATTCGATAAAGAATAATTTCTTCTTTGACTACTATTCCCAAAAATTTTAATTAATTGAAGATTTTGACCAATTCAAACAATGCGCAAAATTCGACCAAAAAAAATACATTTTCTTGTATAGGAACTGGCTCTAATATTTTATAGATAAATATAACATATATAGATTCATAGGTTTCGATTTATTACCGACAGCAAGATTGCCAGCATTTCCATTCTAAAATACGGCATAATTTGGTTTGGTACAATGGAGCGTATAACTATTGTCGTTACTTATACGCTAGGGAGTATTGTTTAAATTGGCTATAAATAAGTCATTAAAATCTATATAATTCGCAGATCTACAAAATTCTTTACTTCGCCGACTTATAGTGAAATTTGATGACGAACAATTTTCTCTTCAACAAAATCCCCAAAATTAATTATTTTGGTCGACTTAGACCAATCTACAAAATGCCCAAAACTCAACCAGTAAATATTAATTTTTCATTTATGTCTGAATTAGTTCACCATTTTTAATGATAAATATGACATCTACAGAGCTCGTTTCTTCGGTGACCTATAGTGAAATTTGATGAAGAATAATTTTCTCTCTGGCTATTTTCCCCAAAAAGTGATTTTTATGGAAGATTTTCACCATTTGACAAAAATGCCCAAAAATAAATGCCATAAATGTCAATATGTAATTTTTTCCTGATTTGACACTAATATTTTATTGTTAAATATTATAGCTAGAGATTTCTCGTCTTCGGGGACCTATAATGAAATTCGATGAAGAATAACTTTCTCCTTAACAACTTCCCCTATAAATTACATTTTATGGGAGATTTTGACCAATTACCACCATACCCAAAACTCAACCAAAATACCACAATTTTTGTTATATTTCCAAATTGGTAATGAAATTTCAATGGAAAATAATATATCTACAAATATTGTGTTAGGTAACCTCTAATGAAATTTGATGTAGAACAATTTTCTCCTTGGCTACTTTCCCCAAAAATTGAATTTAATGGGAGATTTTTAAAGATTCCCATAATACCCAAACCCCAAATAACGTAACAATATTTTTGTAATACTTCCAAATTGATCCACATATTTCATAGGTAAGATTTATATCTAGAGATTTAATGTCTTTGGTGATCAATAGTCTATTTTTATAGAGAATATTTTGTCCCTTAACATCATCGCCCTAATACTAAGTTTTAAAATAGATATTGACTTTATTGCGATATTCAGTCAATATCTATGTCAAAAGTTATCTAAAAACTTATCTATTTTTTTTATAAAATTTCAATATAATTTTCCGAACAAATGAAATCTGCAGGTCTACAGGTATTACATATATATGTAGGCTTCATAATCCTTATTCAAGTAATATTCCATAACGTATAAGTAACGACAATAGTTATACGCCCCACTGTACTTAAGAAATTAATAAGTAAATCCAATATTTCGAAGTGTATAACTTTTGAATAAATTATCGCATCTCAACAAAACGGGTGTTATATGAAAGCTTATGTAGTATATATTTATAAAAATATGTATGTATATATATTTTGTTCCTTAACATCATCCCCCAAATTACAAAGTTTTAACATAGATATTGACTGAATACCGAAATAACCTTATTTCTAATTAAAAATTTCTCAAAAACTTACCGCAACAAACAACCATGTTGGCTCACTTTTACGGCGGAATCTTTTTAGGGCTTCGATGGTATCACTTTTGCACTACGAATTCGAAAAATAAAAATCGAATCAAAAATTATTTTATTTTTTGAAATGAATTCCCTTACAATGGCCAATGAAAGATTATCACCACCAGCCTCCAGCTTGATTTTCTTTAAACTGCCCACCATACCCAAACATGGTCCACACCATTCAGAATATATATCCAAAACTATTTGGGAATTAGGAGTCATAAAATGTGTGAAATATAAATTGTAATTCAAATTCACCCAATAAACCAGGACGATCCAGAAATCTTTCTAATTCCTCATCCGAATTTATTTCTTCTTGTATCTTTTGGGCAGCAGCTTTTTTGGCCATTTTTTATAATTTTTTGATTATTTTTTTTTTAATAAAACTTATTAATTTTGAATGAAATAGGATAGGAAATTAAGGAATATGAAATAAATTAAAATATATAAAAATTTTGAATTGAATGATGGCTTTCAAACCCTACATGATGTATTTACTACACTGATAATAATTAAAAAAAAATGAATTACTAATTGAGTTTTGGGTATTTTGTAAATTGGTCAAAATCTGCCATAAAATTAAATTTTTGGGCAAAGATGTTAAAGAGAAAATAAATTTTCATAAAATTTCATTATAGGTCACCGAACACAAAAAATCTCTCTATATATTATTTAGCAATAAAATATTCGTATTAATTCCGACATAAATGAAAAATTCTTTTTTACTAGTTGAGTTTTGGGTATTTTGTAAATTGGTCGAAATTTGCCATAAAATTAAATTTTTGAGCAAAGATGTCAAAGGTAAAATTATTCTTCATCAAATTTCATTATAGGTCACCGAAGACAAGAAATATCTAGATATAATTCCTGGCAATGAAATAGTCCTATTAATTCAGACATAAATAAAAAATTAACAGTTACTAGTTGAGCTTTGGGTATTATGTATATTGCCATAAAATTCAATTTTTGGGGAAATATGTTAAAGAGAAAATTATTCTTTATCAAATTTCATTATAGGTCATCGAAGATAACAAATCTCTAGATATAATATTTAGAAATAAAGTATTCGCATTAATTCAGACATAAATGAAAAATTAACATTTACTGGTTGAGTTTTGGGTATTTTTTAATTGGTCAAAATCTAACATAAAATTAATTTTTTGGGGAAAAATGTTAAAGAGAAAATTATTCTTTATCAAATTTCATGAAAGGTCGCCGAAGACAAGAAATTTCTAGATATAATATTTAAGAATAAAATATTTGTATTAATTCAGACATAAATGAAAAATTAACTTTTAGTGGTTTGAGTTTTGGGTATTTTGTAAATTAGTCAAAAACTCCCATAAAATTCAAATTTTCGGCAAAAATGTCAAAGAGAAAATTATTCTTCATCAAATTTCATTATAGGTCACCGAAGGCAAGACATCTCTAGATATAATATTTAGCAATAAAATATTCGTATTAATTTTGGCATAAATGAAAAATTAAATCTGTAGGTCATTAAATTATATCGATTTTAATGACACCTTTATAATCAATTCAAATAATACTCCGTGACGTATAAGTAACGGCAATAGTTATACGCTCCATTGTTCCTTACCAAATAATACCATATTTTAGAATGACAAAGGTGTTAATATGGTGGTCGGTAATAATTCGAGAACCAATTCCGAAAAATTTTTGTTCAAATTTTGCGCATTACTAAATTTGATTAATACTCATACCCCTCAAAACTTAATTTTTGCACGTAGATGCCAAGGCTAAAAATATTCTTCATCAAATTTCACTATAGGTCACCGAACAAAAGAGGTCTCTAGATATAACACGTATCTATAAAAAAACCCTCTAAATTAAGGTATACAACTCAATACATATTGCTTTTCCTCAAAACATAGTTCTAGAGGAATACTATAAACGAAAATATTCTCCATCAAATTTCAGTATAGCTCACCGAATACAGAAAATCTGTAGATATAATATTTTCTAATGGAATCTGTATACCAATATAGGTATATAAGATTGGCATTTTTGGTCGAGATTTGCTTATTGCTTATATTGGTCAAAATATACCACAAATAGTAATTTTAGTGTGTAGATGTCAATGGAAAAAATATTCGTCATCAAATTTCACTGTAGGTTGCCGAACAAAACAATTCTGTATGTCATCAACTTATATATATATATATATTAATGACTTTTTTATAATCAATTAAAATAATACTCCGTAACGTATAAGTAACGTCAGTAGTTATACGCCACATTACATCCAACCAAATTATGCAATGACAAATCAGTTAGTATTATATTCGGTAATCACTGTCAAAATTATCATCAATATATCTGCATATATAATATTTATTAATAAAATTTAAATATATAAAAATTGTTTTAATTTTTTAGTTGAGTTTGTGAATTGTTTTATTTGTTAAATATAACCCTCATAACATAGTTTTAACGATCAGATGTCAAAGGCGAAATTATTCTTCATAAAATTTCACTATAGGTCATCGAACGAAAGAAGTCTCTAGTCAAGTTTTGCGTATTGTTTAAATAGGCTAAAATTTGCATCAAAACTTAATTTTAGCGAAAAAATACTTCCCGCAAAATTTCACTATAGGTCATCGAACAATAGAAGTCCCTAAAAATAATAAATTGTTATAAAAATCCCTCTGAATTGTAAAACAAAATAAAATTTATTGATTTCTTGTTCATTTCTTGTGTTGCCGTTTTATGGCTATATGTTTTTTTTTTGCAATGTTCCCAGGCCACTTAATGTATAGAAAATGGCAGTAGATTTATAGCTAGACTAGTTTAGATAACATTTTTCCATCCAACTTATTTTGGTACCTTAAAAAATTGGTTATCTAAACAGTTGAATGTGTTCCCACGCCTTCCTTTCTAAATTACATAGGTTTATTTTTAGCAAAATAAATGATGAAGTTGAGTTGATGCCAAGCCATTTCATTTATATGATATTGGCCACTTAAGACAATTTTCCGAAGATGTTTAAGTTATTTTTTTTTCAATTACATATGGATTTAGCCACCTAAAAAATATTTTAGAATGTTGCTAGGCCACTTAATGTATAGATAATCTTTCTCCAACCAACTACCTTATAAAACTCCATAAAAATTTGGTTTAAAAAATCCTCGTTTTTTTAGTCTATTAAAATTTTGCGCATATTTTGGGACAAGTATTAAGAAAAAATCAGCTTAACATAGTTTTTTTTTAACAAAATTAGTGATAAAGTTGAAATGTTGCCTGGGCATTTCATCTATAGATTATTAAAGTATATTTTCCAGTGATTTTGAAGTTATTTTCAATTACATAAGGCCACTTAATATATAGAAAATAGCAGTAGATATGTCGCCAGGCCACTTTAGATATTATTCCTCCACCCACCTTCTTTTAGTGGCTTAAAACATATTATTTTTTAAAAAAAAACTTTGCTTCTTTTTTAGTCTATTAAGAAAATCCCTGCATATTTTGATCCTTTGGATGTCCTTGGAACAAATAATGGCAAAACTTGCGTGCTCTGAGGTAATTAAAATCCTCACCTTTAGATCCCTTGTAAGACTGTTACCTGTTTGCAGTGTTGCATTGCACCTTCTTTTGCTTCTTTAGTCTAATAAGAAAATCCCCGCATACTTTTAACAAAACGTGACCTTTTCCGAAAAAATCGCTTCTTTAGGTCATTATATTAAAATTTTTTCAAAAATTGTCTGTTTTCCCTTTAAAAAAAATATATATATATATGTATTCAAAATCATGCTTTGTGTGCATTTAGAAAAAGAAATTTTACCTTTAGATTCCTTGTAAATAAGTTCCAGAGGTCAACTTTCCCCGTATTGTGTACCCTTTGAATTTATATCTGCACCTTTCGATCCCTATATAAACCTGCTCCCAGTGTTGCATTTTCCCCGCCCCCAAAAGTCCATTTAATTAAAAACACAATTTCCAATTTGTTTTAATTATTTTATTTTTTTCTCTTTTAGTTGTTTTGTTATATTTACCATCATCATATATAATTAATTTTATGTTGTTATTTAAAGAAAATATTTTTTTGAAAAAAATTCTGCTTGTGTTGATCCCTTGAAAAGTATTTGTTTTTCTCCCAAATCCAATTTTAATTAAAACACATTTTAATTTTTTGTTTGTTTTGTTTTTTAATAATTTTTGCATTTTTTAAAAACAAATTTTAATTAAAACACATTTTAATTTTTTGTTTTATTTTTTATAAATTTGTCGTTTTTTTGTCATTTAAAACCCCTTATTATTTTAAATGCTCGCCTTGTCTCCCCTTTGAATTCAAAAGCGCACCTTTAGATCCCTTGTAAATCTGTTGACAGTGTTGCATTTTCCCCTCCGCCCAAAAGCCCATTAAATTAAAAACACAATTTCATTTTTTGTTTTTTAATAATTTTATTTTTTATTTTTTTTCTTCACTTTTTGTTTTTTTTTCTCTTATTTGTTGTTGTTGTTTTTTATATTTACCATCATCATATATAATTAATATATAATGTTGTTGTTACTTATTTTTATTATGACAAAGTATTACATTTCATCATTTATTTGTTGTATTTTAATGTGTATGTGTGTGTCTGTTCTCTTTCAAATTTATTTTTTATTTTATGTATGTAAAATTGTGATGCTTTTATTTATTCTCTTGAATTTCACTTTTATGGAGATTTTGTTGTGTGGGAGAGGGAGAGTTGGGAAGAGAGAGAGAGTGAGTGATGTTATGTGGGATTTTTGCAAGGGAATTTTTGTGGGTATTTTGTTTGTTAGGCTGGGGGATTGTTTGTTTGCTTGTGTGTGTGTGGGGATATGAATGAGATGTTTATGTTACTTCAAAAGTGTGGCTCATTTAGCGTTTTTTATACGTCTTTTATTTTTCTTTTTTGTTTGTTTTTGCAAATATTATAGTTTTTTGTAGTAGATTTTTTTAAAAGGATCGATTTCCTTTTTTGTTTGTTTTTTACTTTTATTAAAAATAAATGCAACTGAAAGGATATGATAAAATTTGAAAATTATATATTTTTATTTTTTTCTGTTGAAATGCTTTAGAAAAATTAGAGATTTTCCTTTGCCAAATTTTATTTTTATTTTTGTTTTGTTTTTTTGCTTTTTTATTTAGTATTCCTTGTATCAGTCATTTCATGTTTTTGAGAGAGTGTGAGAGAGGGGGTTATTATTATTTTTGTTATAATATTTGCAAAATTGTTGTGTTTTGGATTTCCTTTTTATAAATGTTAAAATTATTTTTTGTTGTTTGGGTTTTATTTTGTTGTTTATTTATTTATTTTTTTTAAGAAATATTGCATTTTTACACATATTCAATTTCAATTTTCAATAATGTACACTTACTAAGCTTAGTTGATAGATTATATATATTTATAATGTAGATTTTGGGTGTGAATAGTTTTATTTTTTTTTCAAGGGGGAGGAAGGATTTTTTTTTTTAAATTTTACACAATTTCTTTTTTTTTGTAATGTATGCAAATATTTTTTTTTTTTGATAGGAAATAATAACTAAATCTATATATTAAATTAATAAGGGGATTCTTTTTGTGTTTATATATATATATATATAGTTGTAGTTATAGGCTTAAAAATATGTTTATTTATTATTATGTTTTATTATTATTATGCCTTAAAAACTAATCTCTTTAATTTTATTTAATAAAATTGCTAAACCACCATTTGTTTATGTGTTGTTGTTTTTTATTTTCATTGGCTATTTTTTTAATGTTTTTTTACGATTTAATCATTTTTTTTGTGTGTGAGTGTGTGTTGGGGTTTTTTACGAAATGCTTTTAAAAGCCAATGTTTTTTTAATCTTAATTATTTTTTTAAGCTACAACTTAATGACTAAGCAGATTTTTTGTTGTTTTTGATATATTACAGGGGTTCAATCTTAATAACTAATAATTTTTAGTTTTTATTTTCAGGGGAAAAAGGGAGGATACAGGGGATTTTGGAGTTATTATTTTTGCAGTTTATTATTATTTTTTCGATTTTTTGTTTTTATTTATTTATTTTTATTACGTTTAAGTAGTCAACACTAAATATTAGTAAACAATAATTTATAATTAATATTTATATATATAAACGCACGAGCATTTTATTTTTATGTCGTATATTTAATAAGCATTTTTATCCTTATAATTTTATTTTTTAATTATAAATAAAAATATAAAAAAAAAATCATTAAAAATTATTTATATGGCATTTATTGAAATTTAAAATAAAAAAAATAATAAAATAAAATTATTTTTTGAGTATATACTTAATGTGTTTATTAATTATAAATTAAATATAAAAATATTGCAGTTTATTGGTGTAAAAGTTATAAAAAATTACAAAAAGTAAAAAAAACAAATCATTTTTTTAATAATTAGAAAAAAAAATAAACCAAAAACATTAAAAAAAATATTAAAAAATTTTTTTAAAAAAAAATAAATAAAAAAAAAAAAAACATTTAAAACATTATAAAATATTTTTAGAATGAATTTTTAGTGATGATTAGTAATTATTAATTCTTTCAAAAAATGTTTTGAGAAATTACACAAAAATTTTTTTTTATTAATTTTAAAAAAATATTTTTAAAAAAATTTTTTTTTTAAAAAATTAAAAAGTTAAACATTTTTTATTTTGCATTTTTAATTAATAAAAAATTGTATAATTAAAAAGAATATAAAAAAAAAAAAAAAAACTTGCATATTTATTATTAAGGATTTATTTATTATTTTTGTTTTATTTTTTTAATTTATAAAGATTATATATCACAATTGTAAAAATTTGCTTGATTTTCGTTACATTTTTTTCGGGGGTGTTTTTGTTTTGTGTTTTGCTTTTTTTTCATTCGAGTTAAATAATAATATCAAAACATAATAATATTAAAAAATTATAAGATTTAAAAATGATAAAATTATAAAAAAGAGTATAAACTTTATTATTCATAATTATATATAAATTATATTCGAGTTGTATATTATTTTAAGAAATTATTATAGGAGTTTTTTTTTCCAAATAAGACAAAATTGCGTGAGTATTTCTTGATTTTTTTGGTTTAGCTTTATTTTTTTTGTATAGAAAAAATAGGAATAGATATGTCGCCAGGCCATTTCAGGTGTGTGCTTCTGAGATGTTAATGACCATTTTTCTCTTGACCATTTTTCACCTTGAGGAATTAATTTTATGTGTTGCCAGGCCACTTTGTGCACTTTAGCACAAAGTAAAAGAGATATGTCGCCAGGCCACTTAAGATATTTTTTTCTGTGATGTATAAACCCTGTTTTGTGACTTTGAGTAATAAATTGTATGTATTGCCAGACCACCTAATGTATGAAAATGGAAATGTCGCCAGGTCACATTGTTTTATGATGCATAAACCCTTCTTTTCTAAATAGTTTTGCCACCATGACAAATAAATGTAATCTGTCGCCGGGTCACTTAACGTGTAGGAAATAATTGGATATATCGCCAGGCCACATAAAATATTAATTTCAGTGATGTGTAAACCTTGTTTTTTAAACTTCATACGCTCATATTATACTTTTGTGAAATAAATTAGCTTGGTTGCCAGGCCACTTAATGTAAGGGAAATATCAGTTAAATATGTCGCCAGGCCACTTATGTCATTTTTGTGTGTTTTTTCACTTTTCTTCACATATTATAAACTTTTTGTCACTTTTGTGAAATAAATTTGCTTGGTTGCCAGGCCACTTCATATAAAGAAAATATCAGTTAAATATGTCGACAGGCCACTTATGTTATTTTTCTGTGATTTTTTCCAATTTTTAGATGGGTTTTTGATAACTTTTTGAATAAATTTGTTTGGTTGCCAGGCCACTTCGTAGCATCTGTTGCTTTGTGCCAAGCATGTGCAGCCTGTTAAATTATTTGAATTTCTCATAGTCACCCTGTTGATATTCAAAGAGTGATATTTTGATATTAAATCATTCAAGAAGTGTGTATGTGAGATGAAGAGAAAGAGATAGAGAAGGTGACAGAGTGAGAGAGAAATAAGAACAAATACCGTTCTATATTTTCATCACTGACTCTTCTTAATTTTCTCAGAGAAATGTCACAGCTGAAAGGCAATGTGTCACATCATTCTCTGTGAACACAATAGAGGCGTCTGGCGTCAAAGGTGTTTAAGTAGAAAATGTTGCAAATTAGCAACAGAATTGAAACGTTGGGAGTCTGGCGTTTAATTTAACAGGGAAAGTGATCAAATACATCACTGTAATGGGAAATTGTGTGGAAATTAGAGGCAGTATTATAAATAAATAGAGAAAATAATAGAAAATTAAATAACAAATATTCATTATTGAGAAAATATTAAGAGTGATGAAGACAATAAAATATTGAAAATTAATTATTCAAAATATTAAATACTTTTGGGTTGATAATTTGAGGAAATTTTTGGTAGCAAAATTGCGGCTTGGGACATAAGGGATTAAAAAAGCTCAAAAAACTTTTTTATTTTTACATCAGTGGTCTTCTAATAAAACATACAAGGTTTACACATGACATTTGGTTTAATTATGTGACAAATAGATTACATATTTAGGCATTTCAACACACAATATTGGACCAGGAGGGCTTTCCAGTAAAATATAAAAAGAAATGAAAATAAAATCGGAATATTTTGTAAAAAAGTTGTTGTATTTTCGTAATTTCTCTTCGTATGTATGTTTTTGTGATGTAGAGATATTTAAAGCTTGTGTTTTGTTTATACTTAATAAATTTTTTGCTTATATAAAGACAAAGTTTATAAAAAAAAAGAAATATAAATGAGATTAGAAAAAATATTAAAAAGAATTAATATTTGTTGGATAAATTATATTCGAGATGGGAAAGAAATTGAAAAATTATATTGCAAACAATACTTTTTATTAATTAAAAAAAATATAATAATAATATAAAATAATTATTTTTTTATATATATAATCAAGGCTCTATTGTTAAACTGTTATGGCTGTTTTTCTATTTATAACATTATTACAATTATTTATTATTAAGGGGAGTGGGGGGATATTGAGGGAAAAGGGTTTCAGGAGATTCATTTTACTTTGATGTTTAGCTAATAACTTTTTACTTGATAATCTCACATTGATTTCATTTCTTTTTTATATAGTTTTACATAAAAACATTGATTTTTGTTTTGAGATTCTAGTGTTTTGTTATCTAAAGTGTTTTTATCGCTTTCTGTTTTATTTATATTTTTTTTTTTTGAAGTGGGATTTTTATTTTATACAAAACTATATTTTTTTACGATTTCTATGTATTCTATTTTTTTATAGATGTGTGTGTTTATATCTATTTCCTTAGATATATGCATTCTGTTCACAATTTTTTGTTATCCCCTAAGAAAAATAATAAAACATAAATTCCTAAAATTTATGTTGCATGACTTTTTTGCCGCCCCCCATATGTGTGGTAGGGTTCTATAGTTCGTTTTCTGTTTGCGTTATTACAGTGTTGCATTTTTTCTATACATGTTATTTTTGCGTGTGTTGTTGTTATTATAGCTAAACATTCTCGCTTTGCAATTGATCTTTTGTGTGTTTTTCTCTTAGTTTTGTCTTAAGTAGTTTTTTCTTTTTTTAATTTCCTTTTTGTCTTACATTGATTTTCTTTTTTGGGGGATTTTTTTCTTTATAATTTCTTTTTTGTTTTTAATTTTATTTAATAATACAAGTCATCTTCGGTTGAGTTGCTTACCAAGTCTTTTTTAGCATTTTTATTTTTGTGAAAATTATCATCTTCTTCTGCTTCGTATTCGTCTTCGTTTTCTTCGTGGGGGTGATTTACGTTCGCATTTAAATCGTAATATAGGCGTTGTTGTTGTTGTAATAGTAAATCGTTGTTGTTGTTGTCAAATTCTAGATAAACTTCTTTTCACGCTGACATATCCTTCAACTTCTGTTGTTGTTGTCGGCGACTTTTACCCGTTCGATGATTATTGCCGATCTTTCTTCGCTTGCGTTTGGCATCCCGCTGGAAGGCCACATTGCCGGGATCATCAGCCAGTTGGGGATATTTGTAAATGCTATGGATATCGACACCAATCCAGCCATCCACATCACCGTGCGATACCAATTCTTCCTTCTCTTCTTCCGTCCAATCACCGCGACCCTGGAAACCAGCAGCTACAAGCTGCTTCTCCAATTCCCAGGCCCTTTCCACGGCACGTTTATGGGCATGTTTCAATATGCGATGTCTTTCTTGCTCGGGATCTACACCATATTTAATAATGACCACAGCATCGGGACCATGTAGCCTTAGTTCCTTGGCCGCCGAACCACCATGATCGGTGATTTCATGTGTAGAGATGTTAAACATACCACCCAGGCGTCTCAACTCCTCATTATCATCTCGTAACTTCAAAACATTATCCTTGACAAAGTAGAACACATCCTGATCATGGATACTAAAGTGTAGATCCAAGAAATGGGAATTATTGAAGACCGATGAGACAACATCCTGGACCACACTATTCGAGCCATCCACCACACTGACCAAGGCTCGGCCGCCAATACGCGAAAGCAATACACCTTCACCAAATACCGCACGACGATAGCTCACCCTGGGTAACAGGTTACGCATCTTGGGTTCCATTTTCAGCAAAGGCTTGGGTACAAAATCGAAATCACTGAACTTTTCATTGGTCTTCTCGACAATACATTCCAAACCACTGATGACACCAAAATCGGGCGCCAAGGTCGGCGACTTAATGGAAGCCTGAGGATTGTACTGAGCAGCCTTGGTATATTTGGTGCTCTGCATATTATTGAGGTCATAACCGAACAGCTGCAACCAGGATTCCAAATCAATCATGTAATTCTGAGATTTGCTGGGATTAATCGGGTCATTGTTGTGATAGCGATAGATGAACACATCAGTGGGATGAGACATTTCCGTGGCCAAAGTTTCCCACAAGGGAGTCATCCATTGACCCAAAATGGGGTCATATAAACGATTTTCGGTATACACCAACTTCGTGTGAGGATCCAACAGACCTCCATGGAAATCAATGGGTATAAAGAACTCCGGATTGGTATCCTTGATGATCCTGCCGAATGGTGTACGTTTCATTTCCTTAACAATCGACCCATTCATATCGAAATATGCCAAGGGCGAACCATTTTGATCGGTGGCCACATAATATCTCTGCTCTCCCGTCTCAACAGCCATTAACATATCACGATCATCATAGAAGAATCGCGTGGTCTTTTGCAATTTCGGGAAATGCATATGGGTCAGCAACATTGGACTCTTGGGATTGGCATAGTAATATTGGGTTACATTACCCTTGGAATCATGCCAGGCCACCAGGCGACTGCGATCATCATAGTAATACCAGGTTTGGAAACGTTCCCTTTCGAAAGCATGGATCAATTGACCGCGATTATTGTAGCGATACTTCTGCTCACCATGACGCACCACAAAACCTCTAGCATCATAGTTGTTGAACTCCACATCTCCCACCTGAATGACACGATCTCCGATGTCATATCCCAAATTGATTTTCTCTCCTTGATCCACCACTCCCACGGCATTACCATTTTCATCGTAGAGATATTTCCAATTGTTCGTACCCAAGACCTCAATGACATGGCCATCGGCATTGTAATTGATCTTATCGAAGGCTGTCGATCTGCCAAAGGTGGTCTTCTGTGACTTAATGCGGTTCCTCAGATCATAATCCAGCTCCAAACGGAAGACATCAATTTCACGGATATTCATCAGGACACTCTTGATCCGACCATGTTGATCATAATCAATGATGCTAAAGAACTTCTTGGAGGGATCTTGGATCACGGTGCGGTTAAAGGCATTGCGGGTAATCTTAAGATCTTGCACAACTTCGAGTTGACCCAAATTCTGACTATACTTATAACGTGTTGTTGGCAGTTCCTTGTCATCGATGGAGATCTCCACTCCTGTCAGACGGGCATTACCATCATAGGCATATTTGTAGTGGGCCGATGCCAAAGAGTTCTTCGAACCAAAACGTAGTTTCTCATCCTTTAAGATACCCGCATGGTATTTAAACTCTCGCCTCAGCTCAAAGCCTGGTTCTTGTACCTCCACAGATTTCACCAAACTTGTTGCCTCTTGGTAAGTGTAGTGGGTACTCGATAGGCCAGCCAAAATAGTTTCCAAACGTCCCGAATTGTCATGGACAAATGCCACCTTGCCGGAATGGTGTGGATGAATTTTCGCCAAAATCTGCCCCTCATCATTGTAGAGAATCTCGAAGGGATAACGATTGATGGGCGAGAAATATTGGTACTTGAAGAACCCAAGGGATGTCTGCAGCGAGAAGGCATGGATATGGCCGCGAGGTGTGGTCAAACTCTGCAAGGCTCCAGCATCATCGTACTGCAGCAGATAATCCGATTTCCTTGGTGTGGTAACCTTCAAAGGCAGAGATCCATACATATCCTTGAAGTTATAGAACATCGAAGAACCATCTCCGTATTTAATTTCATTCAGGCGGCCATTGCGATCAAAGGTATAGGCCTCTTGCAGGTTGCCCCATTTCCAGGTGACCAAACGGCCAAAGCGATCATATTCCAAATCAACATCGGCATAATCACCCGACTGAGGACGGAAGCTAACCGGTCGTGAGGTGCGATCATAGGTTACATTCAGCAAATCATGTTTATCATCGACGGAAACCAAAATCGATTGGGTATCGCGATCATATTCCAAAGTCAGGACATTATCGCCATTGACACGCAATTTGCGACCCACTTGAGTAACAGTTCTAGGACCCTTGTTCTGTTTACCCTGCTGCAGCCGTCTGACAAAGTAACGCCATTCAAAACGATTAGCCAAATCACCGGCAATTTCAGTTCTCTGCTTGGCCGGCACGGGGTAGCTCTCGCCAATAATTGGTGAAATTTCAGCCAAGATGGGATATGGCACCACTTCCATTTGCAGCAAATGACCCCAGGGAGTTAGACTTGTTGTCGAGCCATCCATCTCAACCATGGTCTTCGATTCGGCTTCACCATTCCTTACGACCACTGAGGATCCCTGGATCAACATGGAGATTTCCTTTTGGGCATTTTCGGAAACCTTAACCTGGGCACCCTTGACACTTAGATCGAAAGCCAAATCAATGACACGTCCTGTGGGTGTAACGGCGGAGGTGAGGCGACCAAATTCATCATAATTATAGACATAGGAACGTCCCGTCGAATCCAATTTCGTCTTCAGCAATCCGGTGGGACCATGATATTCAAATGTCACATTGTAATTATCTGGGGTGTTCAGTTCGTGTAACATTTTCATGCGGGTCATACGCAGACGGCATTTCTGGCCCTTGGTATTTTCAATGGAGTTCACTTGGGAGGTGTAGTCGCGCAGCAGGAATACCTTATTGCCGGCGGCATCGGTGACGGTGCTCAATTTACCATTTGAAGTGTTGACATTGTAGGTAAAAACATAGGTGGTTTCACCGGTGAGGATATTCTTCGTCAAGACGTGTTGTCCGAAACGATTGAAGATGTAGATTTCCTGCATATCCGGAGCATAGATTTCATATTCCCTGGAGGAGCTGGCCTCAGGAATGCTGGACATCACGGCACGAATGCGATAGTTCGCCTGGTCGGCAATGTGTACATGGCCATCTGGTGTAACCGCCAAGGCAGCAATGGTATTAAACTTAGCACTGGTAGCCAAGTAATGATCCGCTTCGAAACAATCACAACCACGCTCAAGGCAATTGCACTTCGATTCGACGCCAGCAAAAGGAGCAATGCGTCCATTCGTACCAATCACACGTACCCGATTGATACGCTGCGAATCACTTTCCGCAACATAAAGTTCTCCCAAGGGACCAAAGGCAATCGACTGAGGCATCACTAGAGTGGCATGGGTGGCCAAATCGGAATCGTAAAGGAAGGAAGAGGTGGCACAATGCAATGGACGACCGGAAATTACTCTCACACGACCATCTGGAGTCATACGTAAAATCATATGATCATCGATAATGTGCAGGGTATTATCCAAGGGGCTGACAGCCAATTCGGTGGGCCATCTCAAATGCATTTCTTCCAGCTTCAAAGTACCCTCACAGGGTATGGGTTTCCAGTGTGATTTGTGCATGTGATTACCAATCAGGGTACTGACAATACCATCACGATCAACCATACGGATATTGGTACCATCGGCGAAGTATAGGACATTATCGCTCGATATGGCAATACCTTTGGGATAGGCCAATTTGGCATCCTTGGCTAGGGCACCATCACCACAATGAGCCTCATCACCAGGTAGGCAACGTTCTCCGGAACCCACAATTGGTTCCCAGTTCTTTTCAGGCTGCGAATAATCATTGGTGTCACGAACTCGTATAATTTGATGTGATTCCGGATCGGAAATGTAAAGGGTACCATCCAAAGGACTCAAGGCCATGTGATAACGATAGCTGACACGGGTGGCATTTAGCTTCACAACAGTCCTCACCGTGCCATCGGTCATGATGCGTCGTATATAATTGAAATCTCCAACATAGAGACTACCATCGGGCGAAGCAGCCAAGGCCACGGGAGCCAAAAGACGTTGTCGTGCTGCCAAACCATCACAATCCATACATTCTAAGGGCCTTTGATGGCCATCACCCATGGTGGTAAGGATCACGCGTGGCTTATTCTTCAAATATATATTCGAACCATCACCCTTTTGCAGGATACCCTCATGGAAGTTATAACGATGATGGATATCCAAATTCCAGCCTCCGACCTCGGATATGGACATGTCATGACCCGACAATTTGGTGGTTTGGATATCCCAAATGATATCCTTGCAATCGGTGTACTGATAGCCAACCTTAACCACGGCCGTTGTTACACCATAAACCCTTTGACGATAGATGTTGAGGCGATTCCAGGCATAGGTAAATTTAATACCAGGATCAGCTTCGAACACACGATCGAAGAGAATGCCTTCAATGGTGATACGCAAATGAATGAGATGCAGGGTGGGTGGAATTGTTTCGGGTGTCAATTGCAGTTTGATGGTAGACAAGTAGCCAGCGGCCCTTGAGGAGTGATAGACTAGATTCAACCCGGTACCAGGTATTTGCAGGGACTCTTGGATGACCTGAGATTCAGCGAGGATTGCACTGCGATCTGGGCAAGCACCTTGGAAGCCATGTTTCCATGAAGCCAACACGACGGGTTTCATGAGATCATAATCATGTGAAAAACAGGTGTGGGTCGTCACGGGCATACTCTTCTCTTCTGACATTGACATGACGACGGTATCAATGATAATCACCTCATTCCAGGGTACTTGGACAATCCTTGACTGGGGACGGAAGGGTGAACGGCCAAATTGTAGTGTAACAGCGCCACCGCCATTTACCATCAAATCAAACCAGCCATCTTCACGGGTCAAAGTGAAACCTTCCAGCAAGGTGGTGGTGGAGACGCGTACACCCACCAAACCCATGCCCAGGGAGGTGACAACACGGCCGCGTATCACCGCAGAACGGCTAAATTGAGGGAAGGAAAAAGAGATTACAGATTAGTTTGTTATGCTAAAGAATTTGGGGAGATTTTGGAAATCTAAAAACTGAAGTATTTTAAAAAAATGGAACTTAAAAATAAAAATTAAAAACTTTTAAAAATTTCACACACACAAGAACTTAAAAGAACATTTTCAGAACACTTAAGGTTTTGTTTTTTTACATAAACATATATTTTGAATTAATTTTTTTTGCGGTATATGGTAACCCAATAAATTCCAACCTAGTAGTAAACATAAAGGATGTACTTGACTGGCTTGGCCAGGTTGCTTGGCGGTTATGGAAACAAATTAGAATGAGGAAGAATGTGAAATTTTCAAAATCTACTTGAAAGAAAGAAGAACCAAACTAAAAGACGGAGAATAACTACAAAAAAGGCAGAGATTGCATTCCTTAAATGGTGACGTATAAGTAGTGTCAGTACTCATACGCCCTGGAATGTAAATACGCCTTTTTTCAGAAATGTAACAACGAAAGGAAAAGAAAATTACGAAAGAAAATAAAATTTGAAAAGCAAATGAAATACCAAACAACCAGTTTTAGTAGTAGTTCTTAATCTGAAGAAGTCCATCTTACCTTGCATTGAAATAATTCCAAAAAATGCTGTTAGTTTTTGTTTTTACAGAGAGATGTGAGGTTAGTTTTTTTTTCAATTGCGAACGGGGTTAGATGATTTTTGTTTGTTTTTTTTTTTAAGCCAAATGGGAAGTTAGTTCGTTTTTTTTATTTTTTAGATGTGAGCAAAGGCGCGCGCGTTTTTTTAAAGTTTGGGGGAAAAAGTTAGGAAGAGAAAAAAGAGCAAAGAAAAAAATTTGTTTGTTGACATTAGCAAAATGTTTTTGTTATAAATAATAACCCCATGACCATAAAGAAAGTAACCAAAAAAACGAGAAACTAAAAAAACTAAAAGAAAACTTAAAAATGATTCCTAAAAAAATAAATAGGCCTCAACTGATTTGTATGGTTTTTTTTTTGTTACATAAAACAAAGGACATATTTTTTTAAACATATATTGGTATAGGGGAATAGTTTTTTAATGGGGATATTTGGGGATTATTTTCATAGACAGGGTCACAAAACTTAAAAAATAACATTAAAAAATTGTTAATTAATTAATTTGTATTTGTTTATAAATATAGTTAATAAAATATTATAGCTAAAAACTAAGTGATTAACTTGTTTAGAAGATCGAAGAAGAGAAATCTCCACTTTAAATCTAATATATTTTTTGGAACAAATGGCAACAGCTGTTTTCCCTTTAAAAGGGGTAAAATTAAATAAAAAGAAAACAATCCAACATTTCCTAGGTTTCGATACAAAATTACAGATATATTTTTTTTAATAGTTTAAGAGGATATCAAATTGAAAAAAATATATTTTTTGTACTACATAACCTTAAAATTATAATGTAAGGCAGCTGTTAGCGGACTTAAAACACATGTCTAAAGTAAAATAATCTAAAATGTTTTTAACATGGATTTAAATTTATAATTGGGTCATTATACGAATAAATGAAATCATGACCTCTCAACGTAATAGCTTTTCTTATTAAAAACATTCAAAATTTATTTAAAAATACTTTCAATATCCTAATTTAATTATAACATCTAAAGGCCTAACACAATGAAACACATTTCTTTCCTCTAGAACCCTAACATCAGAGACAACACTTTTCTATACTACAGAAACCTAATGTGATAATGTCATACAGGGTTCACATGGCTTAATATGTTATTCAACTACATAAATCTTTAAAAAAGCATCTTAAATGTTTAATATTGTATTTTTTTGAATATTTTATTTAAAAATTTCGAATTTTTTTTAAATACTCTCAATATTTAAATTAATTTTTTTTCTTCTAGAATCATATCATAATTAAGCACATTCCTTTACTCTAGAACCCTAAAATTACAGTAATCACTTTTCTATACTACAGAACCCTAATGTGATAATGTCATACAGGGTTCACATGGTCCTGTATGCGTGTATAGTCTTTCAACTACACAATTTTTTAACAAATCACATGATATGGTAAAGACATATTTTAAATTAAGTTTCTAGGGATATAAAAACTGTACAGGGTTGCCAAGAGTTCCTTAATTCTCTTCACATTTCTTCTAAACAAGTTTTTTAATATATTATTTAATTTTATTATTAATTTTTTTGGAACCAAAAAAGTTAGACCCAATTTTATTTTAAAACTAAAGAAAGCTATTTTCTAAAAACTCTAAATTTCAAAACTTACCTTTCATTGAATGTCTCCAATTTGGCATAATTCTGAAGGCTACTTTCATCGATCAAGAATTTCATGCGTTCAAAGAAGGAGGCGGTAATTGCAGGAGGTTGTTTGCGTAACAATACATCAATGGGTTTGGGGGCGGAGACACACAACTGGGATGTTTTGCAGACATGGCTGGCACAACATTCAGGATCTTCACAGTCGACTAGGCCATCTAGTAGGGATAAAACATAACACACAATAAAGTAAAATAATAATTTGAAGATAGAAATTGTATACTTACCCTTATCATTATCCTTGCTATCACCACAATTCAATTCCAGGGCAATGCCACAATCGGCACCATCCCAGCCTTCATAACACCTACATTCCCATTGACCTTCACCGCTGACACGACATTGGCCATGACCGCTACAAGAATTCGGACATCCTTCAATGGTACAATGTTTACCATTCCAACCCGTGACACATAGGCAGGTTCCATTTTTACATTGGCCATGTTCATTGCAACGGGCATCACACAGCTTTGTGTTACAATATTCACCACCCCAGCCTTCATCACAGGTGCAAGCATCGCCTACACAACGTCCATGTTGACCACAATCTAAATCGCATAACTCTTTAGAACAGTCATCACCACTCCATTTGGGTTCACAGGTACAGGTTTGCGAATCGAGATCAAAGCTACCATGACCCGAACAATCGGGCAGACATTGTAAAGCATCTTGATCCATTGTGGCACAATCGGGTCCTTTCCAACCTTTTTTGCAAATGCAGGTGCCATCGGCGCAAAAACCATGACCCGAACAGGTGGGATGGGGGCAATCCACTAAAAGGGAAGAGGAGGAAAATTGATGGAAATTAGTAAAAATTTTTGCTGGTAAAATGAAATAAAAAGAAAAAATCGTGTGGACCCTAAAAAAAATATTTGTGTAAAATGAAATTAAAAATCGTATTAAACCTAAACTATATTTGGTAAAATGAAATAAAAAGAAAAAATCGTACCTAACCTAAAAATATTTGGTAAAATGAAATAAAAAATCGTTCCTAACCTAAAAAATATTTCTGTAAAGTGAAATAAAGAGAAAAAATCGTATCTAACCTAAAAAAATATTTCTGTAAAGTGAAATAAAAATATCTTCTCTACGCAATTACATTAGACCCCCAACACGATAAGTCACATTTCGTTACTTTAGAACCCTATAATCATTGAAGTAATTTTCCTTTACTATGGAACCCTAACATGATAACTTAAAACAGGCTTCACAAGGCTTAATATTGCCTGTCAATGAAATTTGTTGAACAAATGAAATAAAAATGATAGCATTTGGCTGCTGTGGAGGTTTTGTACAGTCCTAACCTAAAAAATTAGATAAAATGAAATAAAAAGAAAAAAAATCGTAACTTAAAGCATGAAATCTTAAGGCCGCATTGTTTAATAAAGGGTTCAATTTCGCACCTATGAACATTTTGAGTAGTTTGTACAGTACTTTTCATTAAAATCAACTAGACTTAGACCCCAAAAAAATATGATTCGGAGGATTATTTGTCGAAAAGTAAAATGAAATAAAAAGAAATAATCTCGAAATCTCTTTCAAAACAAAAATTCCAAAACCTAACCTAAAAAACAAAACTAAAAATTTCCAAACTAAAATCTAATTGTGCTCCATTTTTTTCTTGCTGTAGTTTACCTTCTTCACAGAATTTTCCTTTATAACCACGCATACACTGACATTTGCCACTGACACAGTGGCCATGACCATTACAATCGGCCACCTCACATTCGTCGTGGCGCAGCGAACATTCTTTACCCTTCCAGCCGGGATTACAAATACATTCACCATTAATATATTCACCATGCTGTGAACATAGCACGGGACAAACACTTTCACTACAATCATCACCACCAAAGCCGGGATTACACTGACAATGACCCAATAGGCATTGACCATTTCCGGAACACCCGTTGGGACAATTTTGTGTCATATCTTCGGCAATTGTGGCATAGAAAGTGATCTCTTGAACATCACCATCATCGTTGTACAAGGAGACAAACCAGTGGCCGGGTTCCATATAACGGGTTACTTCACGTGTTATCGATTGCTGTTGATATCGATGATAGTGATTTATTGTCCGTGTGTGATCAATCATATGTCCGAGAGAGCGTGTGTGTGATAGATGTTGTTAAGCATTGGTGTTGAAATGAGAATGTTTTGAGTGTGTATGTGTGTGTGATGAAAGGGTAGCATGAAAATACACAAAAAAGAGACAAAAAACACATTAGGTTAATAAAAGCCACAGGGGTTTTAGTATTAAATACACCACATAAAAAAATCAAAATATTTCCGCAAGACCCAAGGAAAATGATCCCATAAACCTTAGATTTTAAAAAATGAAAAAAAAAATATTTTTTCTACTTACATGTGCCGCCCTCGTGGACCTTGTACTGGCACTAAATCCACTTAGCACCTCTTTGAAATGATATTGTGTATGTGTGGGCAGGGCATTACGCCGTCCATAGACACCAATTGAGGCTCCTCGAGGTATGGTATAATCAAATTTAACATAAGCCGGTTCCGATTGATAGAATTGCATATTCCAATAGCTATAGGGTTGTATTTCCTTGGTCAACTTCTGACCCAATGATATTTGACCGAATGTTGTGCCATCCGGTGGGAAGCTACGAGCTGGGAATGTGCGAGCACCTTTTTGGAGGTGGATTTTTAGTTTGCGACACACACAGAAACATTACATAAAAATGAGAGGAATGTATTTGTTGTGGGTTAGTTATTTTTTATTAATAGTTTGTTTTGTATGTATATTTATTTATAATAATATTTTAAAATTAAATGAGTTTTGTTTTTTAGAGTGTGTGTATGTGGAAAATAATTTTGTACAGTAGTTTTCTTGATGACAGTTTGTTTGGGCGCCAAAAATTGTTTTGCTTGGAGTTTGTTGTTATTTTTTTATGATTATTTGATATTGTTGTTCTTATTATTGTTAAGATTAGTTGATTTTAGTTGATTTGTTATTAATTTGTTAAAATTGTTAATGTTTTAATAAAAAAATACTTGAAAATGGTAAGCTACTTTACGTTGCTCACTAACCCATGCTTCAAATATGGAGGAAAGATAAATGAAAATGCAATTGGCTGTCTACTAAGGTGGAAGTGAGAGTAATAAAGTAAGAAGACTGCAATTTCTTCTACTTCTTTCTCTTTAAAACCTCGAACGTACGTCTATTACTAGTTTCTACGTTACATCAAGTACTATTTGGCCTTATTTACATAACGTTGGCCACTAATCCATGTTTTTATATGTGAAATTTAATTGACTATATACTTCATTGTCTGCTAAGAGATATGTGAGATGAAGAATATAAGAAATCTGCAATTTGACCTTCCTCTTCTTCTTTAAAGTCTCTAATTTCCGTCAATTACTACTTTTTACGTTACCTCAAGCACTAACTGTCTTTAGTATGATACACTTTTAGTGCATATCGTATCGTAGACGTAAAGTATTCACAACAAATGATAAATGGAGGTTTTTAAACTGTTTTTGACAGAAATGAAGTTTTTCTTCTTGTCAATGTAATATCTAAAGTTTACACTGCATATAAATTTAATTTAAACCCCGTTTATTATTGAAATAATTTCTATATGAAAAATGCCATTAAAATAATGTCGGGTTTCTTCCATTAGGTTTGTGTCTGATACCTTGTTTACATTAGGCAATGACAGGAACATAATCACGAAAACCCTAATCGCATTATAATCTAGAGGCCTACACATTTCTTTACTCTAGATCCCTAAGAGCACAGACAACTTTTTCTATACTATAGAAACCTAAAGTAATAATTTTATGCAGGGTTCACATCCAAATCGACATGATTTCTAATTCGTTGTATAAAATCCTACCAGTTTAGACTAGACTAACATCGTCTGAAACATATATACACTATAGAACCCTAAAGTAATACTTTCATAAAGGGTTCACACGACCTTTTAATTAGAAAAAAATAAAAATCTAAATCAAATTGTCCTTTAGAGCCCTAATATCACAAAAAAAACATTTTTGATACTATAGAACCCTAAAGTAATAATTTAATATAGGATTCACATGACTTAATATTCCTTTCACCAAAACAGTCTTTAAAAAATCACTTTATATAAGAGCGTTTAGACTATGCCTTCTAAATCGATTTCTAAATCAAGATAATAAATCCCATCTGGTTAGATTAATATTGAAATGATATAAAGCTGTCAGTCAGCTGTCATTTGTTTACCTGTACATACAGGATTAGAAGATGTGCAGGGTTGCGAAGAGTTCTTTATTTCTATCAAATTCTTTGACAATGCCTTTTTCTACATCTATGTGCTAAATTATATCAGTTTAAACGGTATTAAAATTATATAATGTAGACAGTCAGCTGTTTTTTGTTTACATATACATAAAATTATACCGGGTTGTCAAAAAATTACTGCGTTGCCAAATGTTACCTATTTCTCTCAAATTTTTTGAAAAAAATTTTGAATTGAAATTCTGGCTATTTAGACTAGTATTAAATTTATCTATAGTTGACAGTCAGCTCTGTTATTTGTTTACGTATACATACTGTATAAGAAAATGTACAGGATTGCGAAGAGTTACTAATTTCTCTCAAATTCCTTGGCTTTGCCTTCTAAATCAACTTGGTTTCTAAACCTAGGTACTAAACTCTAACCGTTGGAAGTAGTATTGAAATGATTTAAAGTTGATAGTCAGCTGTTTACGTATACATATATGAAAAAAAATGTACAGTAATGGCAAGAGTTCCTTATTTATCTCAAGTTTCTTGAAAACAAATTTTGAAATATAATCCTAGACTAGACTAGTATTAAAATGATATAAAGTTGACAATCAGCTATTTTCTGTTTACGTATACATACGGCATAAAAACATATACAGGGTGTCCAAGAGTTCTTGATTTCTGTCACTTTTAATATAAAGTTGACAGTCAGCTGTTATTTGTATATCTATAAATACAGAATAAAACATGTGCAGGGTTGCAAAGAGTTCCTAATTTTTGTGACTTTTCTTGAAAACTAATTCTATAATATATTTCAAAATCTGATTAAAATTATGCCTAGTTTCAGAATAATGTCTAATACGTTGTTTACATTTGGTAAAAAAATGAAGATGCGAATTTGGAAATTTTTTGTAATCTATATTTTGATGGTAATTATTGGAAAAAGTTTTCATGAAATTTGTGCCAATACTTTTGCTTGAAAATGAAGTGCAATTAAATGAAATAAAAATATACAAATGAAATAAATGAAATGTAAATGATTTAAATAAATATTTGCGAATAAAATATAATTATAAAATAAATATAAAAATAAAATTAACCTATAACTGTACATATTGGATTGATTAGTTATTAAGCATAAAGTTAGTCCGGTTAGAAGAAAGTTAAAAAATAAAAATAAAATTAAAAAAAGCCACAATCACCTTCAAGTATAAGTATAGGCATAACATCGGGACATGCAAACTTTTCACCATTCGACACCAAATTATTATTTGTTGGATTAGTAGGAGAAATAGTAGTGGTAGTAGAAGCAGGAATAACAGTGCTAACATCCAGCTCTGGCATATTTGTGCTGGTATTAATATCATCATTTATATTATCATTGCTAATGGTAGGTTTAGATGTAATGCTAGGTAATGTAGTGGCAGTTGTATTGAAATCATCAAGTGTCATGTTATTTTTAACGCCTTCATTTTGTGTCACTTCAATGTCATTTGGAATGTCATTGTCAAAGTCATTATTGTCTGTGGGAGTTTCATGATCAGCTGATTGAGTGTCAGCGGCAGCTGTGGCAAAAGTGTCATCATCAGCTGTTGCAAAAGAGAAATCAGCTGTTGATAAAGATGAAGAAGAATCGGTTGTTGTCTCGGCAAATAAACCACAGGCACATGGACATTCGGGTATGGGTGGTGGTGGTTCGGGTATGCAATAGGGACTATTTACAAATGGAGTTTCATCAATTTCTTTAATAAATTTGGTAGCACTTTCCAATTTTTGCTCTTGGTCATTATTAATGGGGTTTATATTGTCAATATTTGATAATTTATTTTGTGGTTCAAGTTTGATTTTAACTTCTTCATTTCTAGTAGGTCGCATGGCCTCCAAATGCTCATCCGGCAATTGTTCGTGAGTCAAAACCTGTTTGACATGCTGCACTTGGCCATTTTCCTGAAAAGCGGGTATATCCACATGCAATGTATACATATTACCCGAACCATCATTTGTCCCTATGGTTAAGTTGACCACAATACGTTTATCCGATGCAGGATGGGGTAAAATTTCAGTTTTATATGGTTTCAATGTCTCGAGCCTGGGTGGAGCTGAGGTAGCAGGTGCTGGCGGATCTTTAACTATGGGTTTCATTAGACCCCTTTGCATCATCCATTCCTCTTGCCGGCTAATAACCTCATTCCAATGTTTACTATATGATGGCTTGAGTTTTTTAGATTTTTGTTGAAGTTCCAGAGTTTTATTTAAATCGATGGTCTTATATAACTCATCTTCGGAGGAATGGGTTTGTTCGAGTTTAATAATATCAATATCATCAAGTTGATGGGCATATTTAATTTCCTTGGGGAAACCATGATGTGGATTTGGGGGTATCATGCCGTCATTGAGCATTAGATTGTCCAGTGGATTTGTGTAATCGTCTGCTTCTTCTTTGCCACTTAACTTGGCAGCATCTTTTGTTGAGATGTCTAATTTTTCTTCGACAGCTTTTTCTTCTTCTTTGTCATTTTGTTGCTGCCTGTCTGCCGAGTTTATCATCAAATCTTCTGCTTTTATTGATAGCATTGCCGCTGTTGTTGTTCCTAAATAAATGTCACCACTGCTGTCAAACAAATGATGGCTATTAAATGTCATTGAATCACCATTATCCGCTGGCTTGGCATCATTGCCGCCATCGCCATCAGCATCCACATCCCCCTCATGGTGGTGGTATTCATTTCTATCAAAACGATTGATTTGAAAATTATTACCATCTTTATCATTTTTGTTATTCTTGTTGTTGACAAGATTATAAGTGTCACCATCATCATCGGCATCATGATTTTCAGATTGAGTAGTAGATTTCCTCTCTTCATCATCATTATTCACTTGTTCATCATCGATAATAGACCCATCAATTATGTTATCGATATTGTGCTTATGATTTATGTTGTTATGTTTATTGTGGTCACCCTGTGATATTTTAAGCAACTCTTCTTCTTCATCATAATTGTAATTTTCGAAAATGGTAAAAGGTTTGGAAGTGGTAGAAGAAGAACTGAAATTATCCTCATCCAATAAAGGGATTAATAAATCCTCTTCTTTATTGAGGAGTTCATGGGTTTCACGATTTTCATTAATATCAACTTTGTCATCTTCTTCTTCTTGCTCTTTGTTTACTGATGACAAACTTGTCGTTTCCATGTCATCCTGTTGTTGCGGACGGTTAGACAAAGTTGTATCCTCACTGACATAATTACTTTTCAATATTACCAGAGGATTATTTTCTTTGTTAGTTTCCAAATTATCATCATCATCAGCATTATTTTCTACTTCTTCTTCGTTATCAATTTCTTTATCCTCTGGATTTAATGATGATGTTGTTGTCTTTTCCTCATTGTCATAATTTTCTGTTGAACTTTCATTAATA